TTCACAACTTCTTTGACGTAGACTTTGTACGGAGTGCTGAAAAATAAAAAACGAAATCATGCATATTTTATTTAGCCATTCAAAGTCGTAATTTACTACGATACTTACAATTTTAGATCATCACATACATTATTATATTTTATAAAGCACATCATGTTCTCAAAAGGATTTGATAGATTGAATAATGATCGAGTTAAGTTGTGTCTTCTATTTAATTATATTTTAAGTATCTGTCAAATAGACAATTCCAGTAAACACCAGCTTCATTTGTCACCCTGACGACTGAATTAAATGAGAAGCATAACAAGAACATTTGCCGAAGCATTGGGATGATAACATTCAATGGGATTACATTAGTCATCTCGCTTGAATATTAAATAGCAAATAAGTAATCTAGGCTAATCGCTTTGTACATTGTTCCTCCAAAGTGAATTTTTGAGGATTGATGTGTAAGACGTACCTATTTGAATTAACGGGCATTGTGGGTGCAACAGAGACCAAGGCGCCCTCTTTATCCTTCAGAGACACGGAGGCAATGCTGAAATTGAATTCATAATTTCGAAAGTCGTCCATTGATCGCTTAAAGGAATGTACATTTTTGTATGTTAAATATTTATTATGAATTGATGATGCTGCAACGGAACCACAAAATAATATTATCTATATACAATGCACTCAAGTGATATTAATGAAGAATCTTGTATCATTCTTTATTTGAAACTTAACACCATGAGTACTTGTATATGTAGTATGAAATTATCAGATTAGGTTAGTATATACGTGAATGCTTTTAAATTCATTAAAGAATGATAGGGGGTTCTTTATTGCAATTCAAATACACTATCACTCCTTTATAAAAATGAAATTGTCCAGTTCTTTATCAAACCATAATACACTTTGTTGACGTCACCCTTTTGCTAATGATGGCACTGCCATAATGCATTGTAAAATAATGTTTCTTAGTCACATTTGAATTTAATATATTAACCAATGGATATATATCTAAAGTTTATTCGTGAAAATTCGTGAAAGTTCGGAAAATATCAACCGAATCGAAAAGAAACAAAACAGGATATTCACAAATGGTACAATGGGAAAGTGATGACTGTCCCTTTAAATACCAAAAATGCTCGCGATGAGCTATGTAATTTGGGATACTTACTTTTCCTTCCCAATTGCCTGTGTCAATAAATGTTGAATATCCAGAGAGCTGCAATTTGTCCCAAAACATATCTGAAATTTCAAGATAAGTTTTAATGATTGTGTATTCTTAAATGTATGACATGACTTGCCGTCCCGCGTGAAAATTCTATACAATTGTACACAGACCACTCGAAGGTTGCTATTATTACCCCTGCTGACGAATGGATAGAGGAAAACGTTTTTTGATATCTTGATCTTGATCACCCTGTGTTCATACGGTTGTTTTTATATTGTTTAACCGCTCTATGGTATTCTGCAATTAATAAGTAAATGGTGTATATCATGGTATTTTTAGACCCGTATTGCCACCGTTCAGTGCGACATATCACATCTCACCTTTTCCATTTTGCCATTGATATCCAAATATATGGTTTTTGATGACTCTACTGACGCCCCATTCCCCATGGTGATATGGTAAATCACAGGTCAAAATATCAAAGTCAATTTACACCACAATCGTGCAAACCAAGATGGCGCCGTATATGTATATCCTTTCATATAACCTCCCCTGGCCTTCTACTATATATCCCTCCACAGTTCGTTGACAATACTGACTAGATTCATAGACCTCGTTGTAATCGCATATATTGCGAAATTAAAATACAGAATATTGTGAATAAATCAAAATGTTTTTCTTTTTTCTTTTGATTTTATAATTTCCCAATGTTATTATGAAGCCACAAGGCAAACAGGTTAACAAGTGTTTCTCTATCCAATAATGTTTTTCTTGTTACCATGGCGACTCTCAGGTATCATAGTGCTAATGAGCCAGTGTATTATTGATTATTATACCGTAGATAATGCATGTAATGGGACCTTCACAAATGCAATCTCTATAAATTACGCGCAGATATATGTATCATGTATCATATGTCAAATTGAAGTAAAGCAACCTTTCTTTGACTCATGATCGAGGAAACCGACCTCTACCCGATGGACAAATGTCATTCACTTGTTTAAATGACATGTATATTGAATCGTATTGATCTATCCAGGTCTGCTTTTCAAAAATGTCCCAACTATGTGATTATAACGGTAAATGGAAATGTTAACCCAATAATGTCATATTTCTTCATTTCTCGTTATTATTACGTCATTTTACGTAAATATTTAATACATAATCAAGCAATGTTGGACGGACAATAGCCATACAAAGGATAGTCGCTAATATAAAAGAAAAACGCAAAATTTACTTCGATTTTGTTAAGGTTAAGAGTAAAAATTGACGATTCAAACAATTTTGTTTGTTTATAAATGACATACATGTTTTTAATGGCCAATATTTTAATATTCTGATGAAATCATTTTGCTCCTTAACCAGAGATATTTTTATCATTTTCTTGAAAGATCTAAGTAAGAGAAGAACTTGTTTGAAGCCAAACGCTGTAATTAGAAAGTTTGTGAATTTAAAATAAAGCCAATCCATTGAAGTAACAGTTATTGCAATGTATTAAAGTGGATAGTTATAGATAGGATATAATTGCACACGCCCGGTGATCGTGAAAATGGGACGGAGGGGGGGGGAGCAAGCAATTTCTGGTAGAAAAATGAACAAATCTGCAAAAATTATTTTTTCAAGAAAAGGTTTATGATTGAATTGCTAAACGAATAGGCGCACGGTATGGTAAAATATGTCACGTATTCGACGAATTTTTTTAGCCGATTCTCTTCCAATTAGGTATAAGATCTATTAAAAAAGGCGCAACGCCACCAACGTGCAAAAGTCAATGTTCCCCCCTCCGTCCCATTTTCACGATCACCGGGCGTGGTACATGTTAACGCACAAAATCAAAAATAATTCCCGAAAAGTCTGCGTCCAAATTCTTAAACGAGGTAACCTGAACGAGCTGATGATCTTAAATTATGCTTATCTCTCAGGCCCACAGCCATGCAGGATTTGCCAAGGGGGGGGGGGTCCCTTTTTGAAAAATTCCAGGGGGGTTCACTTGTGACAATTTTGGTCCAAAATCGGCAAAAGTCACTTAAAAAGTGCTCAGAATGGTGAAAAACTGCATGAATTTGAAAGATTTTCTGGCCCGGGGGGGGGGGGTGGTGGTTCAACCCCCCCCCCACTTCCTGGCTATAATCTGAAGTGTATTATATAAATGTCCCATATGGACTAAATGCAGTTGTTGAGATCAGATTATATGGTGCCATTTTTGAGGAAGGTACACAATTATGTAACTTCCTCTCTTTTTATATAGTTTTTTTAAACTTAGAAGACAGAACCTACCTAGAACCTCAGTAGTATGTTATGTATTGTCGACATTTAATAGGGTTATCCCTCGGTAAATATTATGTATCTCACTCTCCAGGCCGTCTCCAGGTCCCTGAGGTCGGCGACTCACATTTCCTTTGGCATTGAGGCATAATTCATAACTATTATCTACTCGACAAACTTAGTACATGGAGTGGACGAGCTAAGTCTTTTTGTATCTGAGAAGACATGAACTAGTTTTGTGTAAAAGTAAAGGATGAGTATCGATATGGTTAACTTTTTGAACACACGTTTCTCCTAAACCAGTGATCAAAAAATTCTGAAAATTTTACACATTGTCAATTTAATGGTCATCTTTTGAATGGTAACAATATAATCTTAAATAGATATATATATACTTTTCTCTATATTGTTTTAGAAAACACATCGGACACAGGAGGAGTGAGTAGCTCCCATAATTCTTTCATATTCTATCGTATTCGGGGATTCCCCATTACATCATCGCTTGCATCATCTCCAATCAAATTGCAGGATTCGATCACGTGAACAAACCTTAGCACGTGCTCTCTCAGTGGTGCGCATGCGCAAAGTTAAATTTGAAATCGTAAGAATGGCCTCAACATCAGTTCAACATCATCATTTCAAACCTACGGTAATACTATTGAAGTTACTCGATCCATACTTGTAGAGAATACTCATAAAACTACAGTGAACATTTGGAGATCCATTTTAACGGCAAATTAAGGTCTGTTTATAAAATTTGTTTTCGAACGTGCTAATATGATAGGGCATCTTTGGGAAATCTCCCCCCCTGATCGGACACTTCATTTGTTCGGAATGAAACAATCCGAACCTTATCAATCGAACAAAATCAATATTGTAATTATACAAATGAAAGTTTGGTTGATTTATATCCTATTAATGAATTAAAGGCTTATCTTAGTTTTTATATGATATTTCGGGGGTTTTGTATTAATTTTTTGAATACTTTTTGTTAAATCAACCAAAATTTCCTTTGTACAACTATGATGTTGGAAGAAAATGTTTTATATGCTATTTTGTTCAAACAAGCTTCGGAAAGTTCTTTTATTTCATTCTCAAGAATTGGTAAAAAGGGACAAAAAACAATTGCACTAAAAAAAATGTTAACAGTTATATAAATAAATTATTTTCGCATTTAATTGTTGTCAATCACTCAACATTACATAAAGGACTTTGTTAATTCTTTACAGAATGTTTCAATCCTTTCTCCAATTAAGGTTCCCGGGAATTTTAGCATTTGCAAGAGAGACACGATAGCACTAAACGAACTACTCAGAGATCGCTTCTTTTCAAAGGTTTTGTGCTACTCAATTAGACTGGATTTTATTACTCCGCGGACTATATTTTAGTCAAATAGAGAAAAATGAATCTATGCGTAATCAAAGTGACAAATCGGACATATAAAATATTGAACTGAATCATATTTCAAGCATAATTGTGATCTAAGTGAGGTTTAAAGATATATATATATATCAGAACTATATTCTTACAATTAAAAGCCAAATTACGCCATTCGTCATAGAGAAACAAAATGGATGTATGTCGACGAATTTGGCTAATAATTTGTGATGTTTCACTAATTCCCCGAGGCAATGTAAGCTTACTCCATGTCCATTCATACAAATGGAAGGTATGTCCGTGTATCTATTCTATTTGTATGTCATTTAGACAGACTTCATCAGTCTTTGTCACTTCATTTTTGTATGCTTGAATTTCTGAATCTGCTTGACTGTCAGTGACATTTGAAATGAGCAACCCAGTGAAGGAATCTGCAGCTGTATTGGTCCTTATTATGTCACCACCAAAAGTGGTGACATATTGTTATGGTCTCCGTTTTTTTGCGACGGCGGTTGGCGTCCGGCGGTTGGTGGTTGGCGTCCGGCGGTTGGCGTCTGTAACAATTTCTTACAACTTCCTATAACTTAACAAATACTGTTTAGACTGACTTCAATGTTTTACTAAATCATCTACATGTTCTCAGAAGTTCAAATCTGACTTTAGATTTGACATTTGACCTTCAATGACCTTCTCAAGGTCAAAAAGGTCTTTTTTCAACTTGCTTCACATTGACTAAATTTTTTTTCAAAATCATCTACATGTTCTCAGAAATTCAAATCTGACTTTAGATTTGACATTTGACCTTCAAATCTGACTTTAGATTTGACATTTGACCTTCAATGACCTTCTCAAGGTCAAAAAAGGTCAAAAAGGTCTGTTTTCAACTTGCATCAAATTGACAAATTTTTTTTTTCAAAATCATCTACGTGTTCTCAGAAATTCAAATCTGACTTAAGATTTGACATTTGACCTTCGATGACCTTCTCAAGGTCAAAAAAGGTCAAAAAGGTCTGTTTTAAACTTGCTTCAAATTGACTAAAAAATTTTTTCAAAATCATCTACGTGTTCTCAGAAATTCAAATCTGACTTTAGATTTGACTTAAGATTTGACATTTGACCTTCAATGACCTTCTCAAAGTAAAAAAAGGTCAAAAAGGTCTTTTTTCAACTTGCTTCAAATTGACTAAATTTTTTTTTCAAAATCATCTACATGTTCTCAGAAATTCAAATCTGACTTTAGATTTGACATTTGACCTTCAATGACCTTCTCAAGGTCAAAAAAGGTCAAAAAGGTCTGTTTTCAACTTGCTTCAAATTGACTAAATTTTTTTTTCAAAATCATCTACGTGTTCTCAGAAATTCAAATCTGACTTAAGATTTGACTTAAGATTTGACATTTGACCTTCAATGACCTTCTCAAGGTCAAAAAAGGTCAAAAAGGTCTGTTTTCAACTTGCTTCAAATTGACTAAAAAAAATTTTCAAAATCATCTACGTGTTCTCAGAAATTCAAATCTGACTTTAGATTTGACTTAAGATTTGACATTTGACCTTCAATGACCTTCTCAAAGTCAAAAAAGGTCAAAAAGGTCTTTTTTCAACTTGCTTCAAATTGACAAAATTTTTTTTTCAAAATCATCTGCATGTTCTCAGAAATTCAAATCTGACTTTAGATTTGACATTTGACCTTCAATGACCTTCTCAATGTCAAAAAAGGTCAAAAAGGTATTTTTTCATCTTGCTTCAAATTGACTAAATTTTTTTTCAAAATCATCTACATGTTCTCAAAAATTCAAATATGACTTTAGATTTGACTTTAGATTTGACATTTGACCTTCAATGACCTTCTCAAGGTCAAAAAAGGTCAAAAAGGTCTTTTTTCAACTTGCTTCAAATTGACTAATTTTTTTTTTCAAAATCATCTACATGTTCTCAGAAATTCAAATCTGAAAAAGGTAAAAAAGGTAAAAAAGGTCTGTTTTCAACTTGCTTCAAATTGACTAAAAAAAATTTTCAAAATCATCTACGTGTTCTCAGAAATTCAAATCTGACTTTAGATTTGACTTAAGATTTGACATTTGACCTTCAATGACCTTCTCAAAGTCAAAAAAGGTCAAAAAGATCTTTTTTCAACTTGCTTCAAATTGACTAAATTTTTTTTTCAAAATCATCTACATGTTCTCAGAAATTCAAATCTGACTTTAGATTTGACATTTGACCTTCAATGACCTTCTCAATGTCAAAAAAGGTCAAAAAGGTATTTTTTCATCTTGCTTCAAATTGACTAAAATTTTTTTCAAAATCATCTACATGTTCTCAAAAATTCAAATATGACTTTAGATTTGACTTTAGATTTGACATTTGACCTTCAATGACCTTCTCAAGGTAAAAAAAGGTCAAAAAGGTCTTTTTTCAACTTGCTTCAAATTGACTAATTTTTTTTTTCAAAATCATCTACATGTTCTCAGAAATTCAAATCTGACTTTAGATTTGACATTTGACCTTTAATGACCTTCTCAAGGTCAAAAAAGGTCAAAAAGGTATGTTTTCAACTTGCTTCAAATTGACCAAATTTTTTTTCAAAATCATCTACATCTTTTCAGAAGTTCAAATTTGACTTTACAAGTTCTCAGAAATTCAAATCTGACTTAAGTTTGAACTCATAATATTGTGAGCAACTAGGTGGTGACATTTTGTCATGTTAATGCCTTGTTGTGGATTTGAGATTTTTTCAATTCATCGACAAACTTCAACTATTAACACAGTTGCTATAGACTATAGTGATAAAGATTACCAGATCAAATACATATAGAGAAAATGTACACAGAGATCAACATAATAGATATTGACATTTATAATGTAGGCCTACATACTTACATTAATCGTAACATTTGAATCACAAGACAAATCCTGACTGTATCAATTCTTGACAACATTGAGTTGAATAGGCCTACACACTGAATATTTGTCAGCCTAAACTTCTTGATAATTTCTGTTTCAGGCTTAAAGAGTTCGCGGTGTGACGTGCGCCATGTCTGCAGACTCTGTAGTCAGCATGCTGAGGGAACCTAGCACTGAGCAGAAACTTCCACCAGCTAGGGAGTTTCCGAGATATAGCAGCTGTTGTTGTGGAAAACCTAACACTAAGATTGAGCCAGAGACATGGTCTAGCCTACTGGTTGAAATACGGAAAAATCGTTGGCTTCAAATCTATCATTATCATCCAACAGTGAGGGACAAACAATTTCAGATTGAGTTAGAGACTTATTTGAATTATCGTAAGACGGGGAGAGATTTTACACGTAAGCAACAACTTTTACAACTGTTGCAAGTGAAACAGAGGTCTCGATCAAACTCAATTATATCTAATAATTCTCTGTTGAACTCTACTGTCCGTAAGAAAAAAATTACAAGTGACTCCATGAAAACAGAGTGGAGTGGAAGTGGAGTCATACCAGGTAGTGTTGTTGGGTCAGACTCAGACATCAATGTTAGAGATACTAATGGGGGGCAGACTGCACCTAAATCATCTGACAGTTCTGTAAGTGTTTATACAGATAATAAGCCATTAATTGGGATTGAAAGTACAACGAATAATCACCAGAATAAGACAGACACTGCTTCAATAGCAATGGGCCATAGTGATGTGATAACAACAGCAAGAGACACATGTGGACATAATATATCACTAAAAAGTCCCAGTTTGGATATTCAAAATTCTGACAGTGAAAGTATTAACACATCAAGAGATGTCCAAATATCTTTAGCTAAATCACAACAGGGAATAAATCAACACACACATGACAAAGATCAAGGCAATATTGGGACAAAGATGGACAGAGAATCTCCTGGTGCTGTTGACAATTATAACAAACTACCTCATAGCTTTGAACACATTGGAACACAGAGACCTGCATCTAATGACTCCCAGGATCTCTCATCAGAAGGTTCTGAGAGATCTGTGAACCAAGACAAAGGAACTATGAACCAAGACAAAGGAACTATGGACCAAGACAAAGGAACTGTGAACCAAGACAAAGGAACTGTGAACCAAGACAAAGGAACTTTGGACCAAGACAAAGGAACTATGAACCAAGACAAGGGAACTATGGACCAAGACAAAGGAACTATGAACCAAGACAAAGGAACTGTGAACCAAGACAAAGGAACTTTGAACCAAGACAAAGGAGATCATAGTGCAGTTCTCTTCTTCTTTCATGGTGTTGGTGGTTCAGCCGATGTTTGGAAGCCACAGGTTGACTATTTCCGCAAAGAAGGTTATGAAATTATAGTTCCAGATCTTCTGGGACACGGCTACAGCCAGGCCCCAAAGACACAATCTGCATATCATTTTAAAGAACTCACCAAAGACATTGTGGCAATATTTGATAGATACTGTAAGAGAAGAAATGTCATTATAGGTCACTCTTATGGGTAAGCATAGCAGTTTGTAGATTAAGTTAACTAACCAAAATTAAGTTATTTCTAGACCTCCATATGTTTCTGGAGGTATAATATACTACATCTATCATATAATGGTTCTAAATGTACATGCAAGTCATGCCCTCACAATTTTTCTTTGCTGTCTTCTCCCCAGGATTGTTTCTCAAGTGGATGCCAAATTCATATTTACACAATTTAGACCTTTGCTCAAAATATGCTGGTTTTTCCATTCTCATTTTATGGATTCTTATGTGGGTGCAAACCTATTAATAAAATCTCAAGTGGATGAAGCAACCACTAGCTTTAATGCTTGGGAGATCACTGCTATTTAAGAACATATTACATGTAATGTTATAATAGATTTATTGTGACATGTTGTCTTGTATTTTCAGGACATGTTTTGCAACAATTTTAGCCAGACAGCGCTCTCTCTATGTGACCAAGATGATTCTTATCAGTGGGGGAGGCCCCACCCCCCTTCAACCCCAGCCAGGGATATTCTCACTGCCTTCCTGCCTCCTTGGCTGCCTCAAACCCATTCTAGTCTGTGGATTTAAAAAGTAAGTTTCCAGAAGACATAGATGTAAAACAATAATAAAGTCATATATCACTGTTGGGATGAATTCTTAGAATACAGTATGATAGCAGCATTCTCGACATCAGTCATATATCACCCAATCAACACCTGTCATGAATACATGTATGGCCATAAGAAGTAGATTCTTTGTTTTGTGTCAATGACACTGTCAATTTTGATGCACATCGAATTATCCACCATTTCGTCTGATTCTGATTGAATGAAATGCAATGGTACTTTTAGACCCTTGTGATTGCTATTTGGATGTGTTTTTTTTGATTTACTCAAAATCGTACAAGCAAGCAAACCAAAGAATCTACTTCTTATGGCCTATGTGGCCCAGTCAATAACAAAATACATGTAAGCATGTGGTTTTGTCTTTCTCTATTGTATTCAGGAATTGACAATGAAATGATTATGTGTTTTATTTAAGACATATTATAAATCATTTCGATTTTACAATATTATAGCTTAATAAGTTTCACAGATACATGTATTCCTGTTTTCAGATCTGCATTTGTGACAAAATCAAAAACATATGTACCAAAAGAAAAAGCTTTTGATGTTCCGTCCTATGTGTTGAAGCACACAATGAATGGCCAAGATTGGCTAGATGGTGATGAGAATTATCACAGATGGATCACAGTACCAACACTACTTATCTATGGGATGAATGACCCCCTGGTCACTCTCTGGGAGACACAGGCTATGCAAAAAGTATGAGTCAACTTGTGATGGACTAAGACATTTTTATGTACAATACTATTTATATTTTAGCGTTTCCTTCTCATGAGATTTAACTTGAGATTGACTTGTTTATTGATGGTCCTGTCACCTTTTTGAGCTCTAATTTTGACAATTTATTAACCAGTCTACACAAACTTCAAATTCTGCTTTAAAATGTTTAGGCCTAACGGGCCCCACATCATATACTTATTGAACTGTCAAAAACTGGCACAAAGAGGAAGTTCTTGTAACTGTAATTAACATTTTCAATTTGCAAATCATAATGTTTAATTAAAGTTATGGTTGAACAGGTATCTCATGAAGTCTGAAATTAAGAATTTCCAAGTTAATTGTTAAAAGGTTATTATGGCAATTTATTTCTTCTGGGATGATTGTTCCTTTAAGTTGTAATTCTCTAGATTCTTATTTTTGGCTTTCTTTGTGTTTCAGATTGTGTTTGGCTCTACTCTAGAGGTAATAGACAATGCAAGCCACATGGTTATGATCGACCAACCAGAACTAACCAACAAACTTATACATGACTACTTACACAAAGACTTCAGAGTTATTGGTACAGCAAAGCGACAGAATAGACTGGTTAAACATCAAAGCTCTGTAATATCTTTGAAAACACTCCCACCAAGTGGCTTATTCATGACAGGAAAGCACAATGATCACTAGTAAGATCTCATATGTGTTATCTCTAGCTACCTCTTTGAACAGTGCAATATCTCAGGCCATGTATCTATTTGAAGGAGTGTAATACTTAAGGGTTCACACAGACTGTATATAATGTACATCATGTATATCATGCATATCATGTATATTATGATCAGTGATGCCTGCCTCTTAATTGGTGGTTATTACTCAATCTTGTTTGTTGTCTTGTTCAAATTTCATTGGAATACATGATCTTAATTGTATATATGTACAGGGTGGTCCAAAAAGTGGAACATAACTTAAATGTAAAAAAATTATTTCTGTATCAAAATGCACCAACATTTTCCTTTGCATATAGTTCTTTCAAATGTTTGTATACAGTCTTTCTTGTTAATGGTCTTAAAACAACTCAATGATTGATGTGACCCTTCAATTGTTTCTTCTTGAATAACAAGTTCAAACTTGGGCTTCCATTTTGAAGTGATTTTTAAATTTTCTTGTGGTTGTGATAAATGATTTCCTTTCAACATATCTTAACAGAAACAGACTTCCTCAATGTTTGCCATTGTGAGTTCAAATCCTGCGATTTGATTAACATTTTGTTTAAACTTTACAGGAGATTTGATATGGTCTGTAAATATATACTTTGTGTACATTTAAAAGAAAGAAACTTTCTGTGTACGATTAACAAATGTTCCACTTTTTGGACCACTCGCCTGCACTTACCTGTACATGTAGTAGTGTAAGTAGAATAAGAAAATGTAATTTGAACATGTACCACTACTATTCACTGCAATTGACAGCTGGACTGTTGAACATTTGAACATGATTTTGCCTAGTCATAATTTAACTTAATTTTTATCATAGAGATGACTATATATTATGTCACTGCAGATTTATAATGTAGTGTTGTAATTATTGGAACAAATGTCTCATGTTTTGTTTGTACAATAATATATGATATATGCATGCATTTGTATAGAGGTATTTTTAATACACAATAGATTATGACACAACTGATACTGTAAATGACTATTAATTAAGAATATATATTCATATATACAGTAAAACCTGTCCTAGTGAACATCTGTGTCTAGTGAACCCAGATTTACAGTGAGCATTTTTATCAGATGCCAAACCTTGTTCTCCCATTGATTTTCATGTTATGTGAACACTTACCTACTATAAAAAGTGAACACCAAATCTTGAATTGCCCTGTGTATAGTCAACAATATATGATTTCTCACAGATTTTCTACAAGTGTCCTTTAAAAGTTTAGCACTTTGTTATCTGTCAAAAGATAATACCCTAGAGGAGATTTTGATAGGGTGACTAATTTCTTCATAATAAAAATGACATGCCAACTTATGCAGATGAGGGAGATGCAATTTTACAGTCCCAGCAGAATACCATCTTTACATTCCATACCCAGGTCCATACGACTGGAAAGATGTCACTGAAGTCAGTTTTTGTTATCTTCGCATTTGCAAATACAAGCTAGTAAACTCACAATACTTTGGAAAATCAGAATACTGAAAGCTTTAAATGGCCTTTATACAGGGTGGGCAAAAAATGTCACTTTTTTTAAGACTACAACTTTTTCATTTTCCAACCTACATACCCCAAATTTTGCAGTTATATAGTGCCAAGGGTTCTTAGTAATAATATAATGTAACAAGTCCTTCAACTTGGATTATATTTGATCTAAAAGGGGAGTTCAATTGGTCGGCCACCCTAATTGATGATATATTTTAGTTTTAGTTGACTTGCTCATATTGCAGTATCAATGAAATGTTAGCCAAGTTTTTTTCAACCTGTCTTAATTGCCAGCTTTAGTTTAGCAATTTCCTATATTGGGTGCCAGACAATCTCCTGGAGACCTTCCAATACCTTATACTCACTGGGGTTTGCATCAGGGCTATTCGCTTGGCGATCATCAGGCAGTTCAGGAACATTTTGCAAATTATGCTTATTTCTCATGGCACACCACATGTTTAAGAGAGACGCTGGCATGCTGGTGACATATTTTATTCAAGTAAAAGTGTATAATTTATGATCCATTGCTAGATAACAACCTCAAGTTTCATTTGGTATGCTAATTATGATTTAATATCAAAAATTAAAAAAGTTGTAGCATTTTGAAATAAGTGGCGTTTTTTGGCCCACCCTGTATATTAAGCCCTTTGCAGAATATTATCTGATTCCCGAACAATTTGATCCCCTAACGTTCGTATTTTCAGCGGAACAAAAATTTTGAACCAATAAAATCACCCGTATCATCTCTGTTTGGAATGACGCGGTAAATAACATGATTTTGGTTTCCATAAATCTTCTAACTAAAAATACTGTTTTCTAAGAGTTCTAAAGTCCTAAACATAAAAACCGATTATGCTTTTAGAACATGAACTGATAGAGGCACTGCAGGGAGAAGACATAAGGTAAATTTTGAAAATAATAACATAATATCTTCAGTCACAAGTTTTCTCGGCCTTTTTTGTCAGCTGACACTGACAGTGACAGCTAGCCTAGCCTAAACTAAAAACTTACTCACAAAGGTGCTCCCTAGGTTATAAGATTGTAGGCCGGTCGGGATCACCTCATTGTACCGACGCACATTATACCGAAACCCATTATACCGGCGCGCATTGTAGAGACCCTATCTGTTGCAAGACTAGTCAAGTGAACTCGACTTAATGTTGTTGTTTCACGTTTCTTTTTGACGATTTGGATATTTGTTTTTTATTTTTGTTTTCAACATTTGCGTCGAGGATATTAAGCCCTGTATATTGCGGTAAATGCTTTTCTGCCCTCTATGCTCAACAAAAGTTACACAGATAAGATAATGGATCCAATGCTTCAACTAGAATGTATTAACTCTTACCTTAAACACAGGAAGTACTTGATAATTGAAGAAATGTAATCATTTTCGTATATGTTTGAACCAATTTCCAATATGGTTCTCAAGGTCACTCAAGGTCACTGAATACTGTCTAAATGTGAAACCATGCAACCAAAACGAAATCGTAATTATTTATTACCAACATATCTGTTTTCGGTTTCTTCACCCTCCTTGGTGTCTGAGAAGGCGATTCAATTGTCATAAGACGATGATAAACTTTCGAGTTGAAATCTCGATCTCAATATGGCTGCTGTTATTTATTGTAATTTCGTTTTTCGCTTCACCTAGAGTTTTACTTTTACACAATCATTACCCAGAATGCATCTACACATGGGGAAAAAAAAATTTTCCAGAAAAATTCTTATACTTCTTCAATTATCAAGCGTTTGACGTGTGTAAGGTAGGATTAAATACATTATCGATGAAGAGCATATTCTAATACATAATTTGTGTGATTTTGGTTGCCTAAACAGGCCAGGAAAGCATTTCCCTCAATTTACAACCGGGAAGTGTGTACGACCCTAGTATGCAAGAAAATAACAAAAAATAAATATCCAAATTATCAAAAAATAATGACAAATAAAGCATACGATGGTCGGATTTATATGACTATTGCAAGACTAACGCCTGGCGTAACCGTCACCATGTTATTCAGTGTTTTTAAGTAGCGCAAGGATCCTGCCATCACAGGCTGGTATCGAAAAATTTGTCCGCTGTGACGGAGCGTGCTATTTTGCATAGAAACACTAAGAAACCCAGATAATTTATTTTTTTACTCATATGTTTCGCTATTCCAAAGAAAATTTCTTACTCCATGCAATGGGTATATCATTTGCGGGTAACTTTAACTTTTGTTTGAAGTCCAAAAACGCTAAGAGTAAAAGCTATTGAAAACGGCGCTGGGGTATCATACTCCAAAATGTACCATTTCTTTTATTTCTTTTTAATGGTACAATATAGTGATACGATAATATTTACATGTGTTTTCAGCATAACTCTGAAGGTATTAATGATATCTTGATATATTGGGTATTTTTAATATTTTTTATAAAAAATAATGTTTACATTTTTTGTCAGCTGTGACGGAGCAGCTTTAACTGTGAACTACGTTAAGAATTTAAGATGCAAATTATATCTTTTAAAAGTACACTTAGAAGAGAGAACGTCACAAATCACTTTCCTAAATTATGACAAGTAGTCTCTTGGAGATCTGGGGTAATGTAAATCTGAGATATAAAAACGACAACGGAGATTTGTACTGAAATCAACATGAATCAACATGGTGTAAACTCAACATAATATTTCTAATACGTTTTCGCCAAGACGTCTTGAAATGTCACGTGTAGTGTAAATAGGGCTAATATGAATTTATTCGAAATAGCGCACAGACATCCTGCATTCCGACAGATGTATAACCTTTTACCACATAATATTACTGTACATAAGATGATCCCAATACAGATTTAATTTGTATTTATTTGAAATTCATGAAATTCATCGTTTTGCATAGACTAAAATTATAAAAAAGTCTTGGTAAACGTGCTGCACTGTAAAACCTGTCTCAATGAATATCTTTCTCTAGTGAACACCTCTTCTTATCAAATATTCCTCTGACTTCTGTATGAAATCGCCTGTATGAAGTGAACATCTACCAACTGGGAACACATTTTTGGGCTCCATATGTGTTCACTGTACACATGTTTTACTGTAGTTACATCAGATAGCCATAACTCTTATTCAAATAAAGAACGATCTTAAAATCAAATTTTGCATTTTCGTATTTCAAGATACACTCAACTTACCTTTTGGAACGACTAAAGAGGGTAGAACAATGCACATTCCATACCATTATATGTATTTAGCTTCATCTTCAGCAAATCATTTTACTTCAAATAATCAAGTTACCGTAAAAAATGACCATGTCAGGCCGATGGATCCACAGAAGGCACTACGAAAGGGAAATACCCTATACTTAAATGAAGCTGGCTATGATTTTCATGAGTTACCATGCATAAGTTGGATTGCAGTACAAACTGAGAAAAGATGCTTAAAGAGTGGTCGTATATACATCTCAGAATTTGAATTGTGTACTTTTATTACGTTTCATTTTTCAGAATACTTTACGAGATTTGACACGCTCGCTCCTCTAACGTGTAGTTGTAAAGAGATATATTATAAATCTAAATTCTTAACGTATTTCAGATTTGAAACTGCTCCGTCACAGCGGACAAAAAATCTAATTATTATTTTTTATCAAAAAAATTAAAAATACCCAATACATAAAGATCTCATTAATACCTCGAGAGTTATGCTGAAAACATATGTAAATATTATCGTGTCGCTACATTGTACCATTAAAAAGAAATAAAAGAAATGATACATTTTGGAGTATGATACTCCGACGCCGTTTTCAATAGCTTTTACTCTTAGCGTTGTTGGACTTCAAACAGAAGTTAAAGTTACCCACAAATGATAAATTCATTGCATGGAGTCAGTAATTTTCTTTGATATAGTAAAACATATGAGTAAAAAAATAAATTGTGTGGATTTCCTAGTGTTTCTATGCAAAATAACACGCTCCGTCACAGCGGACAAATTTTTCGATACCTGCCTGTGGCCATGACCGTGGTAATGTTATCGTGAAAGCCTGGTATAACCGCGACAATGCTGTATTATATTGCAATGCCTGCCATGTTATCGCATCCTACGATCCCTTTAGATATTTCGTGATTTATTATTAAAGTTCCGTGCGTAACACTTAATTTCCCAGTCCGTGAACATTTGATTCGATTTTGTTATGAATGAGATTAAAGAACACTAAACACGCTTTCTAATGGTTTGATGTACATCTGGCTCGCTGGCTACAAAACTTCCCACAAACACTTGGGATTCATTTTTGACAATCGCTTCAAATTTGACATACACATAAATGAACTTGCCAGCAAGGTGCAAAAACAGCTCAGCCCACTGAAATCACTATCCTACAAATTAAAGTCAAAGCACCTTGAACTTATATATAATTCCTTTATTTTACCACACTTAGATTACTGCAGTTCAATTCATGGCTCTAGCACAGCTCAAAACTTGATAAAACTTGACAGACTGCATTACAAAGCAGCACTCAGCTGCTCAGGGGCTCTTCATGGATCAAATACTATAAAAACTCTTAATTGTCTAAAGTGGAAGCCACTTGAATCCAGAAGAAGAGATAAAGATTGCATTATCATGTTTAAGATTTGTAAAAATATGGCACCTGATTATATAATTGAACTCTTTGACCGTTATAAATCTGAGCCAAGAAGGGTTCTTAGAACTCATAGAACTTTCCAAAATACCGCCAAAATCAAGCACGCGACTTAATAAAGCACCAGTATTGCGATTAATTTCTGAATGGAATAGAATCTCCAGAAGATAGGTCTATTCCCACCATATCAATGTTCAAAAGTAAAATCAAAAACAAAACTTTAAAATTTACTGACTTCAATACAACATCAAAACTAAATCTGTCTCGAAAACAAGAAATTATCCTAAACAGAATTAGATGTGGACTTTATTTCGAATCACAAAAGTTTGCCCATAATTTTCCTAACACATCTAACCTATGTGTCTGTGGTAAGAGTGCAACCCAAAAACATTTAATTCTGCATTGCAAGCGCCATTCTACTCAAAGAAAACGCCTTGAAGAATCCCTCGAAGAGTATAACCTGTGGACCCCACTCAATGGACAAGAAAAAATTGAATCTCTAATTTTTCAAAATTCCCTTTCACTTGGAAATATATAATGAAATGAAAAAAAATCTGGCTCGCTGTTTCAAATCATATACAATACTGTCAGTCAGCAAAGAATTTTTTGTCATCTATTAAAGTCTGATCTTTATGTAAAACGCAATATTTGGATGTATTTTTATTTTTATAAATTTTACAACTGACAAGTTTATGAATGCCTATATATTAAAATGACATTGTTAATAATGGCATTTCCAGTGCAGAATAAAAGCACAATAAAAAATAAAATATCATTTAGGATAAGCCGGTAGTCGAACCATGGTATATCGGGGGGAAACGAGCATTTTCCCCCTAGACCACATGGGCCGAATATACAGAGAGAGGTCAATCAATGCTACTCATCCAAACGGCTTTAGTGTACAAGTCACGTGATGTCAGGCGATAAATATCCAAGAAAATCGGACAGCCGGCGAACATCGAAGCAATGGAAGAAATAATCGTGACAATTCTTTGCCCCAATTGTTCATCAGCGTATATCCTCTCAATTTAGCTCAAAATAGCACCAGGGACATTGGAACAACTCACGATTGCTTTTTATCGAGAGCTCACAGTTTAATAAAGTTCAATGCATAACAGTTGATTCACTTTTGTTAGAATGGAGCCTAAAGAAGACAAGATAACCTTTCCAATGGTGCGTTGAGCGTTGTATATGTGGCTAGGTACATCAAATTATGAAAATGTACGCAATGTTGTCACGTCAGTTCGTGAAATTCATCTATTACACAATGCGTTACATTTAATTTCAATTCGATTTACTGTATTTTCTTTTACATTTTTATCCCATTTTTCTTCCCTCAAGAAGGGATCCTTAAATTGAAGGCTAGACAACACAGAATAAATGTTAGAATTGTGGCGACAACTTTTTTTTTTTTAATTGGCTTCAATTTTCGAAGATTGTTCTAAATCAGACGTCCTATGGCCATTTGGCGTATTCCTATAAACTATTGAGTTTTCCGAAAAAATAGATGGACAAACAGACAAATGTATGGGCATCTTTTCTATCTCTGATGACAGGTTGTTCTAGTCTCAAAATACATATTCTCTCGTTTGTAAAGATTTTCGTCAATTCTAATTAAAGAATATCATGGATAAAAACTGTCTAATATTTTACTCCAAATAAACTTTAAATATGTGTTTGATCGCTAATATGTCTATCAATTAAGTTGCGTTGCATTGTCTCTTAAATGTTACACGCAGGAAAACTTTACAATGTGCGTAGCTGTTATGGCATTCGACATAACTCTTAAAAGTTACACGCAGAAAGATACACGCAGGAAAACTTTATAATGTGAGGTATTATGGCATTCGGCATAACGCCTTTCGGTACAATGCGTGTCGGTATAATGGATTTCGGTATAATTGCGTTGGTATAATGGGTTTCGGTATAATGACCCCGGTTGGTCACTCTGCATGGCGTGCAGGGCGGCCATGTACTATGGTTTCCTGGGGAGCACCTATGGCTACTCACAGTGACACTGACAGTTTTGAGTTTCAGCTTTCAAAATAGGTCATCAAACTTAAAGTTTTTTAGAAGTGCATCTTCGGTATCACAGGCATCGGAACAGAGATAACCCCCCCCCCCACTCAGTCTATGTACATAGTAAATAATATTATTTACTAGGTACATATACTGAGTGGGGGAGGGGGGTATCTCTGTTTCGATGCCTTTGTTTGGTGTATCCCAAAAATTTCAGATTGATGGAACTAAGTCTAGTGTCCCATCTAGTGAATTCCAAAATGCCAGGTATAGAGATCTCCACTCCCAGGTCTCCATTCCAGTCTGTACTGAATCTGGCATAGATTGCCCTAGCCCTGTTTAGGACTCTAAATTTGTCGTTATTAGATTTGAGATTTGACCACACTTCAGGGTGGGTGTGGCATATCGACGTTAATCCTGTGCTTGGCTTGCTATGATTAACTGAAAGTGTTACTTATGTACATGTATAAGTTTTTATCTGTATCCAAACATGCTTTTATAATCATAATATGGTCAAATAAATTATCTTTCAATATTTAACTTTTTAGATTGGTATGCAAAATATGGGTAGGTATATTGTAGGTTCCTTTAATAAAATATAAAATTACCAAACTTTTATTATAGCATGTTATGATTGTATTATTTATGATCTAAGTATTTGATTTCAGTACAGTTGAGGGATGTCTGTACATGGGTGCCAATCCTAATCTGGTTCTGCCCGATGGTGCCGCTGCCATGCACATTAGTGTTGGGGTGGACAGTGACCAAGCAGAGGACTTTGTTAAACTCATGATTCAGTATGGTGGTAATCCCAATGTCCAGTGAGTATTCATCCATGTAAACTAAGACATAACTTATTGATAAAATACCCTCTTAAAAAGATTAGCAAGCTTTATAAGAATCCATTTTATCCCTAAGTTTGGTTGGGATATTAGTGAAGCTCTCTGTTAGTCCAACCGTGCAAAAGGATTTATAACTAAATTTTGATAGTTAAAAGTCATTTTAGATCATAAAAAATTATTTTGACTTTTCACATTAACTTTTAAGTAATCCTGACCCAAAATGCTACACATTTCCCAATTTACATCATGATTTTTTTTCTTTCATCTCACATGATGGATCAAGCTTTTCTTGTGAACCCGTACCAATAGATATATGAAAAAAGGTATACTGGTAATAGGTATAGAATGTGGATCTTTGAAATTTTTCAGGGATACAGAAGGAGTAACCCCACTCCATGCAGCTGCCAGCTGGGGTAGAGCAGAGATCCTCAAATTATTATTGGTCAATGGAGGAGACCCTACTCTCAAAGATCAGGTATATTTAGTGCCAAATCTCATATCAACTTGAAACAGGATCCTGAGTTGAATTAGATTTTTACAGCTTTGTAGTATTTGACTCTTATGATGCAATTTGACATACTACACAGCCAATCTCCAATATACCGCACCATAGTACCATAGACTTACAGTACTGTATGCATGGTATCATGAACTCTGTACAGCACCATACTCAAATGGTACCGCATGGTGCCATACTCTTAACCTACTGTAAAGTACAATGATTTCAGAGTGCGGATAGGCAACTTATAAAACTATAACCAAGACCTATTATAACTGGTCAAAACAACCATATATGGTGACCTGGTTTTAAAGTTCTGTTGGAGGAATGTCTTTATACGTAATGTCTTAATAACCAGATGGGGACTAGTGAGTAATGGACTCTATTTTAATACATTACAACCATTCTTTCTTTGCAGGATGGTATGGATGTGGAGGCCTATGCCCTTGAGTCTAAAGATGACCTCACCATTAAATATGTTGAACTGTTTGCATTTAATGAGAAGGGTGATGATTCCAGTGAGGGTGAAGATAAGCCAGTGGAGCATTATACCTTGGAGTTACTAGGTATGTATGCCATTATTACATCTTTTAAAATTGGAGCATCTAAGGTCTAGGGCTGTATTGTATGCAACATATCTATGCAAGTGATTGCATCTTGAACAATAACATTATTTCATTGCATAAAATTAATCAGCCACATTGCAATTTTTGTTAAATCTGTTTCTGTTTTGGTAGATACAAAGGTCCATTGTTTCAGATGCTGGGGATAAAAATTCACGGTACAGTTGGGGAACCAGTTCTTGCAGAAGCAGTTGGGGTAGACACATGGCCCCCTCTCCACCCCTGGAACCTGGTACCAGCCCCCCTCCATACAATTCAAACACATGTACTATTCACCCACATCCTTCTCACCCACATATAAATCCTGCCCATATGCACAGTGAAGATGTGGCTAATGGAGACATCTGTGATGAGATCTACAAGCTGTACATCGACTCTGCGGACAAGACAGAAGAAGAAGACAATAAACTACATAAGAATGACTTTTTGGAGCCAGTGAACAGAATAACTAAAAATCAACAGGATAACTACATCAAACCCAGTAGGTTGAGTAATGTATTTGAACCTAATAGCCACAACAATCCAAAGAGAAGTAAACGAAGCCAACGTACTAGACTGTCTATTCCAGTAAAGCAACGCCAAAGTTTCTATACTTCCAAAGTGCAGGCAGTTCTCAATGATGACTATGATCAAGGTTCACAAATCTTTGATGTCACTTCCCCAGATCATCCCATTGTGGTTGAGCGGCAATCCCTGGATGATACAATGGAGAAGATAGAACGCAGGAGGTCCAAATATCCAATTATATCCTCTAAGGACGGATATTTTAGGGTAAGCTGAATTGTATAAATCCCATCCTCAATGGTAGCTAAATTTTCAGGTTAGCCAAATTATTTAGAACCTTTGGCAAAAATTCCTGCAAAAATGACTGCCATTTGTATCATGGAAGAGTTGCCCGTTTGAATACAAACTTGATAGTATTCACTTTTCTGCAAAGTCAATTCATGAATATTATAACATATGGCTTAAAAATATTTGTGTATTATTGATATTGAAATTCAAAACTCCTGTAGTTCCAGGTTGATTCTGAAATCTCATTTGCTAGTATAGCACACAGAGACCAAGATGATAGAGACATGGCCTGCCAGCAGGAACATGTAGGTTCTCCATTCAAAAGCTACAGGACTCGGAGCAAATCAGCTAGTTTATCTAGTGGGAATGAGTCCTTTGAATCCTGCTCTAGTGGGGGATCTTATCACTCTACACACAACAACTCCTTGGAGTTACCCAGTGCTAAAGACACTTCATCTCATGTTAAAGACAAAGATAATGCATCTGCTGGTAGTCTATCAAGCAAAAGTGACATATTTTATGACACTGTAGAACCAAACTCCATTAAACCTGTATATTTGAAACCACTTCCCATGTGCCATGAACCCCATAGCCCGAGTGACAAAGTGCCCAATACTGCAAAAAGAAGTAATGACAAGGTGCCCAGTGCATCCAAAAGTACTAATGACAAGTTGCCAAGTACAGCCCAAAGTATCAACAATAAAGTGTCTTGTTCATCCAAAAGTACCAATGACAATTTGCCAAGAATAGCACAAAGTAACAATGACAAGGTGTCCAGTACATCCAAAAGTCCCAGTAACAAGGTACCCAGTATGGCCCAAAGTACCTATGACAAGGTACCCAGTACATCCAAGAGTACCCATGACAAAGTGCCCAGTACAGCCCAATACTACAGAAGCATTAAAGATGGTCAAATCAAAAAGGAAGAAAGAACTGATACGGACTCACTCAATGACAGCCTCCTCAGCCATCTAACTCAGTTGAAATTGGGAGATACCCCTAAATCTAGCAAACCTCAAGTCACCAAGTACAAACCAAATAAACCAAGTGTTGATTTATTTACATCAGATGAAAGTGACTTGGACACTACATTAAATATTTTGTCAAAAAGAAACCGTTATAGTATTAGAACACTCAGAAAGCCCAATGGATATACACCCTCTGAGCCCATGGAGCATTGCAATTGCACATGCCCTCCTGAGGATGGGGACTCAGAATATAGCAGCACAAGTAGCTTGTCTGACAGACTTTCCTCAAGTGGAATGAGTGGGAGAAACTCTGTGGGGAGTAACCAATCATGTCGGTCAGAACTGAGCAACTATAGTGAGGGGGCCTCCATCATGCATCTCTACAGAGATGATCAGGAAGACTGTTCATTAATTGAGCATCATTATCTTCCTGATAGTTCATTATATTCCCATCATTCGCCTGATGTTTCCCTGTCTTTAACAACCCTGGGAATCAGTAGTGCACTAGAGCCACTGTCTAATGAGGAGATCAGGGCTCAACTTGTTGCAATGGGAGATCAGCCAGGACCCGTAGTGAACAGTCTCAGAGACGTTTATCTAAAGAGGCTTGCAAGACTGAAAAATGACCCTGATTTACCAAAAATCATAGTTAAATCTACAGAATCGGGTATGTCATCCTTCTCTGTTTAAAAACAATATGTATTGTCTGTCCTTAAGACAATAGGTGAATTAATTACATGTAAAAATATGCAGTTCAATACAATTATAACAGCTTTGGATTTTCCAAATTTGAGGTTACAAATCCTTAAGTTACAAATCCTTAGATTTTGTCATTTTAATGGATTGGTACTATAGATTACATGTACTTGATCAGCAAGGCAGTCCATATTATCACAAAAACAAATGATTTTAATGATTAAGTCGACACTTTCACATTTACTTCCTTTTAGAATACCTTCCAGAGCTGACTAAAGCTTTAGAAGGAGATCTCTATCCCAGTGATGTCAGTGTGATGGAGCAGCACATGGAGGCACCATTCAAAGACTCTGATCCCTCCCTCAAGTGGAGAGAGGGCACCCTAAAGACTAGCTTCAACTATATACTACTAGACCCTAGATTTACACAGAATCTGCCCTCCAGAGCAAAATATATGAGTAAGTTAAATACGTTATGTATGTGTTGAAGTGTCTTCCCATTTTACAAAGGCCAGTAAAAAAGGCTAGCAAGAGCTTACCACTTTGCGCATTTTACCTTTAGAACTGGATTGTTTAATGTTAAAGATCATGATTTTTGTAAATTGGAAATACAGCTATTAATACATAATTATGACTGGCTTCACAGAAAATAAATAATCCTGTTTGATAACCTCAATTTACATATCTTAGCCTCAAACAAAATCACATTTTCCTGTTCTTGTAACTTCAGAAATGTACTCAGTATTAATATTTACCAACTTTTCTATTGGATTTCCATTTAATTGTGATTTAGGTGACACAGGATGTGTTCCGAGTGTCTCTAGTGCCAGATATTCTACATCTAATTGTGTTTCTTACATATAGGTGAGCAAGATGTGTTCCGAGTGTCTCTAGTGCCATCTATTCTACATCTAATTGTGTTTGTTACATATAGGTGAGCAGGATGTGTTCAGAGTGTCTCTAGTGCCAGATATTCTACATGTAATTGTGTTTCTTACATATAGGTGAGCAGGATGTGTTCCAAGTGTCTCTAGTGCCAGATATTCTACCTCTAATTGTGTTTCTTACATATAGGTGAGCAGGATGTGTTCCAAGTGTCTCTAGTGCCAGATATTCTACATGTAATTGTGTTTCTTACATATAGGTGAGCAAGATGTGTTCCGAGTGTCTCTAGTGCCAGATATTCTACATCTAATTGTGTTTCTTACATATAGGTGAGCAAGATGTGTTCCAAGTGTCTCTAGTGCCAGATATTCTACATGTAATTGTGTTTCTTACATATAGGTGAGCAGGATGTGTTCCGAGTGTCTCTAGTGCCAGATATTCTACATCTAATTGTGTTTCTTACATATAGGTGAGCAATTTGTGTTCCGAGTGTCCCTAGTGCCAGATATTCTACATCTAATTGTGTTTCTTACATATAGGTGAGCAAGATGTGTTCCGAGTGTCTCTAGTGCCATCTATTCTACCTCTAATTGTGTTTTAGGTGACTCAGGATGTGTTCCGAGTGTCTCTAGTGCCAGATATTCTACATCTAATTGTGTTTCTTACATATAGGTGAGCAAGATGTGTTCCGAGTGTCTCTAGTGCCAGATATTCTACATCTAATTGTGTTTTTTACATATAGGTGAGCAAGATGTGTTCCGAGTGTCTCTAGTGCCATCTATTCTACATCTAATTGTGTTTCTTACATATAGGTGAGCAAGATGTGTTCCGAGTGTCTCTAGTGCCATCTATTCTACATCTAATTGTGTTTTAGTTGACTCAGGATGTGTTCCGAGTGTCTCTAGCACCAGATATTCTACATATAATTGTGTTTCTTACATATAGGTGAGCAGGATGTGTTCCGAGTGTCTCTAGCACCAGATATTCTACATGTAATTGTGTTTCTTACATATAGGTGAGCAAGATGTGTTCCGAGTGTCTCTAGTGCCATCTATTCTACATCTAATTGTGTTTCTTACATATAGGTGAGCAGGATGTGTTCCAAGTGTCTCTAGTGCCAGATATTCTACCTCTAATTGTGTTTCTTACATATAGGTGAGCAGGATGTGTCCGAGTGTCTCTAGTGCCATCTATTCTACATCTAATTGTGTTTCTTACATATAGGTGAGCAGGATGTGTTCAGAGTGTCTCTAGTGCCAGATATTCTACCTCTAATTGTGTTTCTTACATATAGGTGAGCAGGATGTGTTCAGAGTGTCTCTAGTGCCAGATATTCTACATGTAATTGTGTTTCTTACATATAGGTGAGCAGGATGTGTTCCAAGTGTCTCTAGTGCCAGATATTCTACATGTAATTGTGTTTCTTACATATAGGTGAGCAGGATGTGTTCCAAGTGTCTCTAGTGCCAGATATTCTACCTCTAATTGTGTTTCTTACATATAGGTGAGCAGGATGTGTTCCAAGTGTCTCTAGTGCCAGATATTCTACATGTAATTGTGTTTCTTACATATAGGTGAGCAGGATGTGTTCCGAGTGTCTCTAGTGCCATCTATTCTACATCTAATTGTGTTTCTTACATATAGGTGAGCAGGATGTGTTCCGAGTGTCTCTAGCACAAGATTATTCTACATCTAATTGTGTTTCTTACATATAGTTGAGCAGGATGTGTTTCGAGTGTCTCTAGTGCCAGATATTCTACATCTAATTGTGTTTCTTACATATAGGTGAGCAGGATGTGTTCCGAGTGTCTCTAGCACAAGATTATTCTACATCTAATTGTGTTTCTTACATATAGGTGAGCAGGATGTGTTTCGAGTGTCTCTAGTGCCAGATATTCTATATCTAATCGTGTTTCTTACATATAGGTGAGCAGGATGTGTTCCGAGTGTCTCTATTGCCAGATATTCTACATGTAATTGTGTTTCTTACATATAGGTGAGCAGGATGTGTTCCAAGTGTCTCTAGTGCCAGATATTCTACCTCTAATTGTGTTTCTTACATATAGGTGAGCAGGATGTGTTACAAGTGTCTCTAGTGCCAGATATTCTACATGTAATTGTGTTTCTTATATATAGTCGAGCAGGATGTGTTCAGAGTGTCTCTAGTGCCAGATATTCTACATGTAATTGTGTTTCTTACATAAAGGTGAGCAAGATGTGTTCCGAGTGTTCATCAGTGCCAGATATTCTACATGTAATTGTGTTTCTTACATAAAGGTGAGCAAGATGTGTTCCAAGTGTCTCTAGTGCCAGATATTCTACATGTAATTGTGTTTCTTACATATAGGTGAGCAGGATGTGTTCAGAGTGTCTCTAGTGCCAGATATTCTACCTCTAATTGTGTTTCTTACATAAAGGTGAGCAGGATGTGTTCCGAGTGTTTCTAGTGCCAGATATTCTACATCTAATTGTGTTTCTTACATATAGGTGAGCAAGATGTGTTCCGAGTGTCTCTAGTGCCAGATATTCTACATCTAATTGTGTTTCTTACATATAGGTGAGCAAGATGTGTTCCGAGTGTCTCTAGCACCAGATATTCTACATATAATTGTGTTTCTTACATATAGGTGAGCAAGATGTGTTCCAAGTGTCTCTAGTGCCAGATATTCTACATGTAATTGTGTTTCTTACATATAGGTGAGCAGGATGTGTTCCGAGTGTCTCTAGTGCCATCTATTCTACATCTAATTGTGTTTCTTACATATAGGTGAGCAAGATGTGTTCCGAGTGTCTCTAGTGCCAGATATTCTACATCTAATTGTGTTTCTTACATATAGGTAAGCAGGATGTGTTCAGAGTGTCCCTAGTGCCAGATATTCTACCTCTAATTGTGTTTCTTACATATAGGTGAGCAGGATGTTTTCAGAGTGTCTCTAGTGCCAGATATTCTACCTCTAATTGTGTTTCTTACATATAGGTGAGCAGGATGTGTCCGAGTGTCTCTAGTGCCAGATATTCTACCTCTAATTGTGTTTCTTACATATAGGTGAGCAGGATGTGTCCGAGTGTCTCTAGTGCCAGATATTATACATCTAATTGTGTTTCTTACATATAGGTAAGCAGGATGTGTTCAGAGTGTCCCTAGTGCCAAATATTCTACATCTAATTGTGTTTCTTACATATAGGTGAGCAGGATATGTTCAGAGTGTCTCTAGCACCAGATATCCTACCTCTAATTGTGTTTCTTACATATAGGTGAGCAGGATGTGTTCCAAGTGTCCCTAGTGCCAGATATTCTACATCTAATTGTGTTTCTTACATATAGGTGAGCAGGATATGTTCAGAGTGTCTCTAGCACCAGATATCCTACCTCTAATTGTGTTTCTTACATAAAGGTGAGCAAGATGTGTTCCGAGTGTCTCTAGTGCCAGATATTATACATCTAATTGTGTTTCTTACATATAGGTAAGCAGGATGTGTTCAGAGTGTCCCTAGTGCCAAATATTCTACATCTAATTGTGTTTCTTACATATAGGTGAGCAGGATATGTTCAGAGTGTCTCTAGCACCAGATATCCTACCTCTAATTGTGTTTCTTACATATAGGTGAGCAGGATGTGTTCCAAGTGTCCCTAGTGCCAGATATTCTACATCTAATTGTGTTTCTTACATATAGGTGAGCAGGATATGTTCAGAGTGTCTCTAGCACCAGATATTCTACATCTAATTGTGTTTCTTACATATAGGTGAGCAGGATGTGTTCCGAGTGTCCCTAGTGCCAGATATTCTACATCTAATTGTGTTTCTTACATATAGGTGAGCAGGACGTGTTCAGAGTGTTTCTAGCTCCAGATATTCTACATCTAATTGTGTTTCTTACATATAGGTGAGCAGGACGTGTTCCGCGTGTCCCTAGTGCCAGATATTCTACATGTAATTGTGTTTCTTACATATAGGTGAGCAGGATGTGTTCCGAGTGTCCCTAGTGCCAGATATTCTACATCTAATTGTGTTTCTTACATATAGGTGAGCAGGATGTGTTCCGAGTGTCCCTAGTGCCAGATATTCTACATCTAATTGTGTTTCTTACATATAGGTGAGCAGGATGTGTTCAGAGTGTCTCTAGCACCAGATATTCTACATCTAATTGTGTTTCTTACATATAGGTGAGCAAGATGTGTTCCGAGTGTCCCTAGTGCCAGATATTCTACATCTAATTGTGTTTCTTACATATAGGTGAGCAGGACGTGTTCAGAGTGTCTCTAGCACCAGATATTCTACATCTAATTGTGTTTCTTACATATAGGTGAGCAGGATGTGTTCCGAGTGTCTCTAGTGCCAGATATTCTACATCTAATTGTGTTTCTTACATATATTAGGTGAGCAGGATGTGTTCAGAATATTCATCAGTGCCATATTTTACATTGGAAAGGGCAAGAGAAGCAGGCCCTACCAACACTTCTATGAGGCCATCAAACAGAGGGATTCACCCAAGCCTAAGGTATACATTCCATTATGTTAGCTCTCTGATGTGAAAATAATGTTCCCTCGATACATCCAACATTTTACATGTTAATTCAGAGAGAATATTGGTGACAAACCCTTCAATATTTACTCATCTTTATGAATGAAACATAATGACATTACATATTGTAACATTTTGGTATGCAGTCAGTAGTTTATCCATTTGGAACTCTTTTTATGAATACTGTTCAATTGATGCATAATTGATATGATTAAATATTCTCTATAGTGTTAGAGGAAATCTCAAGAAATTAGTAAGCCCAAGTAAAGAGCAATATTCCAAGAGTTATGGAGACTTTTAGTCATAATTGTTTTCAATTTCATAGAAGTGATAATAAGTCTTTCATGATTAATTGCTTCCAGTGCAGTGCAAAGGTTCAGAGGATCCTAGATATATGGTCTGAAGGCTATGGGCCAGTGTCTCTGCACATCTTCCAGAATACCATTCCAGTAGAGGCTTATACCCGAGAGGCATGTATGGTAGAGAGTATAGGTGAGTTTCATTAGAATGTTATACATGAGAGGCGTGTATGGTAGAGAGTATAGGTGAGTACCATTAGAAGGTTACACAAGAGGCATGTATGGTAGAGAGTCTAGTTGAGTTCCATTAGAAGATTATACACGAGATGCATGGAGGTAGAGAGTATAGGTGAGTACCATTAGAAGGTTACACAAGAGGCATGTATGGCAGAGGTATCTAGGTGAGTTCCTTTAAAAGATTATACACGAGAGACATGTAGGTGGAGAGTAAAGGTGAGTGCCATTAGAAAATCATCCACGAAAGGCATGTATGGTAGAGAGTATAGGTGAGTGCCATTAGAAGGTTACACAAGAGGCATGTATGGTAGAGAGTATAGGTGAGTACCATTAGGAGAAGCATGTATGGTAGAGAGTATTATTAGGTGAATTGTGATGCAATATATTATGCAAGTAATTTCACCTTGAACAAACTGTTCGGTTAACATTACTGTAGGCCAATGTTGTCAATTCTCCTTTGAAAACTAGTGGAGACACAGTAAAAGGAAATTGTATGTGTATGTGGGAAAACTGAACAATATTACATTAATTGGTTGTTATGTTTCAGGACTGAGTAGGTTGACCAATCAGAAGAGTGGGGATTATTATGGGATATCTAGCACTTGGAAACCACTTGATAAAAGAAAGTTGGGGGTCCATCTCTTAGTGAGAGCCATGAGGGTGCTTCTGGCAGAGGGAGAGAGGCAGATCACACCCAGGGACATCAAAATAGGACAATAGAGTATTATTATGTCACCACAAAAGTATTTTTGTAGTTTCCAACTTTTTTGTGGATGGCAGTCGGAGCTTGGTGTTTGGCGTCTTTAAAAATTGGCAGGTGGTAATATTTTGCATCTTTATGCCTTGTACACACACATCTGTTCTGCTAGCAGAAGAACAATGGAGTATTATAAGTTAAGAGTAGTCAAAAATGTAGATGATATGATCTGTGTACCATTGTTATATTTATACCCATGTTACACAATATAAAGCCCATGATCTGATACATGTTTGTTTTTGATGACGTTTTCTTATAAATCTATAAGTGAAAGTATGTTTTATCTGCAATCTTTTCTTCATTTTAAGTTTTCATGAGAAATGAAACCCAAAGCAATTATTAATGGAAGAGTTTAGAAAATGTAAATGTTGGATATTTAAAAGAAGAAATTATGATATGTGTTTTCAGAGAGTAAAGACAAATGGCACATGTACAAGATTTAGAAAAACATGAGTTCAATAAATAGGTTAATGCATACCTTTCAGGCCCGTAGCCAGGATTTGCCAAGGGGGGTTCAGTTTTCAAAAATTTCCAGGGGGGTTCATATTTGACAATATTGGCCCAAATATGGCTAAAATCACTTGAGAAGTGCTCAAAACGGTGAAAAACTGCATGATTTTGAAAGAATTTTTGGCCAAGTTGGAGGTTCACCCGAACCCTGCGAACCCCCCCCCTGGCTACGGGCCTGCCTTTCTCTATATGTAGCTCTTCAAATCAAAGATGTTCTTGAACAGATTTGAATTTTCCTCTGCCTAAATCTCACTCAGGATTTATAAATTACTTGTTAATGTCACAGAGAACTATTTACATCCTTTTTGTTTCAGAAATCTACACTGAAAAGTAAAACAAGATGTAAATATTTCTCTGTGGTTGATGTACATGTACACTATCTACTGTCAATATAACTGCGGTAGAATGAATGATATTAAATATAACAATGGAAGAAAATTGTTAAAGACAACAGAAGATTGATTGTCAATATCTTATGTCAGTTTTGCAGCAATAGAATGTCTCATGTCTTTATATAACAACTTCTATTGAGGATTATGTACTTGAATCTGTAAATATAGATTAGGTGTTAGTCAGATAAATAAATATCATTTTATAAAAAATTAAAAATCTATACTTGCATTATGTGGATAAATATTTTTTGATATAAACAGATAAAAGGACATGTATGAGATGAGTCAATATCATGTGCCCCACCTGTTGGCAGATTCCACCTACTCTACTCGTACCAACAAAAAGTTCCGAAAAGCAAGCTCAACGAATCTTACTTTTGAAAATAGATTCCAGCAATACTTTCCCACATGAATCTACTTGTTGAGACTCGATCAACATGAGTTCTGAGAAAATGAGGATTTTAGCAAGAGTGCATTGACTCAACATGGGGACATACACCATTGACCATTGACATAGCTTGGGGATACCATCATGTATGTCACCATGTAAAGTCAATGCACCCTTGCTGAAATCTTCATTTTCTCAGAAGAACTCAAGTTGATCGAATCTCAACAAGTAGATTCCTGTTGCATAGTATTGCTAGAATATATTTTCGAAAGTTAGAATAGGGGTTCTTAAACAGGGCATTTAAAGCATTTAAGGCCTTTTTCAAATTTTTGTTTAGTACTATACCACACAGGGTCTGATGATATAGTATTCCATCATCAACTCAATTCTCCATCATTTATGATTGGAGGTAGACAATGCCAAGTTGTAGCAAATTCCATTGAACTGTCACTGCTGCCATTTTTCAGAATGGCTGCCTATGTATTTAATCAACTTGTTTCAATGAGTTTACAATAAGCTTTCATATGGTATATAACATACTTTATGGGGGTGTGCTATTTAGGCTTTGCTGTTGAGCTAGGGTGTCCTGATGAAACCTCATTTGTTGGGATGAAATTCATACAAAGTGAGTCAGGGGTATATATATTACTGTAATTACATTTCCATTATATAGTAGGTTCGATAAGTGTTACAAAGAACTAGAACAAAAACTTATTTAAAACAATCTTAATTTAATTATATTTGGAGCACATAATGGTTCATGTACACATAAATTTTCTATTATTTACAATGTGACCTGTACCTTCACAATTACATTTACTGTTTTACATCATACATCACTTATCCTATGGAGAGTAAAAGGAAGAAAGATAAAACAGTCACCAACAATGAATAAATCCAAATTTTTCTCCTGTTAATTTAGTACAGATCAACAGAACTTCAATTTCAACATATATCACATAGTCTATACAGTATTGCATTGATCATCTCATTAGTCCATTTTACTTTTTATGTCCCCTTCTGTTTATTTATTTTCCCAAAGTGATATATTTCCTGGCATTTCTATATTATAAGAGACTTCTGTTGTGTCGGTATATCAGGAAATCGAGAGAATCTGGAGTCTAGGAGAATTCTATGAACTGACAGCAGCATCCATTTCAGGAATTGCCTGGAAACATAAGTTAATTGAACTTAAACATTTATAGTGAATATATAATACATGTGAAATGTTGTCTCCTAAAGCATAACTTGAAACATCTGGGCCCCAAATGGATATTTTCAGCTGGGTGCAAGATTCTTAACAATTTTTCCTAAAATATCACAAGCTACAAACATTCTGCAAGGTCTAATCTCCATATCATGAAGATTAACTTTTTACAGGACCCTGAAATTAAAACTTTGTGGAGCTAAGAGGGAAATTCTTGATAAATTACATACTTTCATTTTGAAAACATTTAGCAGAATGTCTTCACAGCATGGTACAAACTTCTTTTTTAGGGAAAATGCTGCCAAAGTGACTTTACATATCATTTATAAAGAATTTTCCACATTGCTCCTAGCGTATTTTATGTACAACATTAACCAAGTTTCTTTAAGCGGTGTGTTTATTTCATAACTAGAAAAACAGCAACTCCACGGAGTAGCAAATCCCACCGAACAAAACATGTTTTGGTAAATAGCGGCCATATAAAATTTGTCCCTGGGCAACAGCATATAAAATTTGAACCAAATCCATCCACTAGTATTTGAGTAATCAAAGATTATATTTTTTCCGAAAAATGGCCGCCATTTTGAATTTAGTGGCCATATTGAAAATTCCTTCTCGAGCAGAGGTCCTACACCCATAAGGCATAAGCCTATAAAATTTGAATGAAATCCGTCAACCGGTATTTGAGTTATTGCCCGGACACGAACGGACGGACGGCTTTTCTATATCCCCCTCGAACTTCGTTCGGTGGGATAATTTTTAACTGATCAACCTTGAATAATCCATGAAAATACCTTGAATAGATCAGCCACAAGCCCATAGTCTGCCACCTGGAATATGGGGGCCTCTGGGTCTTTGTTGATGGCTACAATCACCTTGCTGTCCTTCATGCCTGCTAGATGCTGAATAGCACCTGATATACCAACTGCTACATACAGATCCTGAAACAGCAACACAAGGCTATAGTACGTTCAAATTACATTTCATACCTTGAACTATTGAGATTTGCTTTTTTAACACACAAATGTATGGGATTTTGAATTCACTCTGCAATAACTAATTAACTGATAATTATTTTTGTTAATTCCATTCTCAAATGCATATAAATTTCCCACAAACCACTCTCTTCAAGAATGAAAAGGGCTTTATTAGTGTCAAAACCAAGCTTTGATTTGCCATCTGCAGAGAGGGGTCTAAAAGACAATGTAAACTGTTACTAGAAGAATGTAGAACTTACTGGTGCAACAATCTTTCCCGTTTGGCCAACCTGCATGTCATTAGGCACAAACCCAGCATCAACAGCTGCTCTACTGGCTCCTACAGCTGCATTCATCTTATCAGCTAGGTCATATAACATTTTGAAGTTTTCTCCATTCTTCATGCCACGACCTAGAATAATACAACACTCTGAAGCTATCCCTATTTTTATGCCACAAACTGAATTCGAACATGACTGTATTCGCGCCTTCTATAAACTGTGAACAAAGTCAACATTTCACCCGGGGCATATTCGCGACCAATACCCCTGGTAATATGAGTAATGTGTGACGTCATAACGGCGGGCTGTAGTAATGGCGGACCATAATGAATATTCGTAACATTTTGGTGAGTTTTCATGTTCGAATCATAATATAGACCTCAGAGCAGGTGTAATATCGTCGAGTACACCCCTTAGGGCTAGGCACAAAAGCTTTCAAACCCCTCATTCCCTTCGGTCATTCGGGGTACAGAAAACGTTTGTGCCTTGCCCTGCGGGGTGTATTCGACGATATTACCCCTGCTCTTCGGTCTATATTTCTTAAATAATACATAATTTTGAAGTTATCACTATTCCTTATGTCACAACTTGAACTATTACACAACATCTTAAAGTTACTCCCATTATTACAATTTCAATACATAGGCTACATTTGAAGACTTTAATTTCCAGAGTTTTTAACTTGCACTGACTCACCTCCAGATATGACTGCTTTAGCACTAGTAAGTTCTGGTCTGTCACTCTTGCTCAGTTCTTGGCCCACAAATGATGATAAAGTATTTTCATCCGATGGGGCTGGAGCTACAATCAACAACAGTGCAAAGAAATTAACATTGATTCATCTTTTAACTACAAAATTAGCAACTCCCTCGAGTAGCAGATCCCATTGACCAAAACATATTTGATTAAATTGCTCATCTTTTTGAACAAAATATGATAACTAGGAAGTTGTAAGGAAGTATAGTAAAACCTGTTTATCAGAACACATTTCTTATCATCAAATACCTCTCAATATGTAACACTTTATTCTGGTCCCATTTTTATCGACCATTGAATCATACAAAATCATCCATCATCATACAATCATACAAAATAAGGGTCATTTTAAAACGTGTGGCCATATTGCAAATGGCCTATCGAGCAGAAATTCGTTGTCCATACGTCTACAAAATTTGGACAAAATTTGTACAAATGATAAAAGTTCTCAAAAATTAGATGTTTATGATAAATGGTAGCCATTCACCTGAAATGGGGCATCTTAAAAATCTCTTCTCAAACAGAGCTCCTATGTCCCTTAGGCAAAAGCAAAAATTTGAACAAAATCTGTGACTGGTGTTTAAGTTATCAAAGATTAAACTTTTAAGAAATGTGGGCTCCACATTTTGACAATCTCTATATTTTGCTGACCAAGGAAATAAGTTAATTTGAAATAAAGGATCATATCCTATGCTAAGGGCTCAAGGATAATAAAATATTCAATATACCATCTTCTGTGCTTGCACTTCCCCCTGTAGTATCAGCAGCCTCAAATGCAGTTCCCCTCACACTAACAACTTTGACAGTGTCATTGCTTTTCACTGTTTGGATGGCATTCCCTGAAATATAACTTAATTTTATACAAACTGACATGTCTTGCCTTTTAATCAATTCAAATTCAAAGATGTGAGTTTCCATGGTATTACTATTAGTCACATAACATGCAGTTGAAAACATATTGAAAAGGGTCATTAAAAACATTATACTGTATATTTCATTAAGCACACATGATTGTTCGATGGATCTAAAACCAATCACCTAAAGGAAATATCAATACATTGGAAAAAATTATATTTTCATATGTAGTTTACTGTTTTTAGAAAGATTAATTTAAGTTTCACTACTTGTTATTATTTCAGTGTATCAATACTCTCCAACTTTAAGAATATCAAACTAGAACGAATCATATTTCATTCAATCCAAAATCAGAATCATAATCAAAATCATAATCTATGGCATTAACTCTACCTGCATATATGGTTCTCACAAATGTGTCTGCTGTTTTAACTTCAATGATGTCTGACACTGGAGACACATCCAATTTAGCTGCTACACGTGGCAGTAGACCCTGCATGGAAAATAAAAAGAATATTTGGAAGTGTTTTGGAATGTATGACAATACAATTACGGTACATGCAGTTGATTGAACTGATACATGATTGGTGTCAAAAAGAACTGGAGATCTTTAAACTTCTTCACTTCATTTGATGAGTCCCATTCACCTCCCTAATTTCCCATTAAAATTGTGTGTAATCAAATCATGAAAATTGAAATTTAATTTCTAACATAAATACATGATTATTGCATTCATCTATCTACTCTCACTCATATTATCATTTTCAAGGACGAGGTGAAACTATTGGAATCTAGGCAGTTCACTTACCTGCTTGTATGTCAGACCATAAAGACATACGAGGATCTTGTCAGATTGAATGTTGTATATATCTTACAATAAAGAATGAAATAATATGTGTTACCTTTCCAAATGCTGTGGCTCCAGCCAGAATGTGAGAGAATGAGAATTGTTTCTGTGTTGAAAGCACTAGTGGAGTAATTGCCTCTGTAAATAAGAGTTATAATGATTTAATTCAAAGTGAAACAATGCTAAAAAATCACTTAGTGATCACGAGGATGCAATTAAAAAAGTAAGAATTTGATACATATGCTGCAGCAATGTCAAAATATCTAGACCACTCATCATTTTGATCATTTTGACCACTTTATGATAGTCATAACTAGGCAGTAGGTAGTACTATCAATAATGCTGATCCATTTGATAAATACCCAATCAATATCTACTAATATCTACTACAGTGTTTGGGTTATCAAATATTAACCTCTTGAATCCCAGGCTCTAAAATCAGTTGAAACCAGAGATCTTTTTCATTTTTGCCACCTTTTAACATTATACTACATACCTATACAACTTCAGATGCTCAGCTTAGTGAAATTAGACGGCAGAGATAATTTCTACACATTTTAAAAGATTTTTTGTGTAAATTGGATGAAAATTGTTCAAATAAGAGCAATTTCAGTGAAAAGTTTTGTGACGGATTTTCTCGTCACTCTGGGTTTCAAGGTCATTTCTGAGGTGACGAGAAATCTCGTCACTCCAGGTAGTCAAGAGGTTATTACTAACATATGGTCAATTTCAACAAACCTGGAAGGAATCCTTTGAATGCTTCATTGTCAGCCAAGAGAATCTTAGAAACACCTGATATTTTACTGGCTTCTTCCACAACCTAGAAATAGAATATTATTCAGACATGACATATGGTAAACTATTAAATTAACAGAATCTCACGGTGGAACGTCTCACAAAATGATAATCAGCATTAGTTAACTCTGCAATATTGAATTCTTTATTGATAAAACAAAATACATTGATGAGGCCTGGTGTTATCAAAGCATTAAAGAAGCTCTTTGCAATTCTAAATGATTTCCATTATTCAAATTAAAATCATGACAACCCCCCCCCCCCAATTCTACCTTAGCACAATTAGTTCCAGTGACCAGTAGGCTAACATCTCCTCCAATTTTATTTGCTGCTGTCACTGTGTTGAGGGTGACTGGTGTGAGCTTTTCATTGTCATGCTCTGCTATGACCAGGGTGCTTTGAAACCTCTGAGACAAACACTGGAAAATAAAATAAAATGTTATTGAAGGCAAGAAAGTTAGATGTGTTTTGTAATATTCATCTGCCAAGTCATTACCATATTTACAAGGCCTCAAACCCAGTGGCATTTGATAAACCTATTTTGATACATAATTGACATATTTGCTAAATCAGTTCCATGATTATGAGTCTATAGTCCTGGTATAAGAGGAGCGAAACCCCATGGCTTAGAGATTGCCTCATAATTACCTCTCTTGCTTTGTCCAAATAATATTGGCAACCATGCCAGAAATTAACATCATATTATGATATCCGAAGAGTCTTTACTAGATTTTCAATCAGCCATTTTATTGTCTTATACACTTTAAAAACCTTGACCGTTCTCCAGAAAGCAATATGCTGACATTTATCCTATGCCAAGTTGAGTTTTAGGGAGATAAGTTGGTAAGATATATCCCGTATCCTGATTTTGAGGTTTCCATATCCAGAACCTCCATATCTCCGGCCATATCTCCCGCTTCATTGCATATCTTCCCGCTTCGGTGCATATCTTCCCGCTTCAGGTATTTTCACTGAAAACTCTACTTGGTATAGGATAAAGCAGTTATGTACGGTCGGCTTGGATATTGGGTTCATCCCTCGTGAGATATGCACATCTCCCTCTGGATAAACCCAATATCCAAAACCTCCCAGTTCATAACCCTTATATATTATTTTTCACATTTTCATTCAACTGACAAGATTATTAATGCTTTAATATAAAGTTGACGTGGTTATAACTGTTTTTCTACTAATTTGACCAGCAAACTATTGAGCAATCGAAGGAACAATCTACATAATGACACATTTATCGTGAGTATTTGAACATAATATTTGCCCCTTTTGTTCATCATTGTATGTTCATTGTTAAAGCTCAAAATATCACTAGGTACCTCGGAACAACCCACGATTACGTTCCTGAGAATGGTCAGAGTTTAAATTACTTATCCAAATATACATGCACCAATAGATGGAGGAATTTTGATGGTCAATAAGTTATATAACACACAAAAATTGCTGTAAAAACAAAAATTCCTCATTTAGGTAATACACTTCTACATTCTGAAGACCCATAAGTCGTGTTTTCATTGGTGGGCAATCTTATATGCGTATGACCCTAATGTAAATAAGGCCGTAGTATCGATAACCTGCATGAGCCTAGGTGTTGACACAGTCTCCTGGGTAATAAGAGTGTGGGGCTTCTCTCTGCAAGTAAGAAAGACAACCAGGAGGCACCCCCAGAGTCACCTGGTGGTGTTGATCACATCGAGATGTATTTTAAGGTATTCCTATACCCAGTATTTATCTGTTGTTTTTAAATAACAATGGATTTTATATTTGACTTCCAATTATGGTTATTAGCTGGGACTCCGTAAACACCAAAAATCGAAGAGAGGCAAAGTCCACTTTTCATTTTCACATTGATCAGTACATTTCCTTAAATCTGAGGTATATACCTGTACAAAACTATACTTACCAAGTTCTTCGATCGTACACCATTGATAAGTTGTCGGGCAAGCATGTTTAAATTCTATAGCAAACTGATAAACAAGATAAATTTGTGAGGTTTTATAATTTCGGATTTTATTTTTGGGCGATAATATGCAAGAGTTACGAAAGTGCTTGCAACGACATCTATATTTGGATTGTCGCTGCAGCGGCTGTTATTTCAGCAATTTACATGTTCTTCTTGAAAAATAGTTCAAAGTTTTCAGTTTTTTATTTGATCTTTTACAAATACAAGCTAGGCACACATCAATAAGAAAGTAAAGTAAGTGATTCTTTATAAATACATCCCCAAAAATATATTTTCCATACACTTTGGTACTACTAAACAGTCAACCAATACCATTTAGTAGGCTAATCAATTTTCGTGAAATTATTTCAAATTCCCTCCATTTATTTGTCCTTGAATCATCATCCACAGATGCCAGCCAGGTATGTACGTAGTAGGCTAGGCTCAATAAGAAAAAATTCTGTACTTGTTTTAGACATCTAGTAAGTTACAGGAGGAGAAGGAGGAGACAGCACTGATGCAAGAGATTTTCTTGCACAAGGAGTCTGACGTAACCGTGATATTGTTATGGTCTCCATTTTTTTGACTGCGGTTGGTAGTTGGTGGTTGGCGACCCGGGGGGTTCACTGTATATAAAACTCGACGGGGGTCCTAGGCTGAAGCCTCAAATATCAATATGTTCCCATACCAATCTGTCAAATTTCAATAATTTCCCATACCAACCAAAATAACCCCCGAAGGCCATACCAAATGTCCAAATATAGGACCAATGCCATACCAAATGTCCAAATATAGGACCAATGCCATACCAAATGCCTAATTATGAGACCAATGTCATACCAAATGTCAAAATGTAGGACCAATGCCATACCATATAAAATTCAAAAGTTGAAAAAGGCCCTTGAAAAGAAGATACTTCGGGAAACGATCCAAAACAACTTCAAATTTGCAACTACTGGACCAATGCCATACCACGAATGTTAGGTAACGTATCTACAACGACCATTCTCATACCAGAAGAGCAAAGGTCTGACCATTGCCATACCTCAGAAGTCAGAAATTTCCGGGCATTCCCATACCAAATCCTAAAATATGGGTCCATTGCCATACCAAACGTTGAAAAAGGTACCCCACATGCGCCGAGGATCCCCGTCAAGGTTTATATATAGTGAACCCCCCGGGGTTGGCGATCTGTGTCTGTAACAAATTCTTACAATTTCCAATGTTAGACTGACTTCAATTTTTTCAGATCATCTACATGTTTTCAGAATTTCAAATCTGACTTTATATTTAAAATTTGACCTTCAATGACCTTTTCCAGGTCAAAAAAGGTCCAAAATGTCTTTTTTCAACTTGCTTTAAATCATGGGCTTTCAATCCCATGAAAGCCCATGTTTAACTTGACCATTTTAAAATCATCTACAAGTTATCAGAAGTTCAATTCTGACTTAAGATGTGTGATTTGACTTTCAATGGCCTTCTCAAGGTAAAAAATGTCAAAAAGGTATTTTTTCAACTTGCTCAACCAATTTTTTCAATATCATCTACAATTCTCAATAGTTCAAGTCTGACTATAAATTTGACCTTCAATGACATTCTCAAGGTCAAAAAAGATTTGACCTTTAATGACCTTCTCAAGGTCAAAAAGGTCTTTTTTATTTTTTCAATATCATCTACAAGTTCTCAGAAATTCAAATCTGACTTAAGATTGATCTCATAATATTGTGAGCAACTCAGTGGTGACATTTTGTCATGTTAATGCCTTGTAATATTTTTTGATTTTGTTTAGTGCTATTTTTCTGGCACAACTATAGGAATTCAGTAGTATGAATCCTGTGTAGTATCAATGCGGGTCTCCCATGGTTTATACCATACTCTTCAGTTTCCATACCATTTGATTGGCGATGTACATGTACATTGTAATTACCGCAGATAATACAACTACATGTACACTACCTGTAATGTACATGTACTTTCATTTAGTCCATCTTGTTGTTGTGTTGCATTAGCCTATTTTTTCACACTCAGACTTTTTGATTCTCTTTAGCAATGTCACGGTTGTACCAGACTGTGCTTGTGTGTGGGATTTCTTTAATGCACATGCCTTGTTACTTAAACAAGAAAGAGGTTTTTACAATGTACAAAAGTGTATATGATAATTCAAATTCTTATGCATGCATGCATTCCAGGCTATTCATATCTCTTACTGGGGAATGGGGAGTGAGATGATTGAGAGCGTGCCAGACAGTGAGGATGAAAATGAGGACTGGTCATCAGCAGCTTGGGAACACAACCCTGAACGAGCAGAAGGTGAGGTACCTTTTAACATTGAGCGTTGAATTGAGTTTCCAAAACTGCTGTTTTTCTACATTTGAACAAATCTTGATTAATCTGCAGAATTTATACTCCATACACGTATGTCAGCTAACAGCTTGATCACTTATGAACTTGAGTCATGGTTCTGTGATGACCCGCGATAACCAGCTGTAGTGGCTAGCCTTGATGGCTCAAGCGGTAGAGCCTTGGACTTTGAAATGGAAGGTCCTGTATTTGATGCCTGCTTGGGGCATTGTATATGTATTAAGCACACTCCTTTTCATACAAATGTTGTTTCATATCCCACAAATGGAGCGTATAGAGCGTCAAATGTTTCTGAATCTGTGAAATTGGGAACTGTGATGTCAATGTCATGACTCATGCTATCATCGCAATCATAGCTCAATGGCACGTTGTACATCGATTTTAAACCACCTTTCTAGTGGATGAATGTATATTCTGTGAACATTTGAATATGATCAACTAAATGGCACAACCTGTCTTCCACTGACTATTAATCTTAAGACCTCTAGAGTTGTGATCTTTAAAGTAGTGAATCCAGGCATCCAGGTCGGATACAGTAAGTTCTTCTTCATCTTGATTGTGTTTAATACTGTTTATTCATTCACAGGTACAAACCTGGTAGGGTCTTGCCTCCCCCATGATGTACCCTTTAAGGAAGGATCAAGGGTCTCTGATGATGCTAAACTACAAAACCAGGTACAAGAAAGTAAAAGTGTCAAACAAGAGAAGTCAGTGTTATTATCTGGCATGCAGTTGAATGATAACAAAGCTGGTATGACTGGACTGGATAAGGAGAAGATAAACAGAATTATCATGGAAGCTTCAAAAGGTATGTACAGTGCAATACACTTTCCCATTATTTTGGAACCCATTGAAGCTTAGTTGACTCCCATTATTTTAGTACACATTAAAGCTATTGATTCCCATTATTTTGGAATCAATTGAATATATTGACTCATTATCTGAGCTTAATTGACTCCCATTATTTTTGTACCTATTGAAGCTATTGACTCCCATTATTTTGGAACCCATTTAATATATTGAGTCATTATCTTGGAACCCATTGAATCTATTCACTCCCATTATTTTTGAACCGATTGAAATTATCGCCTCCTATGATTTTGGAATCCATTAAAGCTATTGACTCCCATTACTTTGTAACCCATTGAATCTATTGACTCCCATTATCTTTGAACCTATTGAATCAAATTGTGAACTCCTCTATGTTAAATGTAAAATGCTAAAATAGTGTGTTGTGATTGCAGGCTCGTCATTCTATGAGAATGAACAGAAGAAGGAGAAGCAGATGGAAGTGAGATTGGAGGAACAGAAGAGGAAACTTGCTGCAATTCCTGCACATAAAATCCTAGAAGGAGAGAAACAGGTTAATCCCTTATTAATATATCACCTTTGAGAGACATGTTACTCTACATTGGCACTCCCATTTAAGAAAATAAGAATATCCTATGACGTGTTGTGTACCATTCTGTATGTTTAACCAGACCTGGGATCTGATAAGACTTGTTAACAATAATAGATTTTCTATTGTAAACAATGTGTATTCTTTTTTTCCTTGCAGGCTGACAGACTTCTGTGTGAGCTGGAGTCAACTAGAGATATGAGTCATACCATTGTACATGTTGACATGGATGCATTCTACGCTGCTGTGGAGATGAGGGATGATCCAACACTCAGGGATGTCCCCATGGCTGTAGGGGGACTAGGAATGCTGGTGGGTGCAGTATTAATTTGGATATTTCACCCTTAGCAACATACAGTGTACTTGCCAAGTGCTTAAATACATTTAGAATACTGTGTTATATGAGTTCATGAATCATGCTTAGTTACTTATATTTGAAAGTATATTTCAGTGATGGTTCAAATTCATTTTTAAATTGAAAAAGAAACTGTTATTCTGGAACATATCTGGACGTTCATAGTGTAAAATTGCCGTGTTTGTTATTTCAGTCAACATCAAACTACCATGCTAGGAAGTTTGGAGTGAGAGCCGCAATGCCTGGGTTTATTGGCAAAAAGTTATGTCCTGATCTAGTCATAGTGCCTACTCACTTTGACAAGTACACTGAAGTGAGCAAGCAGATCAGGTCTATCATTGCAGAATATGATCCTGGATTTGCACCTATGAGTCTAGATGAGGCCTATTTAGATATAACAGAACATTTAAACAAGCGGCAACACTTCAGCATCGAGGAGAGAACTTTCTATAAACGCCCTGATGATACAAAGTTCTGCGTGTGTAATATGAATTGTTCAAAGTACCATTGGATGAAGAGAAAGGAAAATGAAGAGATGGTTGGTGCAACACCAGTTGTTGAAGCTATGGATGAACAAAAAGAAACAAGAAATAAAGTACAGGAATCCTTGGAAGATACACATGATGTGCAAGCACCAGAATTGAACTGTTCCCCAAATTTATTTGAATCCCCAGAAGAATCTGTCAATGAACATAGTTATATTTTAAATGAGACTCAAACTAAAGGTGATAATCCCCTGGAAAACGAAACATGTGAAAACATTTGTGAAGCTAGCATAGATAACTTGTGCCCAGTGTGTGGTAAAGCCTTGCCTGTATTGAGTGACCTGGCACCAGAGCTGTTTGGATTGACAGCTGAGGAGGCTACCAGAGAGATGAGGTTCCGTATAGAGCACCTCACCAAGCTAACAGCCAGTGCAGGTAAATTCACATTCTGTATAGAGAAACTCACCAAGCTAACAGCCAGTGCAGGTAAATTCACATTCTGTATAGAGAAACTCACTAAATTGACAGCCAGTGCAGGTAAATTCACATTCTGTATAGAGAAACTCACCAAGCTGACAGCCAGTGCAGGTAAATTCACATTCTGTATAGAGAAACTCACCAAGCTGACAGCCAGTGCAGGTAAATTCACATTCTGTATAGAGAAACCCACCAGGCTTACAGCCAGTGCAGGTAAATTCACATTCTGTATAGAGAAACTCATCAAATTGACAGCCAGTGCAGGTAAATTCACATTCTGTATAGAGAACACATTTACAGCCAGTGTAAGTAAACTCACATTTTGTGAAGAGCACACCACCAAGCTTACAGTCAGGTCCTACAATTATAATACATTAGATATTATACACATATAACTGTTCAAGAATTGACTACTGTAGATACACTTTACTTGACCCTACTGAATTTGGCGGATTTGCTCAATTTTAAATATTGGCGGCTATTTAATTTGGCGGAGTCAGGACTGAGCTAAAGTTTTATCATAGATCTGGAAATAAAAATTTCAGATTTGTGTGTTCTGCTTTCAGGAAGTTTTGGTATGGTACTGGCATCCAAAAAGGAATACTTTCACAAGCAAAATACTTGCAAATTACAAATTCTTTTGAATTTCCAAAATAGATCTGAAAATTGGCAGATTTTTAATTTGGCAGAATTTTTCAATCTGCCAATCCATCAAATTAAAGGGGTAGCCAAATTAAGTGTATCTACAGTATTCATTGGGGAAAATCATTGTGGAACACTTTTCACAATCTTATTTTTTTCTTTTTCAGGAATTGCATGTAACACAATGCTTGCAAAGGTGTGTAGTGACAGGAATAAGCCAAATGGGCAGTATATCATTCCTCCAAGGAAAGAAGATGTACTTCAGTTCATCGATCAGTTACCAATCAGGAAGGTGAGGCTCACATATTTTGAAACCTTTCAAAATTGAATGAGCAACAATGTTCTCTCAATACAATATATTTATTGGCACAAAACATGCAACTATTCTTCATAATTCCCTGTGCTTAATAGGAAATGTATAACGACTGAATACAAAAAATCATTATTTATGTTTTTGATGTTTTACAGTTTTACTAATATTGAACATTATTATATCACTATCTAGCTAACGACAGTATGATTGGTCAAAACCGGGTCACATGTCGTGGGATATCTAGCGATATTCAATGGCAATGCTAATCAGATAAGACAACCGTGAGATATCTAGCGATATCTCACGCTCCCGGGAATTTTCAAAGAATTTGTTTTCGTTCAGTGTAAATAATTTAGTTCAGTGTAAGTCAAAATGGCAGACGAACTGAGTAGATTCAATGTATTTCAATGTTAACCTATGACTTAATAATATTAGGGATGTTTAGCTAGATATAATAAAACAAATATTTCACTCTATTTTCGGTGAATACCTGTAGCACTTTCACAACTTCGGGCTTCGTGGAATATCACTTGTGAAAGATGTACAGGTATTCACCTCAATAGAGTGAAATATTTGTTCAATATCAAACAATCATGGAACCCATTTAATTTTGAATGAACTAACTGGATAGTGCCTCCCTGAAGTTGACTTTGTTTATGTGTAAATATCACATAATTAAATGTACAAATGGCCACACTACCCTACCAGGTGACCACATTTAGAAATGATACAGGGTACAGTTAAGTTGTAAATGGAGTGGGTATTCTTTATCTTTGTCCATTGGGCTTTTTTGGTAATAATACATTCCAAACTGCTCGATGAATCTATACAATGTGTAGTAGAACACTTGGAATATATTTAAAATCTAGTATACCTTCAGAACTATGGAAATAAACAAACGTTCTCCATTTGCAACTTCGCTGTAGCCTGTATTTCTTTTAAAGGAATACAGGATACAGTATAGTCGTGTGATGATATGTGGAATTGGTAAAGTGGCCTTATAATCATTCTATTTGCAGATAAGTGGAATTGGTAAGGTGACAGAAAGAATGTTAGCTGCTTTAGAAGTTGTCAAATGTTCTGACTTGTTCACAAAAAGAGGAGTCTTGTATCAATTATTCTCTGAGATTTCCTTCCAACATTTCATGAGAATCACTCTTGGTATTGGGTCTACTGTTGTAGAAAGGTGAGTAATTTAGATTTTTCCTTATTCCAATTTAAAACATATGAATATACAATACATTGCCTGCCCAGGTTAGAAGCATTTGTGGCAGTTAAAATGTTGACATAGTTTTGTGGTTACATTCATAGGGTTCCATGACTTTGTAAGGTGTAAGACCCAGTACATTATTTCATATAGACGTTCACAAATCCTACATATTATACAGGTAAGTATTGCACATTGTTGATGTTGTCCATTCTCTTATTGGTTTTGGTGTCATTACAGTATGTAACCTTTTTTAAATTTTCACAGGATGCATTATAATATAAAACACACACTTTATGCATTAGTAATCATCTCCTAACATGTGTTTTATGAATTATTCTTTTTTTGTTTCAGCGGAGGAAAGCGCAAGAGCATGAGTGTGGAAAGGTAATATTGCCAAAAATATTCTCTCATCACAAATTAATATGTTACCAACCATTCAAAAATAGCATGTAAAATCAATAAAAACACAATACACCAGATTAATTCAGAGAGAGTGATTTAATATAATTCAAGAGAGAAATAAAAGTGAAGGTAAATACATGCAAGAATGATAGATAGCTTGTGGCAGTTCATGGTGATTATGACAAGTTGATTGTCAGCAGTCGTTTTTGTCTGCTGATTATATAAGATGTTCGATGAATTGTGCTTCACCTTGGCATTGCCGTAATCTAATTATCTTACATGCTACATACACATATAATGAAGTTACAGTCAGGTCAATTATTTGTTTTTACTACAATGATCAACTGATAGACTTCAGGGTTTATATTGCAAAATATCAACTGTGAACCTTATTATCCAGTTTTACTAATTTTAGGACATTTTCTGAGATGAGCAATGTGGAGGAGCAATATAAAAAGTGTCAGCAGCTTTGTGAAGCACTCTCAGAAGATCTTGCGGAAGAAGGAATCAAGGTGAGTTCTCATTCTATTTACACAAAAACTGAGTGGTTCATAGGCTTGTGATGTCTGTAGTAGACCTGTTTAGCCTCAACTTTAACTGATATAATGAAAATTTATAATTTTCTTAATATGCCAGCCATTTTTATATCACCATCAAAAGTGACATGTTGTTTATAGTCTCCAAGTTCTTTGGATGTTGTTCGGCATCTATAACAAATGGCAGGTGGTGATATTTTGCATATTATGCCTTGTCTAGTTTGTAATGACCATATTTCTGATATGTTTACTTTTAGGGTAAGACCATCACACTAAAGATCAAAACAGTGAAGTTTGAAGTCAGAACCAGGGCCCAGTCTGTCCTCAACTATACCTCCAATAAAGATCAGATCTACAAAGTGGCACGGGACTTGTTGAGACACGAGATGGTCACATGTGATCCTGAGCCACTAAGACTTCGCTTGATGGGTGAGTCAACATTCATCTTACATTCTGAATGGAATGTGAACAGAGTTACAGTTACACATTACACATAACCAATATGTATACTGTGATAGGATATATGATGCTAATCACCCCCTCCTCCCCATGGGTGCAGCTTTGAAAGTATCTTTACCTTGAATTATACCATGGGAATTTACTCTGAGGGAGTCTCAGTATGGAAAAATCTGGTACCCAATATCATACTGCACATTTATTTTTTTTAAATTAACGTAAGTGACTTATATTCAACATCAGTGATCTGCATCTGTAAAGATTGTTACGTTTTATTACAATTTGTTTTTGTAAGTAGTGTTCAGATTTGGCTTTAGGTAGACTGAGTTGAATGAGTAATCTTGGTTGCATACACTGGCATACACACTAATGTTTCACAATGTCAGTCAACCTTCTGGTTAATTTCTTATCTTAATTAACTGTGTTGCACTTTCAGGTGTCAGAATGTCCAATTTTCAAGACTCAACAAAACTGAAGGGTGAGACTCAAGCAACAATTTTAGGATTTGTAACAAGATCAAAGCAGAATACTTCTGACAATGAAACTTCTGTTAAACATCAGTTGAGATCATATGATGGGAAAAGAGAAAACAGTGTGACTGATATTGAGGCTGAGGAGACTGTTGAAAACATTAAACATTTGCCAAAGCACCAGTCTCTTGGGTTCCCCAATGCAAGCAAAATTGAAGATGGGCCCCCCAAAGCCACTATCAAAGGAGCTGATTGTGCAGTGTGCGATAATAGTGTAACTGTAAATCAGGAAATACCTGCTGGACAGGTAGTGAATGGTAATATGAATGTAGGGGAATCCCTGATCAAGGCTCAGCCTAAACTTCCTTACCTAATGGAGTTTGAAGGTTCTGGTAAACCAGGAACAAGTTCAGATTATTGTCAAAAAACATTGAACATTGAACCCAACCCCAGTCCGAGACTGGCACCATATACATGCCCAGTATGTAGTAATGTGTTCACAATGAACCTGAATAGGTTTAATCGACATGTTGATGAATGTCTTGCTAATTTTAATGGCAACACCATGCAAAATGGGACCAGTTCTTGTGATGTTATTGATGATGAGGAATCTAAAGTTATGGATGAAAAAGTTGATAGTGCTGAAGTTGAAAAACCAATCATGAGTTTGGTTGAAACAAATAGGCCATTAAAGGGGAAAACTAGTAATATGATTGATGCAGCAAAACATCTAGGAACTGTTTTAAAACCTGACAAGGAGCACCAGAAACAAAGTCTTTCAAAACATTTAGAAACAGCTCCTATGCAAGATTTTTGCAAGACTCACTCTAAGCCAAACAAAGAAGCCCAGAATGCAAAGAAGGACTTTTTAAATAATGTTTCCAGTGATGCCAAACCGATTGCAAATATCAATAGCCTGCTTATATGTCCAATATGTAACACTAACCAAGCTGGACTAGATTTAGATGCATTCAATGGCCATGTAGACGCATGTCTTAGCAAAGCTACTATCAAAGATATTTTGAATGAGCAGAAAAATGTTCAGAGTAAAAAGCGGTCTTTTGGTGAATCTTCAAAACTGTCTAAAGGACCTAGTACAAAAAGAAAGAGGTTAGATAAATCAACTGTCAAAACTATTGATCATTTTTTCAAATAATTAATGAAGAAAGATATTGCTGAAAATACATGTATGAATACAATTTGTGTGCAGTAATTTGATAAATCTAGGTATAGGAAATGGCTATAATATTTCGGTCATCCATTGATTCCAGTGCCTGTACCAACAAATAGGTTTAATTGTTTAGATATTAAAGAGTCACGTGATTACAATTTTTGGCCGTTCTGTTGTTGAACAAGTGTGTGTTACATACACAGTTAAATGGTGACCTCCAATCATTTTCAAGTGCCATTCCTCCCGGTCAGATATATTAATATTGTCTTATTAAAATCGTACGATATTCCTATACTCGTGATACCTTTGGGGTGATAAGATAGCGCAGTGCAAGTGAACTTCACCAGGAGCTACATGAAGATGATTAATTCTGAAATGGGAATGTGATAAATCGTGATTGAGTGCATTTTTATTATTTTAATTTTGCGAATGTTTTTGCGTATTTGGTTGTGCATGTATATATTTCCGTGCATTCCTACTTTTTCTCTAAACGCAAACTTACAGAATTTTGTTTTATTACTGTATTTTATCGCACCCTTTAGTGCTATCATGGGCTTTCAGTTGGAAGCCCATGGTGCTATATTGTGACCAGTTTTTAATATATACTAGTATCACTTCTACAACAGTGGCACAGTATACTTGAAATAAAGTGGAACACCCAAGAATTACATAGAAACGTACAAAGATTGAAATAGTCGTTAACCACGAGGATCATATATAATTGAATACCTAATATCTCTACAAATTACCGGCATACTGTGTCAGAGGATGTTTGAAGCTGTTTGAAGCTAGTTTTGGTTAAAAAAGACTTTCATAAAAATTGTTCAATTTGAACTCATTCACAAGTTTCCTCTCCCTATAAGCGTGGAGTCTCAGATTGCAATGAAACGAATAAGTGCAATTGTCAATACTTAAAGTAAAAACAGTGCACTTGAATTCATTTCGAATTTTATCAATTTCTTGAGAAGCTTATCTGGGCAAATATTTGCAAAGTACAATTAAAGCTAGTTTATTCAAAATTATATCTAGGATTTCTATTTAACAGCAATTTGTCATGAAAGAAACCTCGACTTTGTTGATATAAAATATGATATATTGATGTACATATACGTTATAACTATGCAATTATGTTCAACACATGTCCTTCTGTGTTTAACCATGGGCTTTAAATTAAAACCCATGGTTTAACATGTGTGTTATGGTCAATATTGTTATCACATTATTACTAGTTTGCGACATCTACGACCAATGTCACATGATCCCTAACAATAACCTTATCAGTGAGCCCTGTATTATGTGTTGCTTATATGTAATAATCTCGAGGATTACTACACACAGTGAAAGTTATCCACACTTGAATCTGAAGTTAACGTTGCGGTTTCACAAAAAATGCAGAAAAATATTTTTAGGTTCAGATTGTCTTTGTTGTGCATGTTTTGTTGTGCACAATTACTTTTTATAAATGGAAAAATTGTCGAAATTGAAAACGGAAAAATCAAAGGGCGTGAGACAAATATAGGTCCGTGGCATAAAAACAAAACTGTGGACGCTTTTCTTGGGGTACCATTTGCTCAGCCACCAGTAGGACCTCTGAGGTTTAAGGTAAGACTCCTAAGCCATGTGTTCGCTACACTAATAACGTGCTGTTGGTCCAGCTTTAATAATAGACAACTGAACTGGGATTTGCAACATTGATATGATTCAAAGAAACTTTTAATCAATATGTTGATATCAAGCCTGCATTTGGCGATGTTAAACTGTTACCGCCACACGAAAAAATACGTTCTTTTTTTCACCAGTGTCGCCAGATAAGCATATGGATGTTTTTAAATGTTGCCGTTTGTGCGTTCTCGTGGTAAATGCCTGAAATGATTAATAAATGTATTTCAGAACCCAGAGCCTGTTAAGAAATGGTCACAAGAAGTATACGACGCTACTTATTATAGGCCATCATGCCCCACCAATATATTTGGCGTGCTGAGTATGTGGGTATCAGTACCTGGGTACGACAAGTTTGATGAAGATTGCCTCTACTTGAACATATATGCCCCAAATGTAAGTCAGAAATTAAAGGTGGATAACATCTGCACTTCCCCCCCCCCCCCGAAGTGTGAAAACTTATTTTCTCCATTAGATCACATATAATTCAAGGGTGTCTAGTGTGTTTGATAGTTTATGTTTTTGACATTTCTCATTAAAAAACAGCCTTCCAAATTCATCATAATTAGATAATGTGTATCAGATTGAAGATAGCAAATTTTCAGGTTTTCACGTGAAATTCAAGTTTTATACATGGTTTAACATAGCGACCAGTTGATCAGTTCTTTTGTAGTTATTACTTCAAGCCACTTGTCTAAGCAACTAGATAGCCCTAGATCCATTTTGGTATGAAAATAGGACAAATCTAATGAATCCAATTTCTTTAATTTTGTTAATCATGGAAATACAAAAGGAAAATACAAAGTGACTGCTGAAGGAAAACACCCCAACAGATAAAATAATGGGTATGCATGGTGCCTATCATTGCAGGTGACCGACGGTAGATTGTACCCAGTAATGGTATGGATACATGGTGGAGGGTACGCCAATGGAGGGACCATCAAATACCCTGGCCACTACTACGCAGATAAAGAAGTTGTTATGGTGACAATGTCCTACAGACTTGGTGTTTTAGGTACTAGTAATTAATAAATTGTGACAATAACCTACGAATGGAGTTGAAGTGATGACTATTGACTTGATTTTTTTTTTTTTTTTTTTTTTTTATAAAATCAAACTTTATTAATAAACATATTTTACATTACATGCATACAATAAGATAAAATACAATTATAGAAATTTCAAGTTACATTACATCTTTCTGATCATTATTTCATTATCAAAAATAGCTTTTACATTACTAGCTGTATTGACCCTTTTTTTAAAATCATGTATAGCTTTTTTAATTACCAATGTTTTAAGTAAATCTTCTTTTTTAACAATTGCATTTCCAATTCTTTGATCATTTGTAACATTTACATCATCCCAAATTGATTTAATACAGTCACAATTGATAAAGAAGTGGTCAATGTCATCTTTTACATGTGCGTTACAAAAGTTACAGATGTCAGAGTTTTCAATGTTACATTTCTTCAAATAAATATTTTGAGGGTAAATACCATGTAAAATTTTCCATTGAATTACCAAAAGGGTAGTATCGGTTGTACATTCAAAAAATTGAGACCAGACTTTATCGTTTAGAATCTCACCATTAAATTTTATGTCACACCTTCTCTCTAAAACAATTTTTGTTCTCACAATTCTTGTGTTTAAAAGATGGCTCTCAATGCCTTTAAAAAATAATTTTGTACAAGGTGTTTCCATTTCATATTTGATAAGGAGATCTTGTGTTAAACATGCTTTAAGTGCATTATATTGAAGAATTGTTTGGCCATTTCTCCCTATTTTCTGGACAATGTTATCATATGCTAACATTTCCCTATCCTGGACAACATCTGAAATATATGTAATGCCCTTTTCAATCCAGTTTTCAAAAAATAATGGAGAATTATTGAGAGTTACACTTTCATTGTTCCAAATAATGCTCTCATTTTTAAAATCATTGTGTTTTAACCATACATGTAATACATTTTTATAAAAATTACTCAAGTTATGCAAACCTTTAATTCTATCAAAATCTATGTTTGAATTAAAAATACTGAGTCCATTACCCATTTTTCCATACATGTACATGGGTAAGCCTCTCCAGTGACCATTGCCTCTTTCTTGCAACTTTTTAACCCATTGTGTTGTATAAGCTATTTGTAAATCTTTAGCATTTATCATTTTTAACCCTCCATATTTATATTCTTGTACCATTACATCCCTTTTCACTTTGTCAGGAATCTTTTTCAATTCATCCTCTTTAAATCTGCCTTTTGCCCAAATAAATTTAAACATCATTGTATTAATTCTATTCAAAAGTTTGTCAGGTAGAATGAAGGCTTGCATGAGATAGGAAAATTGTGATAAAAGTAAAGATTTCACTATAACAACCTTTCCCATAATTGTTAAGTACCTTCCAGACCACGATTTCATAATGTTTTCACATTTTACAAATTTTGACTCAAAATTCAAGTCATTATCAATAACATGAGTTGAGGTACTAAACGTTACACCTAACAGCTTTATACAGTTATGAGGCATTATTTTCCATTGCACATCTCCATGTTTTTCTCTCCTATTTTTCCATTTTCCTAACCACATTGCCTCTGTTTTCTTTGTGTTGATTTTAAGGCTTGATAATCCATAAAATGTGTTAAAAATTTCAAGTACATTATTAAAAGACTTAATGTCATGCACAAAAACAGTTGTGTCATCTGCATATTGTAAAACTTTGGTTTCATCATGATTTCCAGGGGCTTTGATACCTTTAACCTCACTGGATTGTCTTAGTTTACAAGATAAAAGCTCACATGCTATTAGGTAAATCATCGGAGATAAGGGGCAGCCCTGCCGAATGCCACGCCCTAATTTGATGTCACCTATAAGCCAGCCATTGTTAAAAATATGATTATGTCCATTTGTATTAATGACCTCAATCCATTTTATAAATTGGGGACCAAATCCAAAATATTCTAAAGAGTATAACATGAACTCCTTTGAGATTGAATCAAAACATTTTTCGTAATCAATTGCAAGCATAATGCCCTGTAGGTTATTTGAATCTATATATACCATTAAATCATCAATACCTCTTAAAATAGTAGCTGCACTACGTTTCTTTATAAATCCTGACTGGTCTTCATGTACTATTTCAGATATGACCAATCTCAATCTGTTAGCTAACACTTTGGCCAGTATTTTGTAGTCTACATTTGTTAATGTTAAAGGGCGCCAGTTTTTAAGGTCATCCCTAGGTAAATCTTTTTTTGGAATTAAAACCATCAATCCAGTTTTTTGAGAACATGATAATTCACCTTTTAGAAAACCCTCATTCAGTGACTCTACGACTAAATTGCCAATCTTATTAAAAAATACCTTATAGAAAGCAGCTGTAATACCATCCAGTCCAGGGCTGGCTTCATTTTTCATATTTTTCAATGCTGCTGTACATTCCTGGTGTGTTACAAGTCCTTCACAAATTAATCTATTTTCATCATTAAGTTTCGGAATATTTACATCATGTAAAAAATCATCAAGATTTGCTTTCCTAAATACAATTTTCTTTTCATATAATGCATTATAAAACCTGTTTATTTCTTCTACAATCTGGTTCTGGTTACTTACATTTTGACCATTAATTTTCAATGAATTTATGTTCTTTTTATTTCCCCTAGCTTTCTCTAATTGCAAGAAGTATTTGGTACTTTTTTCCCCTTGTTCATACCACTGTACCTTGGACCTTATCTGAGCCCCTTTAGCTTCAACTGTTGACAAAATTTCAAATAACAATTTGCATTCATTAACTCTCTGATTCAAAATATTATCATTAGGATTTTTACTTAAAACCTTACATGCTTGATCTAACTTCTGTTTTGCAGTTTTGATTTTACACTTATTTACATGGGCTAGATGTTTACTATAACCAATAGAGAAATCTTTAATCTGTGTTTTACAATAATCCCAGAGTATTTGTTTATCTAGATTGTTAACATTAATTAATACCCTGTCAACAATTTGGTTTATTTCATTTACATAAGTTTGGTCAGTGAGTAAGCTATTGTTTAACTTCCAGTAGGAAGGACCCTTCTCATTTTTATCCCATGTTACAGTAGTAGTAACACCTCTATGGTCAGATGTTGGCATATCTGTAATATTGGAGCACATAATTTTATCAAATACACAATCATTAGAAAAAATATAATCAATACGCCTCATAATGCTTTTACTTTTATGCTTCCAAGTGTAGCTTTTTTCATTAATGTTATACAATCGCCATACATCATTCAAATCATTATTCTCAACAAATTGTTTAAAAGCGTAAATATCATTTTTGTTGTGACTTTCTCCAGCTAAGTTATCATTTTTCTCATTCAACACACAGTTAAAATCACCACAAATTATTAAATTCATATCATCTTTATTAACATTTTTAACGACATTCTGAATTTCTTGATAGAATATAACCTTATCCTTTGATTTGTTCGGTGCATAAATGCAACCAACCACGAACACCTCATTCTCATACGTGAATTCCACAAATAAAAGTCTGTCTTGTTTTACAATAACCTGTATATCTTCAATTCCACAATGTTTATCTATTAATATTATTTCTCCCTTACTGTGCTTGGTTCCGGGGTTTGCAAATATTTTGCCTCCCCATTCTTTTGCCCATGTATCTATATCATTTTGTGTTATATATGATTCCTGCAAGCAGGCAATGTCCATTTTAGCATTTTTAAGATATCTAAAAAATGCATGTCGCGTCATCCTATTCCGAAGTCCTTGTACATTTCCTTGGTATATGTTAAGCATAGAGTGTTTATATTATCTATTGGTATATCATGCTTAGTCCTTGTCATCTGGCGCTGCATTTATGATCTCACTCTGTATAATTGCTGAGTTGTTCACTGGTGAAATAGAACCTAGTTTGTGTTTCTTATCTTCATTTGGGTCAATAGGGGGGCTTGCTGCTGACCTCTTCAGGTTAAAGTTAGGCAGAGAACCTGACTTCTTAAGAGGATTCATAACTTGTCTTTTTCTTGCTTTTACTGCAGCGGTACCTGGTTTTGTGAATTGTGGTTTCACGTTGTTAGGTGCTGCTGCTGATACTGCCTGAGTCCCGGATGTAGAGGGTTCTGGTTTACTCATATTATTAGCCGCATCCTTTGGGGCTGGATCAGTGGGTTGTTGTGGGCCTAACTCAGTCGCAACCTGTGCAGATTCAGGGCAGTCAATTTGGCGATGCCCTACGATGCCACATTTCCAACAGGTGGTGTCGCGCTTCTTACTCCTTGGACACTCAGATTTCCTGTGGCCCTGGATGCCACATCCGAAGCAGGTTATAACAGATCGAGAGGGACACTGCTGTGTATCATGGTCCTTACGACATATACGACAGTTGATCGGTTGATTATCATGGTATATCACAATGTTTACATCAATCAGCGACCCATCTAATGGGTCAGCCATAGAGTAGGTTGTGTATCGATTCTGTGGTGAAGTAATGTTCTTGGCGTAACAAAATCTATGTCCTGTTAACAGCCCATTTGTTTGGTCTTTCGGGCCTCTTGAACGTTTGTGCCATTGCACTTCAGATGCCCGTTCAGCAAATGTATTTACCCATGCTTCAATCTCCTGGTTTGACACATGAAGGGGGATACCATGAATCGAAATGCGTGTGTGTTTTCTGTGTTTGTATTCGAGAGATTCCTTTTCCATTTTGAAGTCGCTCAGGCCATATTGCCTATTATTTACAGTTGCATAACCCATTGAGACAAGGTTAAGCTTTGTAGCTTGGGAGTCAGTGTAGATGATATATGCATTCTGGTAAAGTTGTATTCCAAGAATGTTATTTACACTGATTTTTCCACTGCCCAAGTTTAGTTCACAGCTTTTTAAGATTGCATCTCTCAAATCCAGTTCAGTTATTCTACCAATGCCTTTCGACTCCAGTTTGATCCATAAATCAATATCACTCACTTTATCTTGAATATCCATAATTGCGTATTTGAGATGGTCCCTAAGCTATATTGCTCAGCACTAGTCTTACTGTACTGTGAATTGCTAACTAGGTCACCACTGTTCAATACAGGTAAGGCTAATCACTGACTCTATACATGAACAATAGAGCCAGCATATAAAAGCACATATAAAAATGTCAGCTCAAAAATAATACAGCAGTGCAGGAAAAGTTTAGATTGATATTCACCTTTATCCACACTGTATGTCCTCACAAAATTCGCACAATGCGGCCACTGACTATTTATAAACAATATCCTACAGTTATATCCTATATAGTCAATATATTTCATGAGAATTTTGCACTATTTTGAAGACAGATCTTTCCTACATATTTTCCTCCTTAGGGGGTCATCTCATCTCAACTATTGACTTGATACAATTACACTATATACCATGTCAGATCACAATCTATTTTTTACGATGTATAAAACATAATGATGTTGCAGTTTTAATGTTTGCAGTTTTAAAAACCCAGACACGCATGTATTTGATATTTCAGTGCCTATCCTGGTATACTAGATCAAGAGTCAATTGTATATGTTTGATCTTATGAATACCTACTTTCCTATGGATTTCAGGATTTCTTTCAACACTTGATGATTCTGCAAGGGGTAATTTTGGTATGTACGATCAACTAGCTGCACTCAAATTCGTTCAAAAGAATATCCGGGCATTTGGAGGAGACCCGGATCAAGTAACCTTATTTGGGCAAAGTGCTGGGGCGTCAGCCGTTGGACTGCACATGCTGTCACCAAAATCTGAAGGCTATTTCCAAAAGTCCATTGCAATGAGCGGGTCAGACTTATGTGGATGGGGCTACAATGATCCTGAAGTTGATGATGTGTTGAGATATGCAACACAGCTTGCTGAGCTACAAAACTGCACGACAGAGACTACTCAGGCCATGGTGGAGTGCTTGCGTGGCGTGGATTTTGAAAGCCTCATTGCAGACGCTGGAAGCGTCAGTCCGGTACGCGATAATTACGATAAATTATATTGTAGGCCATATTGAAATTGCATAATAAGCTAGATACTCGGTAGAATGGACACACAAGATGCCTATTGTAAAATATGACAGCAACGTGAAATCTAACGTCATTAATGTTATATTGCAGAAGAGTGGTGACCCTGCTGTTCTGTTTCCATGGGTCCCAGTCGTGGATGGAGAAGGAGGCTTCCTCCCAGACACCCCAAAACGTCTCAGGGAAAGAGGACAATTTAAGAAGATCCCTACGATGGCAGGCGTTACCTCACACGAATCGTCAATTTGTAAATATTACAAATTATTCTATATTCTGATATTACACGATACGTCTTTCTGAAATTGAATAATGATGCACGTGATTGCACCTCGATCAGAATAACTACACTAAATTTTATTAACGTAGCACCAACTAGAGAGTGACATGTGTTGAAACCAGTCTAGCTAATCAAAACGCATGCTAACGTTTCCTTTTTTACAATACTAATATTTTTGTCTGAAAAATTGAAATCCCAGATCAAATATAGTTCGATTTAGTATGCAGAAATGCCTTGTTTGCAGTTGACCTTACAATTTCCTCTTCCGCATACTCCGTTCGTTTCCTGCAAAAACCACTATCTATTATCTGGATACGACTTTTTGAAGCGTATTTACAAATCTTTGAATTAGCTATTTACATCCAATTGATTGATTCACAAATGCAAAAGCATGAGTTCAAAAGCATGAAAAGCGCACCATACAGGTAAACCCTAACATCTCTCCCCTAATATTTCTTTTTCTTACTTCTTCAGTAGTGGCACCGCTCCTTCATAAATGCAAACACATGAGTTCAAAATCTAAAATACAGGTTAACCCTGACATACTTTTCTTACTTCTTCAGTATTGGCACCGCTCCTTCATAAATGCAAAAGCATGAGTTCAAAATCTGAAAATACACGTTAACCCTAACTTCTTACTTCTCCAGTATTGGCACCGCTCCTTCCATTCGGCGCAGACATCAATGACACAAAGACGGTAGCAAGACTTGCTGCTGATCTGTTTGGCAGAAACAAAGAGAGGTCCTACGATGCTATGATGATGGAATATACTAACTGGGAAAACATTGAGGATAAGAGACAAAGCAGACAGTTGCTTGTAGAGGTACAGTTCGTCATTCTAATCGGGGTTTCGATGTTCGAAAATATGAGGTAGTTTAATGTATCTGAGCCCGAACCAAACTTGAAAGTTTTTCCAATATGTTGTTATTGAACAATCAGGATTAGTAATTGGGATGACACCGTACAAGTCCATTTCTCAATCAAGTGGTACCCCACAAGTGACATGAAATAAATACCATAAGTACTTATAAATACCATATTATCATTGAGATAAGGTACTTCCATTTCATTTTGCATTCAATATCTCTTTTTATTCCATAGTTAGCATGATATTCATAGGATAACATGTGAAAATAAAAACGGTATTTTTGTAATCAGTGGTAAAATATGATATTTTTGACAATTTTTCACTTAACCATAGCCATAGCATACGGTTTTTTAGCCATGACATACGAGGTCGTATGCGATGGTTTATGGATTTTTGCTACTTCAGACTCAAAACGAGGCTAAGTGTCAACATCGCCGGATCGTTTGGAAAATTCGAATTAAATGACTTAATTTCCGACGATTCTGATGATGACTTTAACTATTGAATAAAAAGAACATCCTATGATTTACTTGTGATATGATTTTAATCCACTCATGGTTATTTATCCATTCGTGGATAAAAATCATATCACTCATAAATCATAGGATATCCTCTATTTTCAATTGGGCAATTTCTCATAAAGATTTTAGAAATATTTGAAAATATATGTAGGCCTAACCTTTAGTCATTCGTTATTCGTCCAGCCAACATTGGCTTTTCGCATCTTATTCATTATGTAATTAGATACTGTGAATATTTGGTTTGTAATATTCGTATTTGAGCCAACCTGTATGTGCTTATTCGTATTTTATTCAGTTGATTGATGATGCTGGTATCGGTGCCTGGACGGATTTGTATGCAAAATACCAATCAGACTTCAACAACACGTTCTTTTACGTATTTAGTTATACCCCTGACTACAGTATCCTTCCTGTTTGGATGGGTAAGTCCTTATGAAGATGAACTGTTTTCATATATTTCTGTAACGTTTACAATACTTTTTATTTGTCTGAAAACAGGTACAAATGCATATCGGAAAAAGTTAAATATTTGAAACGCTTCATTCATTTCAGTTTGAATCAATGGTAATTTGACAGATATTTCTTATGAGCTACGGTGTATAAATAGAAAATTTGAGAACTAAACAAACTGACAAATATATAATAATATAACTTTATGATAAAATTGCCCTTCTCATTCTGATCATTCTCTATGATGCGTTCTCTTTCAAAATCTCCTCGTCATCCATCTCCTTCTTTTCATCATCATCTTCAGACTTCTCAACACTCACAAATGCGCTTAACTCATCAAGCTCGTTACCCCCTCCTAAGCCTCAGAGTTAACGTCGTATTCCATATTCCCGCAGTGGTGATGGGTCTTCACTCTCATCTCATGAGTCTATCACTGACCCTCATCAGTCACTCTCTGTTCACCAAACAATTTAATGTCGATTGGTGTGGTTATATCGTCACATGTATACCTTACACCGCGTGTATTTCCCTCTCCCTCTTCTTTTCCCTTTCTCCCCCTCTCTTTCCTCTACCCGACAGTCTATTTATTCTACACATCAATCTATTTCTTCTATCCATCATGATCAGTCTACTTAGGACTCATTTCTCATATCTTGAACTATCAATTCCTCCTTTTCTGCGTAATTCAATTTCATGTTATATTATTTAATCTTCCAGGGGCTTTCCATGCAATGGACCTGTTTCCACTATTCGGCTACTGTTTCATTAATGATGCCCAAGATGTTGCTAACGAGACAGAGCTGTTCAACATATTCGACTACTCCGAGGAAGATAAACAATTCAGTGATATGATCATAGGATACTGGACTAACTTCGCAAAATATGGGTATGAACGGACTATCAGAGATAACCACTAAAATTGAATAATATAAACTAGAATCTATCATTCAAATATTAAACCCATTTTTCACCAAAAACTCTTGGATTTTTTTATTTTCAGCGATCCAAATGGCAATTCTCCACAAAATATTTGGAAACCATTTACAAGAAAGGAGAGAAACTATTTAAACATTGGGAACATTCCCGATATCAAGTTAGAGAAAAATTACCACCAGCACCGGTATGCCTTCTGGACGGACTATATCCATAAGGTGGATGCACTTCCGTTCAAACCCACAATTTATCCATCTTCAACTACAAGTAAGTGGTTCTGTGTCGATCCTTGGAAAAAGAAAAAATCGAAACATTTGAAAATTAACCTGGTGCACGACCTCATTTTCTAGTAACACAATATTTACAGAAATCAAAAATAAGAAAAATGAGACCAAGAGCTAGAGTCGAAATAAATATAAACGGTGTCTTTAACCCAATATTGTTCATTAGCGAAAAAATGTTTGGGCCTCTAAAAGCACAAAGTGGGCCCAAATTTTGAGTCCCATTTTATAAAAATTTGGCTTAAAATTAAAAAATATGGCCATATAAGGCCCAGTAATTACCAAAAGGCCAATTTGTTTGGGCCTGGAGGCTTTTTTGGCCCAAAATGTCTCCCTCAGATGCGCCAGTGACCCGCCAAGATTATTTTTCACTCTCAGACTGAGAGGGTTCAACAAAATATACTTAATATTCAAGATATCACAAGTATTTATTTTTTATTCTTTGGCATTATTTCAAGAAACAACCTTTTCGAAGGACCACATTTATTGAGTGAATTAATAAGGACATCAATAAATTGGCAATATCAGGAAAGTAATATTTACTTACGAAATATTAGTGTAATCTGATTTCAATGAGACTGCAAGGAAATTGATAAATCTGCCTCCGGTAATATTTATATTTTATTATCTTATTTCAGCGTCCATGGAAAGCCCAGATACGCCTGACGTTATGAACACTAAAGCTCCCTCTATTGATAATGTTCAAATGCAAGAACAAGTCAAAGAAAATGAGGAGAGAATAAAAACACTGAATGCCGAGTATTCGAGATATAGGACTCTCACAATAGCTCTGGGATGTGTGGCTGGTGCACTGGTACTGGTCTCTGTAATATTAGCAATCTCTGTAAAAAACGCTAGGTCTCAATTGAGGGGAAAATCAGAATCAACGTATGACATGAATCATTAATAGTGATTTTACAAGATTACTCTTACTTTACGGTATGCACATAACAGTCGGATATAATTAAGGATTTAAGCCCTGGACCCAGTGCAATGTGGATTGAATCATTCTTTAAGAAGGTGTTGCTTCAACCTTTGCATGAGATGGGCAGCATCGAGTGTGAAGTTTAGGAAATTACACCTGTGTGGAATGAATCATCCACAATGCATCAAATCTTAGTCTTAAATTCTTTTCACACATTGCAAAAAGATACGAAATCACTAAAAGAACATATTTTCAGTGAAACGTTTTGCAAGGGTCAAGTTGGCAAATCATCAATTTCAATCTGTAGAGTCAAGTTGTCACCTTGACAACCATTCAACGAATGACTATGCAGTGTAGTTATATAAATACTGTGTTCGGATTGACTGGAATCGGACACACCTTGCTATGTGTGAATACAAATTCTTGAAATTTACGCATAAATAAAAGATGTACATACGAATTATACAAATAGCTCTAGTTCATTAATAATCTCTATCACCATGTATTTTTCAAACCCATATTGGCATCATCTGTGGAGATGTCGAAAATTGTTCCTATATGAAATTCTTGATGGGGACAATTTATTATTTTTGGCTATGTCCCCTTTGGTCATTAATAGCCAATTTTTGACAAAATGCAATAGGTAGATAAATAGAAATGAGTCGTTAAAAGTGGTACAGCAAATGAAACTTTAAGGTATGTCCGAATGTCATGATTTTTTTTTGAATAATTGAATCAATGAAATTTAATATATTTTTCACATTTTAATGTTTATTCTACATTAATGTGTAAATATTCACATCAAATGTAAAAAATAAATATTAATTATCAGTATGCTATTAAAATCATGAAAATTAGTAAGAATTATCAACATATGGACCTACCTTAAAGTTTAAACTCGATCAACTGGTTAAGGTGATCTCGCTGTCAGCTAAGGTCATCTACTCATCGTTATGCAGAATAGCGCGTAGCACTCGTTGCAGGTGTTGAGTTAAAACTACTGAAGAAATTGGAAATTGATCCAAGTTATTGCATTTGTACTGTAAAGTCCCCCATTTAAATGTTTTTTATGATTCATTTTCAATATATACCCAATAAACAACAGCATACAATTCAAACTGAATGGGGAAGCCTTTCGTTTGTATTAAAAACTTAAAGCAAGACTTTTTAAACATGGGAAACAAGGTAGCAAACCAGCTGACAGATATTGTTTTTTGTAGGCCCTCGTATTTATATATACTTACTAACACATATACAAGCAGATAGCATCTCTACTACCAGTATGCTAGCAAAGTTTAAATATTGTAAAGTTTGGTAGGTAGAACTTGAATTTGGAGTGTTTACATTTTAAGAGTGCAGTTTATCAGGATGTTATTAACGTTCAAGGTTATGTGCCAACTGTGAACGATTTCTTCATCTGCTATACATTTGGATCAATTTTCAAGGAATGATTTTTGGATAACACGTATTATACGTATACCCGTTTGTACTGAGCTAAAAAATGCCATTGAAAGTGCAATTAAGAGAGGAATCTGGGATGTTGCTGGTGCAGTCTCCGGGGGAGGATGAGCTGCTCTTCCCATACGTATGGCTGAGAGATAACTGCCAATGTAGCAAATGTTTCTATCCAGTCTCACAGGCCAGAATATTGCTACTAGCTGACCTCAAACTTGATGACAAACCACAACACGTAGAGGTGAGAAACACAATAATCATCATGTACAAGTATTTTTGATCTACTAAGGAAAAAGCCCCGTGTAAAGTTTTAACCACTTTTGCGTATAGTGTGTTCTAAACAAATGTAATCACGATCTTGTAAGAAACCTTTCTATTGAAAAATGGTGTTTGAACAACAACTTTGTTCGAATATGTTGAATCATACTGAATGACATGAATGAGAAACACATTACATGAATTGAATGGTTTTACTGCAGAGCACAAATCCTGATCTGTATTTCAAGAATACTAGAATAGTAATAAAGCGGTTGAAAAAATAAGAAATTGAGCCCAAGGGATAGTCCTTAAAATAAATGCCTGTATTCTATTATCCCACCGAAAGAAGTTTGAGTATAGGGATATATAGAAGCCGTCTGTCCGTCCTTCCATTCGTCTATTCGTGACAAAAGTAAAAACATCGATTTTTACAGTATGGGTATTTCTATGTTCTTATTCATAAGGTATGCATAATGTTTTTGCTAAATATTTTGTTATCCACCTACCAAACATCGTATGGCTAACTTTTTTTTGATGATTCGCATGTATTCACCTGGATTTTATTCTCTTTTCTCATTATCTGTAAAAACAGGCTATATCTGATATAAACTTTAAATCAAAAAAAATTGTAAATTATTTATTCCATTATTAGAATCTTATTAATATAATTTATACCCACTGATGGATACGGATACCGTATCTTAACTCGTTTACTACGCTCGGTATTGAAGATATCAATATCTATTTTGTATTTTGGGAAAGCTAGCATACAACACAATCTAGTCAAATTATCACTTATTGATCAAGTTGCGGATAAATATTCCCAGGGCAACTATATCTCAGAAAAACACGATATGATGTCAGTTTCCATATGTGATAGATGTTACTTTTTAGGTCCTAACTCTTATTAACAGGCAATTGATAACAATGTCACGCACGTTTTTATTAGAAACAGTTCTAGTGCGTGACGTTTACAGTTTTACATATCATCTATATAATTTAGCACTCAACGTGTTATTTGCCTGAATGCTAAAATATTGTCTTTCTTTTCGTATGATTTATTTCTATTTTTTGTATTCATTGGGGTGTTCATGATGTGCAACAGAGTTATTCAAAAGTTGGTCGTAATGCTGCAAAAAATATTTGGTTAAATTAATCAACTTAGGCTTATAGGTCAATATTATATAGGATATACAATGCAGCCCATGGGGACATATATAGTGCCGTACTACGTCCAATCATTTTAAATGTTTCAAAGAAAGCCAGTGGCGATTATTTATGAATATCTCTCGGTTCTTAACACTTGGCAGAATAAGTTGACGCCATGGTTGATGTAGAATGTTTTGGAACACCCCTAATATTCAGTATTTAATAACACCAAATAACACCGACTGCTATCTTGATTCTTTCATCATTGATTAATAAAAATGGAATCTTTATGCCTTTTAAACTTATGACAGGACCTTTAATTTGATTGCCGTACTCGGCTATGGTATCAATATTCAGTTACATGAAACCCTTCGATGGTATATGCAATATGGGCTCACGTAAACTTAATGAAATTTTGGAATCATACTTGCCATAAATTCGCCGATTTTAGACCTATTTTATATTTGTATATGATTAGACCCGTTGGATGATTCAAATCCCTAGAAAACCATGGTCAGAATATGCATTGACCCAACTCTTCTCAATCTCCAGGTTGATAACAATGATGAGATTGTGTACCTTGTATGGTCTGATGGTCACCGCAGTCCCTATCCAGTATCCTGGCTAAAAGACAGAGCCTTCACGGAGTCGGCAAGGCAGAAACGGAGCAAGATATATTGCAGAACACAGAAGCTATGGGGCTCTGAATTTAAAGACCAACTACCCAATATAGACTTTGGAAAGGTATAATTTTCAAATTTTGCCCACATTCTCTATTCTTCTAGCCGTTCCAAATGCACGCATCGTTGCCATTAGGAATGATCACAAAATATGATGAGAATTTTGGATTATTTATTCTCAGAATTATTGTCTGATTGATTCAAGTTCTTTAAAGCTACTTCATGAAACCGTTCAGGCTAATAACTTGTGCGTTGACTAATGTAATTTTGGGTTGAGTCTAATTTGATATTATTGAATCAGCTGATGAAACCGGAGATTACTTACTCGCTATAACAAGACACAAGTTGATATTTCAGCCGTGCCAAACAATTACAGCTTTCAGTAAACTCAGTGTTAACAAATTGGGCCCTAGCTTAATGTTCTCGCTCCATCGATCTTATCATCGAATTATATTTTGCCTCTATATATAAGGTTTAAGATGAATTCTAAAATCATTTGCACAAAATCACAAAATCAAAACGTAAAGGCAAAAAATAAGAACAGTTCAGATCGTTCTTCAACTTCACAGCGCCTACCTTAACAACTGTTATTCACGTCTTATATCTCAGCTATATCAGCACTTTGCCCTAGTCAAGAAACAAGGGTCTTGCGATTTTGTATTGGACAAATCGTGTTTTTTGTGTATCTCTGAAGCCTCAGTCACATTTGCTCTACGACGGGCGTGCATCGACCGTAGCGTCACAAAATCGATATAGAAAATCTACATTTTAATTACTGCTTAACCTCATATCTATGCTGCATATTTTTCTCGATTTGGGGATTTTGAAGTTATGCAGTTAGTTCTAGCGAGCGTGAGATTCTATACCCCTTTGATAACTTGGGTGGTAGAATTCAAGAAAGTTATGATGATGTTGTAGATCTGTTGCCAAAGTGAAAGTATACCATATCAAAAGCTCATTTGTTATTAAAATGAAATCTGACTAAGAGAAGACGTCGACAGGGAGAGAATTTTTTAGTTTTTAGTGAGAATCGTACCTCTTCGTTCAAGCAACTAAAGTTTATATGAATAGAGGATATACTATGATTTTTGAGGGATACTATTTTAATGAGTGGAGATCGGCGATATCCAAGAGTGGATAAAAATGATAGCCGAGAAAGTCATAGGATATCATATTTATCCAATGGTCGCTATTTTTGTATGGACTTCAAATAATTTGACCTAAAGTTGTTGTTTTCTAATTCTATTCTATTTTTTCATTTTATTTTCTGTGACCTTATTTTTATAAAATGATTGCATTAAAAAATGTAACCAATTTTTACTGAGCATATAACCTTGGAACTTTTCAATTTTTCCATTTTTTTCATTTTTTCTATCCCAATAGTTTTATTTTCAATTTTTTCCGAATTTTCAAAAAAAAATTCAATTTTTTCAAAACTTTTTTTTCAATTTTTATTTCAAATCATTTTTTTCAAATATTTTTTTCAAAATATTTTTTAAACTAGTATCCGTCGGATATATAGAGGATATCCAATGATTTATGAGTGATATGATTTTTATCCACGAATGGATATGATATCTGCACGAGCGAGCGTAGCGAGAGAGTGCAGATATCAATATCCATGAGTGGATTAAAATCATATCACGAGTAAATCATAGGATGTTCTTTTTATTCCATATAAATTAAGTGATTTAATTCGAATTTTCCAAACGATCCGGCGATGTTGACACTTAGCCTCGTTTTGAGTCTGAAGTAGCAAAAATCCATAAACCATCGCATACGGCGCCGTATGTCATGGCTAAAAACCGTATGCTATGGTTAAGTGAAAATTTGTCAAAAATATCATATTTTACCACTGAAAATACCTTTTTTATTTTCACGTGTTATCCTATGAATATCATGCTAACTATGGAATAAAAAATATTATCCGATGGATACTAAATATATATGGGGATACCAACGCAAGATAATTTTCGTATACGCCACTTAAATCGTATCCGATCCATATGACGTGATATCCAATCGTATTTCATACTTGAGTGGGTTTGGGGTAGATATCACCCGGGAATATATATCATATCTGAGGAGCGGGCAGGATATATTGTATATGTCCCGCTCTAGGCCAAATGCGGGCAGATATAATATATCCATCCCGCTCCCGGGAATTTTTTCAAAAGTTTAAAAAAGTTTAAAAATTTTAAAAATTTAAATTTCAGAAGTTTAAAATGTTTCAAAAAGTTTATATGTTACAATTCTATTGTATTGAACTGAAGGAATATTAAGAAAATGTTAAATATATTGTGCTTTTACAGTATAGGCCTATCTTGTCATTTGAAAAAAGGTGGTAAAGGTTATATCTACCCCAAACCCACTCAAGTATGAGATACACCTGTTATGTACGGTCGGTTTTGGATACAGTGTTTATCCCGCGGGAAATATGTGTACCTCCCTCGGTCCCTGCGGTCCCTCGTGAGATACACATATTTCCCTTGGGATAAACCCTATATCCAAAACCTCCCAGTACATAACCCTTATATATCCCATGTTTCACTGTGAATCGAATAAATACTATATCTAGTATATAAAGGTCAACGTGACTCATCTCCTCATAGCTACAATGTTTTCACACCGGAACACCTTGACAACAGTTAAGTCAGATACCGTTGTCACAAATGGCGGACGTAACCGTCGCTTCAACTCTTTAATCATTTCGGTCCTCGTCGCTGATTCTGTTCATGTATAAAGCTCTTGTGATGGTGTATTACATGATCAATTGTGGTCGTGGATCGCCACAATATACCGTTTTCCATATCGTCAATGACAACAGAATCTGAATTTCAAATAATTAATAGAGAAAGGATAGATCTCGTTTCCAATATATTATTCAATGCTTTATTGTACTAAAAATCCCTTTCGGGTGAGTGTACAGCAAATAAACATGATAAAATAAAACTAAAACTATACATACAATTACAATAACATACAATGCAAATTTTACATGGCATATAATGACAATATAATGTGATTGACTGATCATTAGATATATACCAACAACTACTATTAGCCTACACCTACATGTATATATTTATATTGATAATATCGTTGTTGATCTCTTTTCAATTATTTCATAAAGGTATTTTGCAAAGGTGATACACATGTTACCCTCAGCATTAAACATATAATTAGCCTTTTCTTCGGTAGTCAATACAGTTAGATTTGGGCAAATCGAGTTAAACGTATCAAAGTATTCATATCTCATTTTTTCCAATTTTTGGCACTCAAAAATAAAATGAATTTCCGTACCAGTGGTGATTTTACATAATTTGCATTTTCTTTGATCTCTCGGAACTATTGGTCTTGTATACCTTCCCCGCTCTATTTCTAAATTGTGTGCACTTATTCTTAATCGCGTCATAGATTTCCTATGTTCGGCGTTCTTTATTAAATTCAAATATGGTTCTTTTCCCCATCGTTGTTTGATATTATTCAAAAATTCTAATTTCCCTTTATTATCATTGACAGTTTTTTCCCAATATTTTATATATCTTTTTTCAAGGATTTTCTTAATATCAAGCGGTTTACTTTTAATGTAATTTTTATCTTGTGGTTGAACATATGCCATTATTTTATCAATGTCATAGTACCATGATGGTTGATTATGAACTTTTGATAGTTCAATACTATCTGCATATGCATTAATTAGTAATGAACTCGTTCCTTCATTTTCTATATGATCTAAGTATTTAACTTGTTGGTAAAATATATTGATAAACAGAGGGAATCTACCTAACTCACCCATCGTAGCTAAATTACTCGTTTTTCTATGCACCCCTAATAGAAACTTATATAAAAAATAAAAAATATATATCACAGGTCCTGACAGATGACAAAGAACTTTACGAGTGGATGAGAAAACTTGAAATATATGGTTTGGTTTTGCTAAAGAACGCTCCCAGAGAAACTGGACAACTCAAGGAGCTGTCCAAACGAGTGGCATTTCTCAAGAAAACACATTACGGGTAAGTACTGTATGTTTATCAGCAACTGTTGTGGAAACAAAATAAATACAACGTCTGAATAATTGCACCAACAGATGGTCGGTAGAAACATCTGTATTGATGTGTAAATAAACATAAGTCTTACAACTTGATAATATTCCCTAGCTCAAAAAAGTATTCACCTGGTTGTATCAGGTAACACAGTACTCATATTCATATTGCGAGATTAATCTCCATATAGATAAGATGACACCCATTGGTCACATCTCTATATCTCATCTGATTGCTGTGGTACACCGCGTATATTATAGTTTAGTAACCGGGATTATAAAACAAATTTGATTAAATAGTACTTTCATAAATAGGGGGCAAATTTGATAATTCCCATATTAGTCAAAATTTATTAAGATGGGCTTTTAGTCTCATATGACCAATGTCAACATTTGAACCGACTGTCAAGTCATTTTCCTGTTATGTACAAAAACATATTCGATATTTTGATAACCAACTAGAATACTAGCAAATGCAAATTATATCTCATCCTCTTTATCTTATTGTTTTGTTACGCCCAGAATGATAAGATAAAATTTAAAGTCAAACAACATAAAGGTAATTTCATATTTTCGTCTTCCAGAGAGACATTCACGGTCAAGAGTAAACGAGATCCAAACAATTTGGCTTACACAGGGCTTAAGCTGGGCTTGCACGTAGATTTGCCATTTTACAGCTTTGCCCCTGGGGTAATGTATGCCTTGCCAATTGATCCATATATCAGACCTCAGATCAGACTAAACACGTACATGCATTTCATATTTGTCGATTAAGTAAGCTACAATTGCATCATAATGTAGAAACCATATGGTAGATGCCGTTAAATGGCGCTCGAGTTATTAATCTAGAGATAGCAGAAAAGGTTTAACATGGATCTAAGAACTAATTCAAAAGTTATGTTTTCAGATTCAGATGCTCCACTGCATAGAACAATATGAGGGTGAAGGAGGAGAGAACGATTTCAGCGATGGTTTCTACGTCGCCCAGCTTACAAAGGAGAGGGCCCCTGAGGAATACAAGACTCTTGAAACGACCCCTATAGATTTCTGGGATGTGGGAGAAGATATGTATAAGTTTAGCAAGGTCCTACCAGTTTGTACGTTCGAGTAAGTCTTTTGTTAAATACCTGTACCATTTTTTAAGTACCTGTATTTTTAAAATCCAAAATTCTTATAAATTTTGAGGAAGGTGGAATAGAAAGGTTTCTTCATGGGTTTCCGATTGGGCAGTCATAAACTTAATCTCACTGATTAATGGGAGATTTTGCGCACTTTTCAGTGTTCGTTAGCTGAATAAAATTTTGTTTGACACCAAAAACACTACAAAATTTCCATCCTGATGCCGAAATTGCCATAACGAGTTAACCTATTTATTCAAAAGTATTTTAAAATCACCTTTTCTTATTTATTGCCAAAGTTCAATGGGTTCCTAACTGGAATCTCATGACATGCTAATTCCAGCTACGTACATGTATAACTCATTCCATACCTGGTCTATATCTTTTGATTTTGCACAAAGAGATCATGAAAATATTAGATTACTAGTTGAAGGTTGATCATTATCTACGATGTATGAAAATTCATGAAATTATGTGACCTACTTTTAAAAAGTAGAAAGAAGTTTTTCCACCAATTCTCTATATATTAAGCACCAACAAAGAGGGGGAGTTGGAGAGGATTAACTTTAACCAGCAAGTACGAGACTCTTATATGAACATCCCCGTAGAGCAGGTGAGGCCCTTCTACACAGCCATGAAAAACTTCAATGACGCTCTCTACAACAATTCTATCAGGATTAAAATGGAACCAGGTATCTATTAGATTCACATATCTGTTTCTCTTCCAAGGGTCAAACTTTCGTTTGATCTTACAGTAACAACGGTAAATGATACAGAAAACACACATTAGTCATTTGGAAGACAATACACAATTGGATTTTGTTGAATATAACTGATATTGGAATCGATGTACTCCGACTCCTAGAAACTCTACATTAAATATAACAGTACTTTGGAAATAGCTTACGTGTCCCGGGAGTCCAGTATACAACATTACGATTTTGGCATTCGGTTTGATTTGGGAAAGTGCAGTCTTAAACATACTAAATCTAGTTTGATTTTCAATCAATATGATAACTTTATACCTTGGTAATCCAAGATGGTCTTGACATCAATATGAGGGGCAACGGGCGTAACATTGGCAACATAGTATTGCCAAACAAAAAGGTACTGAAAAAGATCATGTGCAGTATGGCAAGTAATTTTAGACGGTCATATCTTTCACCATGAGTCTTGATTAAAACAATATGCTTTTCTTTCAAGTGAAGTACCCATAATGATAAAAAATATCAATCGAACAGTTCGAAAAATTTATGAATAGGGACCCCATGTCAACATTCTTTTCAAAATATTGAACCTATTTACTCAAAAGAGGATCTCCCTTTTCTGATTTTTATTGCATGAAAAGATTATTTAACAAGGGGTCTAAAACATCTTCAAAAATAGAATGGTATTGAAAGTCTGGTTTTGAAGATATCAATTTTCGATGACCAAAATTATGCTAAAAACAATGGATAGCACGAGTTTTCCCCTATATGGGAAAATAACATGGGATATGTGTTTTTTAACTTTAACGCATTTCAATACCCATCTCCTTTGCAGAAATTGTTAATACAATGTAGAGGAAACTTTTTATATGTTTAAATTGAGAAAAACAAGATCCTCTTTTTAGGAAATAAGCCTAACATTTTTTTGTGCCAAGGTGGGGCCCCAATCCATAATTTTTCAGAGAGTTGGATTGATATTTTAGTATCACGGGGACTTCACTTGAAAGAAAACATATTGTTTTAAAAACAACCACTGTATTTATACCCAGAAAATACTCATGGTGAAAGATATGGCTGCCTAAAATCACTTGCCTTACTGCACATGGCCCTTTGAAAATAGTCTAGCTCCAAGCCCTTAATTGCCAATCTGTGTGAGAATGTGTTAACTCACAGAGGCTTGTAGCTAGACTAAATTTACAAATTGTGAGTTCGATTGAATATATTGAACACGAACTCATTCAAATACACCATGTCTTGTTTCAGGTGACATCGTTTGTTTTAACAACATGCGCGTCCTTCATGGGCGAACAGAGTTCAAAGTAAGTCAGAGTGGATCTAGGCATCTAGAAGGAGCGTACATGGATTGGGATGAAGTAAGATCTATGCAGAATGTTATTAAGAAAAAGTTAAACCTTATCGATTAAGAGATGCTTGGTGTATAGGCCTACGTAGGCTTATTTGCCAAAATTAGACACTAAGATGATTATTTCTACGTGTAATTATATGTTCGATGTTCATGTTTCGTTCAGTGTTATTACTGTTCATGGGAGCTGTTTTCTAGTTATCTCAAAGAGACGTCAAACATGGCTCCCATGTAAAAGCAAAAATAGCAGGACTCGATCTGTTTTTGTGAGCGTCAAATGCCCAAAACAGTCGAAGCAATTGAATTTGATGACTGCATCATGGATCCGAATCACGTTGATTGTTCAATCTGTAGATGGTATGTTATATGGTGAATGAGTAAATTATATTCATATTTAGACAGAATGTTCCGATTATTTGCCCACCAATGTAAGTGCATATGTATATGGACTATATTGACTGTATGTTCCCATATGTATATTTTGAGTTTATTTTCTTCAACGTACCCTGTATATGAGACCTCTTTTAGTATGAATATTAAATATCCTAAAAGATGGTTTGTGTAACGATCCATGTAGGAACATTTAATCATATATTATGAAACCTTTTTGAAAAGAGTATGTTAAATAATGTATATACTTTACGATGAATTATGTAACAATCTTGTAAATATTTGTATTTTGAAACAATAAACGGAATTATACTTTCAAATGAGACCAATTATACCCTATCCTCGGGATCCATTTCATGGCACTGGGTTTGTTGACATTACTATAATACTTCAGTAAAATATAAAGAGAGATGTTGCGATAAGAAAGCTTAATCAATACCTACATATTCACCTATCTACTTACTAACGAAGAAGACCCGAATCCGCCGTTAAATGTGCTAACTTTGCGATTGTGCTGATAGACTAGAACAGAGGAAAAATATTAAAATGTTTAATATTAATGTTCCAAGTTGAAAACAAGACTGTCCCCTCCTACCTTCAAAGAATGTTTGATCAACATAGAAATCCAGTACAAAATGTGAACCTTAGAAAGATTAGACACTTTACTGCCCCATTAAGGGGACTCATCTCTAACCTAGCCGATTTTGGGATACCCTGCACGCACTGTTTATGTTTCTTTTTTCCGAAGGGTATCATATATGCTTTCATTTGATGTAAAAAACATTAGATGTTAGCCATCAAAATATTTCACTTCATCGTCTGAAAGATGGGTGTGACTTTACGGAAAAAGCGCCTCAATTTACCCGTTTCACTAGAATACGCTTGCTTTAAAAGCGACACGTTCTCAATTTATCAATGATTGATAGGAAAATCGTCACACGGCCACCAAGATTGTTTTTAATTTACGGCATTTGATAAGCTGAAGACTTTTGATGCCAATTATTTTTCATGGGTACTAATAAAGCATAATATGAACAGCTTAGATAAAGAGTTTTGACCCCTTACCCAAGTTCGGCAGTGCAATTGACGCCATATAAAATTTTAATTGTATTCCAATTTTCATAAACTTTGACATTTTTTGAGGAAAAAACTAAAACATTGACATATTGTTTTTATTGTTTCAAACAATAGTTCACGTACCCCTAAATGACATTTGAAAATATCAAAAGGTTCCACCGTCGTTTTTTTCTGTTATTTAGATTCAAAATGTCGGCGTTTTCTGATATTTTTAAGAATTTCATCAATTATCTCTCCAACAAGAAATGTTTATATTGCTCACCGGTATAGTTTCGCCATACGCATATAAGAGATGTGAATTATTATACAACCGCTTAACATGTCTTTGATTAACTTCACTTTGATTATCTGAAGAGTTTGAGTTCCAAGAAAATTCGATTCGGGGTAAATAAAGCATTATTATATCAATCTTTGTAAAGGCCTCTTACCCCTTACCCAAATTCGGCAGTACAATTGACGTCATATCAAATTTTAATTGACTTTCAATTTTCATAAACTTTGACATTTTTTGAGGAAAAAACTAAAACATTGACATATTGTTTTTATTGTTTTAAACAATAGTTCACGTACCCCTAAATAACATTTGAAAATATAAAAAGGTTCCACCGTCGATTTTTTCTGTTATTCATTTTCGGAATTTCGGCTTTTTTTATATTTTCAAGAATTTCATCGATTATCACCAGCAAAAATTGTTTTTAGTGCGAAACGGTATGATCTCGCTATACGTGTTATTGGGCATGCGAATCATTTTACAATCGCTTAAAATGATATAAATGCAATGCCTTTTATTATCTAAATAGTTTGAATGTCAAGAAAATTAAAATTAGGGTAAATAAAGCATCATAAAACCAACCTTTGTAAAGAGTTGTGACCCCTCACCCAAGTTCGGCAATAAAAATTACGCCATGTCGAACTTAAATCACCTTATTACCATAAACTTTGACATTCTTTGAGGAGAAAAATAAAACATTGACATATTGTTTTTATTGTTTTAAACAACAGTTCACGTACCCCTAAATGACATTTGAAAATATAAAAAAGTTCCACCGTCGATTTTTTCTGTTATTTAGATTCAAAATTTCGGCTTTCTATGGTATTTCTAAGAATTTCATCAATTATCTCCAACAAGAAATGTTTACATTGCTCACCGGTATAGTTTCGCCATACGCGTATAAGACTTGTGAATCATTATACAATTGCTAAAAATGTCTTTGATTAACTTCAGTTTGATTATCTGAAGAGTTTGAGTTCCAAGATAATTCGATTCGAGGTAAATAAAGCATTATTATATCAATCTTTGTAAAGGCCTGTGACCCCTTACCCAAATTCGTCAGTACATTGACGCCATATCAGATTTTAATTGACTTTCAATTTTCATAAAATTTGACATTTTTAGGGAATAACTAGAACATTGACATATTGTTTTTATTGTTTTAAACAATAGTTCACGTACCCCTAAATAACATCTGAAAATATAAAAAGGTTCCACCGTCGATTTTTTCTGTTATTTATTTTCGGAGTTTCGGCTTTTTCTTATATTTTCAAGAATTTCATCGATTATCACTAACAATTTTTTTTTAGTTCGAAACGGTATGATCTCGCTATACGTGTTATTGGGCATGCGAATTATTTTATAATCGCTTAAAATGATACAAATGCAATGCCTTTTATCATCTGAATAGTTTGAATTTCAAGAAAATTCAAATGAGGGTAAATAAATTAAAGCCTTATGTAAGACTAACATTTGTAAATGGTTCTTGACGCAATGTTGAATTTCAATCGCCTCTTTATTTCAATAAACTTTGATGTTATTTGAAGTAAAAAATCGATGGTGAAACTTTTTTATTTTAGATGTTTTTAAGAGGCACACAACTCGGTGGCTATACCGTAGGCTAAAACGATTTTCTTATACATCAGTAATATATGGGATACTTATCATTTTGATTTCAAAGGTAATATATGATGAAACCTTATATAAATTGCTCATACAAATGGCATTTAGCGGAAAAAAGAAAAAAGCAAGTTACATGCTGGTTTGCCATGTCTATAAAACATTTGCATGCTTGTTATACTGCTGGAATAAAGCAAACTAAGTTTGAACGAATACAAGAAAACAAAGCAAACACCCAAATTATGCAATTATTTGGGAAATCAGTGACGTATAGGTTATTTGTTTGTTTAATTGTTGATGGGGCAATGTGTCACTGACGTCACAGATGATGGTACCATATTCCAAGAATTCGTGAACAAGAGTGTTATATGACGTCATGATAAAACACTGCTTCGAGTGAGGAGCCCATAGTTGCTATGAGTTACTATGTCGTAATGTGTCATATACCGTCATTCAGCGTCATTAACATTTAATATTATAGAACACTTGTCAAACGTGAAGTTAACAAACAAGCTTTTCCTGGAGATATATATTTTCTGTTCTGCAACTGGCAGGTGTATCACCATTGTCGTAAGGGTTAGAGATGAGTCCCCTTAAGCCGATTGGCTCAAATCCCCAATTACTAAAGCAATTTATGGGAAGTTTATGGGAAAAGCTCCCAAATGATCAAAAAGAAAATAAATGTTTTGCCAGTTTTAAGAGAAGTGTCAAGATGCATCTTAAAAATAAAAAATTACCATTATCCACATCTCAGTTGGAACTATCACGAGAGTGAATATTTTTAAATCGTATTAGATGTGATTTTATTTCCTCTGGCCATTTCTTCTAACACAATTTTGTAGAGAGTCCTAAATGCTTGTGTGGCCACAGAGAGCAACAAAACACCTTATCTCCAATTGTTAGTTACAAAAAGAGATAGAGGCACTTTGGAGAGAGCTTAGGGTGATACCAGAACTGAAACATTACTTTAGAACAAAAGATCAATATACTTTTGTTTGGTGATAATTTAGTAAATGACAAAATTAAAGGTTGTGTATTTAAAATTTTCTCTGTAAAATAATGGAAATCATTTGAATTATTAACTGGACATATTATAAACACTTATCAGCTTTTTTCAACAAAAAGCCATCTGCAGTAGTTTGTATGTTGTTAATCATCCTAAAGGGCCAATAATACCTTTGCTTAGGCCCTGTCAATGTATTATATATTGGGCCAATAATGCCTTTGCTTAGGCCCTGTCAATGTATTATATATAGGGCCAATAATGCCTTTGCTTAGGCCCTGTCAATGTATTATATATAGGTCCAATAATACCTTTGCTTAGGCCCTGTCAATGTATTATATATGGGGCCAATAATGCCTTTGCTTAGGCCCTGTCAATGTATTATATATAGGGCCAATAATGTCTTTGCTTAGGCCCTGTCAATGTATTATATATAGGGCCAATAATGCCTTTGCTTAGGCCCTGTTAATGTATTATATATAGGTCCAATAATGCCTTTGCTTAGGCCCTGTCAATGTATTATATATTAAGCCAATAATGCCTTTGCTTAAGCCCTGTCAATGTATTATATATAGGGCCAATAATGCCTTTGCTTAGGCCCTGTCAATGTATTATATATATTTATGTTTTTCGAATAAATGAACCATAGAAACTAATATCCAAGAGTGGATAAAAATGATAGCCCGAGAAAATCATAGGATATCAACTTATGATCGCTATTTTAGTATGGACTTTTTTTACCTAAAAGTTGTTTTCTAATATTATCATTCTATTTTATCTGAACTTATTTTTACAATATGATTGCATGAATAAAATTAAGTTGATTTTTCCTGAGCGTATAATCTTGGAACTATTGTTGAGATCAAACAAGTGGTTATGTGTCGCCAAATTCAAAACTGATGAAAAATCGTATCGACGGATACTATTTTTAAGACATTTAGACTTAATTAGATTTTAGTGGCGCATACCAAAATTATCTATATCGTTATCACCATACACTGTATATTTAGTATCATCGAATAAAATCGTATACCTGTAGATAGAATAAAAAAGCATTGGCGAAGTAACCTCCTTTGCACGAATACATTCGCAAAAATGTCAAGATAAAAAAAGTTTTTAAAGCCTAGATAATTGGAACCCAATTCATTTGTCGGGAATGGGTATTTTAGTTACACCACCCCCCCCCCAAAATGAAAAAAATCTGAATTTATTTTATTTATTGTCTCAGATACTTTAAAAGTACCCAGGCATCATCAAATATCACCTTGGAATTGTAAAATGTTTTGGAGAAAGGGGACCACTCAGTGCGCCCCCTCTAGCATTCCCAAAAAAACAAATGAAAAAATGTTTTCTGTTTTTCCAATTTTATTGATTGTCTAAAACTTTTAAAGTGTCCAGAAATCAGCAACATAATGAAGTATCTTGGATTGGACAAATTCCCTAAGATAAAAAGTAAAAAACCGTGATTATCCAAAATGAATAATTGTTCTATACAACCTTGGCCGCATGTCGTGCATTAATGACACACCAGTGGATAGAGGAAAAACGTAGCATACAGATGAGAGAAAGAGGAGAAACGATGTGGGTACATTGAATGAAATCGATTCAGTCATTATTGGTTTTGTGGTTTTGATATTTCGCTTAAGCCCGGTATACACCAATAGGGCAAAATCCCACTTGCCCCATGGAGTCCCATCTTGCACCATCGAATCCCACGAAGTCCCATGGGACCTTGATGACTTTGCCCCATCGTGCCTCATGGAGTCCCATCAAGTCCCATGGAGTCCCATCAAATCCCATCGTGCCCCATTGGTGTATGTCGGGCTTCACACAATACGTCATATGATCGAAAATCCCACGATGCCGCATGGAAAGAATGAACATGTTCATTCTCGATGGGACTTCGTGGGATTTTGCCCCATCTTGCCCCATCGAGTCCCACCGAGTCCCACGTGGGACTTCATGGGACCTCGTGGAACTCAATGGGGCAAGATGGAGCAAAATCCCACGGAGTCCCATGGAGTCCCACGGACTTCATGAGGCAAAATCCCAAAAGGTCCCACGAGGTCCCACGCAATGTTAAGTCTATGGAGGTCCCAACTTGCCCCATTAGTGTATACCGGGTTTTACAAAAATTAAAATATGGACGTTTCAAAGGTGAGTTTTTCTCCCTCGAGACCACGGGGGTGGTCTAACCAGTAAAAAATACAATCTTTCTTAAGAATTTCACTTCTGGCAACTAGTGTATATAAAGTGTAAAGTTCATCATAATATTAGATATTGTTATCTATTCAAGTGTAGACATACAATAGAAAAGTTCGTGTAATCTCGTGTTTCACTATTCTATACCATGAGCGCAGATTTTAATCGAGTCGGCTTTGGTTAGCGTGAACTTGGTACTCAACTCATATATAGTGTTTTCTATTCGGGTAAGTAACCAAAATAGTTTTTTTTATCATATACACAGACAATTTGATTAAACAATGTAACGTTTTGTTCTTTCGAGAAGGTCACTTATATAAAGGTACATAATTTGCATTGCATATTATTTGTTCATTTTGTATAAAAATTGTAATCACTTCACAAAACGCTCGTATACATTTCACAATGCTGTTTGGATCTGTTTCTCAATTTCGATCCGCGATTAACTGGCCTTTACTGCAAACTCCAATATCTGAAGTCCAGCACGTTTTCCCAGTGTTATCTTTATTTTTGAATGGAGCTAAAAAAGATTATTGATATCTGAACGAGAAGATGTTATTATCTCAAAAGGAAAATGGTTATATTGGTGTTTCTAACTTTATTTATTAATTTTTTTTTCAAAAAACCTTCTCTGATTCTTAATTCTAAATCATCCAGAGGTATATATAAGAACTATAAAGGCAGTGAAGTAGCCAGGAAAAAAAGTGACTAGGCGAAAAATGGCGGCTATTTAACTCAGTTACCCTCCTATCACACCAAACTAGTTCTTACCCGTTCTTGCCAGTCCTACGAAAATGTCGTAAAACGGGCTCAATCTGGCTGCGGTCGGGATATATGTCTAAAATAATTAACTACTTCGTTCATAAACAGTCTTCAATACGTCCATCTCATTCGCAGTTCGTCCAGGTCGCACCACGTCGGTGTGCAACGTAGTATAAACCGTCCCTTAGTCTAGAAGGTCATCATGACCTGATTACAGAACGGTATGGTCGCCATCGAATTTTGAATCGATTCAAAATTCTAAATCACATACCCCGTCCGGGAAAGTCCATGAAGTTCGTAAACAGACCGTAGAACGTTGTAGCTACGTTCATTCAGTTCGCACACAGTTTAAAACCGATTCGGCAATGTTTTGACGATCACCAGAAAATTTTGAGCATGCTCTAAGTGCTAGAGGACCTACTCGTTCTAGTAGTTTCATGACGTTTGTAAACAGATCCCAAACGGTTCTTAGTGGGTTCTTAGTACGTCAAATCCGTTCGTGCACAGTTTAAGTCCGTTTTCGAGAACGTAGTGAGAACTAGTTTGGTGTGATAGTAGGGTAAGAAATATGAACCTAAATTCATATTTCTGACTGAGTTAAAACACCATAAAATACGATATAATACAATAAAATAAAATTATTAATTGTTTTGCTCTCCAATAAAACGGAGGAAATTAAGATAAAAAATGTATAACATAAAAAGCGACGAGGCAAGCGCCTCGTCTGCCTCATCCTAGCTACGCTAGAGGCCTTAGAGACAGGTATTCAAAACTACTAAAAAGCCACAATCAGTGAATATATAAGCACAAGTGCCAAAGGGAAAGGACCAAAAGTTGTACTGGAACTTACCAAGAAAAAGCAAACTCTAAGTGCATACCAGTCAAGAAAAACAGACCCCATATAGCCCAAAACCATGATCTAACGTGAAAAGAAACAATGTCTAATACCCCCTTTCCCCCCAGCATTCAAGAACCAATATCACAATCCAAGACCAGAAGACCAAGGGACATTTCATTCATACTGAAGTCATTACAATACATGTTGAAAAAAAAAATTAGAAATTGATAGTCAATACTCATAACCTCAAAAATAGTTGAAGATACAAGTACTCATACAAGAGCCATTTACGCGCAAAGGAGCCAAAAACATGCCAAACAAGGGTCGAGCAGTATCAAATGACACCACCTGAACTATCACAAACAAGGTCGTACATTATTTCATTAAGACATTCAACTTGTGGATTCATGCAACTTAGCATGCGTTCCTGATTCAAAACGTACTTCTCCCATGAAGTGTATAACCTTATCTTAGATACTGCTAGCTAAATAAATTCAAATAGAAACGTTGATGTTTCGAGGTTCAAAGTCACTTTTTATCTTGTTTAGAACATGTTTGGCTCTTTGAAATATTTGACAATGTGACCCATTGGTGAAACGCAATCATAGCTTAGGAATAGTAACGTGTACATGCTATTGCTCATAGATCAAGATAGATAAGAAGTGTATTGTTTCGTTTGCCTCCTCGTCATATGATCTATAGGTCTAGGGTTGCTGATAGTGTCAACTTGTTTTGCATTGATACATTTTTAACAAGTTTTGACCCAAAAAATCCGTGTGACACGTGTATGTGAAAAAAAATTTGGTCCCCTAACACCAAAAATTGAGCCTAAATTTTGAAAATTTAGAGCCTATTTTTGATAAATTGGCCCTAAAAAGACCAAATTATGCCCAAAAAGGCCGATTTTTTGATTTTTGAGGCTCTACAAAATTTTGGGGCCCTTATGTCCAACATGAAATAGATATCTATTTTGCATATGTTCCATTCATCATCTATATTCGCTTTTATAGATTCGATGCAAAATATCTTCTTAAAAGGTTGTCAAAATTATCAATTGATTTAAAAAATGAAAAATCCTTGCGGTTGGTGGTTAACTCGTTAAATCTAGACCGTGTCAAATGATGAGATGAGAAAGCACGAAAAGTTCCAAAGAGAATGTGCCAGAAAGGAAGTTAGGGGGGTATCAAAAGTTCAATGTCTGATAGGAAACTAAATAAATATAGTTTTGAGTTGGACCCTCTCCCCCTCAAAACTGAATACAATGAAAGTTGATCGCGGACTTTTCACATGTTTTAGCGACTCAATTCATGGGGGCAGTACTAAAACTTATTTATGATTCTTAAAACATATATGTCCCAACAACAATAGGCATAATATTCCATGTTGCATGCATCTTGGTGAAGAAGGCATCTGGTAAAGTCTTTAATTTTAAACCATTCCAAGGCATTTCGAGTCGAAATTGAAAAAAATGTAAATGTTGAAATTTGTCGGATAGCAAACTGAAATAGCTTTGACCCCCTCCCCCCAAACTAGATTTATTTAGTTTTCTATCAGACATTGATCTTTTGATGCCTCCCCTAATTGGTTCGCATAAGTCACAAAACATGTGAACCAATAGAAATGCAAGTTTAGTATAAGATATGCTGGACTTGCAATCCTCCTTCCTGGGAATACGAGCTGTTTCCTGATGGGAAGACAAAATATCAAGAATGGAGCCAAGAATGTGTTTGTTTTATGAACTGTTGCTTAAATGCAATTATATTCTCAAAATCTATATCAACGAACGATTCGAAAATTTTAAAAAGTGAAACAATGCTGTTATTTCTGTACCAGACAGGCTAGTTTAACGAACATGCCGCTAAAAGTGGAATTAAAAGATGACGCTGGGATGCTTCTAGTGCAGTCTCCAGGGGAGGATGAGCTGCTCTTCCCTTACGTATGGCTGAGAGATAACTGCCAATGTAGCAAATGTTTCCATCCAGTCTCACTGGCCAGATTGTTGCTGCTAGCAGACCTCAAACTTGATGACAAACCCCAACACGTAGAGGTGAGAAACACAATAATCATGAAAAGGTATTATTTACAACTTATGATATATTTATTGAGGACTGTTTAATAATTACTATGATATCCATATATATGTAAGCACGTAATGGTAATGCCTTTGAATTACCCGAATGCGAGTAGGTAGTTACCAGTTTCACCACCAAGTGGCTGATTCGGGTCAATTAACATGGCAGGTATAAGAAAGTTCCCTTAAACTTGAATATTATCAATTTAAGTGGCTCAATTTTCATATAACCCTTATGTGTCTGATACTTATACTAATGAAAATATGTCTAGTTAAGCAAAATATTATCTGTCCACTAAAAGAAAAGATATTTCATTTTTGTGATTTTATAGCATCTATGGGAAAAATTGTAAATAGGGACCCCACGTAAACAATTTTTTTCAAAATGTTGAACTTATGTTGCTCAAAAGAGGATCTTCTTTTCTGATTTTTATTGCATGAAAACATTATTCAACAAGGGGTCTAAAACATCTTCAAAAGTAGAATGGTATTGAAAGTCTAGTTTTGAGGACATCAATTTTTTCGATGACCAAAATCATGCTGAAAACAATGGATAGAATGAGTTTTCTCTATGGGAAAATAACATGGGAAATGTGGTTTTTAACTTTATCGCATTTCAATACCCATCCCCTTTTCAGAAGTTATTAATATAGTGTAGAAGAAACTTTTGAGACATTTAAATTGAGAAAGATTCTCTTTTTTAAAAAATAAGCCTTACATTTTTTTAAAAAGTGACAAGGTGGGGTCCTTATCCATAATTTTTCAGAGAGTGGGGTTGATATTTTATTATCATGGGGACTTCACTTGAAAGAAAACACATTGTTTTAATAAAAACCACTGTATTTATACCCAGAAAATACTCATGGTGAAAGATATGACCGTCTAAAATCACTTGCCATACTGCACATGTTCCTTTCCTCTTCAACAGAGGTTGTAAATCCTTGTGCAATACCTTGCTTCTGCAGGCATAGTAGGTTAAATGTAATCCTCACGATATTTTTAGAAATTGAAATGAGATTTCATTTCTCTTTTATTTTCATTTTAGCCTCACTTAATTCTGTTTAATCTTTTCAGCTTGAAAATAATGGTGAGATTGTGTACCTTGTATGGTCTGATGGTCACCGCAGTCCCTATCCAGTATCCTGGCTAAAGGAAAGAGCCTTCACGGAGTCAGTGAGGCAGAAACGGAGCAAGGTATATCGCAGGACCAAGAAGCTTTGGGGCTCTGAATTCAAGGACATACTACCCAAATTCGACTTTGAAAAGGTATTAAACTATAATGTCGTTGAAAAACATTTCACTGTGCCCAGGCGCATGCGATGGTTTGAGCTGTTGTGGACCACTTGCATCAAATGCCCATGATATGACTTATATGAATAAACATCATATTACCATTTATAATCCGGCTTTTTCAAATAGTTTCAATTCTCGCACATGTTTCAATATACTGTTTTACATTACAGGTGCAGAAAGATGACAAAGAACTTTACAAATGGATGAAAAACCTTGAAGAATATGGTTTTGTCTTGCTAAGGAATGCTGCAAGAGAAACTGGACAAGTCAAAAAGATGGGTGAACGAGTGGCATATCTAAAGAATACTCATTATGGGTAAGCAGACCTAATGGTGTGTGGTATGGTATATTGGTTGTTCATCTCAACAGAGCGTATTGCCGTATATATCTCTATCAAAGAGAAAATGTCAGAAATATAAATATTTGATAAAAGTTATGGACATTTTTGACCAAATAAAAATCAACATTTTTTTGGAACCTGGATATTGATTCGGTGACCTGATTTTGCCCATCGACTACGAGTAAAGAAAAAGAAACTGGTGACCTCGATTTCACACTTTACAAAAACGTACATCTACCCTATAACCTTTGCATTCGTTCGACTTCACTTCTTAAAAGAGAGCTTCGTCTTCAGTTTATAACTAGACTCTGCGCGCAGAGTATCTGCCCAACTGTCAAACGCATTCTCACCTGTTTCCAAAATCACAGAGTTTATTGGAAGTAGTTGCTTGGAGTTAAATGCATTTGTTTTCAGGGAGACATTCACCGTTCAGAGTAAACAAGATCCAAACAATTTAGCCTACACCGGGCTAAAACTGGGCTTACACACAGATTTGCCGTATTACCACTACGGCCCAGGGGTAATGCCATTTTCCTGCCATATTCTAAACGGTGCAACTTGGGTAAACGTGTACAACTTGTCAAAGAAAGTTTAGATAAGGGAGAATGAAAATTTTATGCATACACATGGGTCCCTTAACAATAGAATGTGATCCGTCCTCAACTCTCTAAATCCGCTCATCAGATCTAAATGGATCAATTTACCTTGCATTGTGTGAAGCACACTTACTAATATCCCAGTCAATTCTTGAAACTCAGAAATGACCAAACTGACCGGGTATGAACTTTAGCGTACATATATTACAGCAATTGCTAATTTCATATTCTACATGGAAACATCTTTCCAATGATATACCAAGTATAACGAAATTCATACGTTTCATACGAATGCAAAAATTGATTCAAAAGTTCAATGTTTTTTGCAGATTCAGATGCTTCACTGCATAGAACAATATGAGGGTGAAGGAGGAGAGAACGATTTCAGCGATGGTTTCTACGTCGCCCAGCTTACAAAGGAGAGGGCCCCTGAGGAATACAAAACTCTTGAAACGACCCCTATAGATTTCTGGGATGTGGGAGAAGATGTAATTAAGTTCCACAAGGTTATCCCAATTTATATGTTCGGGTTAGTATTTGGTAAAAAAGTGGTTGATTATGAGCCTTCGTGTTTGTTACCGGCTCTCGTTGCTCAGCTCTAGGCGTTCGCCGTAACGAGATATTTGTCTTGCGTAGCCAGTTGCAGGAATTTATTAAGAAGTAATATCGAGATCGACTTCAATTTTTCAAAGGTATATGTTTGAGCAGAATGTTGGCAATATCTGCTGCCGATGCAAAAGAGGCCCAAGCTAATAACACAAAATAACAAATGGGCAGTTCCATGTTCGGGCTGATATCATATGAAATTAAGAAAATTTGAGTACCCAATAATAATATTTCATGATGTCTTCAGGAAGTCAGGATTTAAGGATTTCACTAAAATGTAATAAAAAATGATTGAAATATTTTTGTCTTCATAATTATCAATGAATGGGATATAGTATTTGGTTATTATATTTGGAAATTTTCATGCAATGTCACCTCAGATTACTGAAAAACTCAATAATTGCATTATCCAAATGTAACGTTTGTACTTGATTTAAAGGATAATATAACACAATTTAATTTGCACCTTTTCGTCTTCACTTTTTAGCACTGACAACGATGGCGAACTTCAGAGAGTCACTCTTAACCAGCAAAGTCGAGACTCGCACATGCGCGTACCACTAGAACAGGTGACGCCCTTCTACACAGCCATGAAAAACTACAATGATGCTCTCTACAACAATTCCATCCGTATTAAAATGGAACCAGGTAACAGTTGCATGTTATGAAATTAATTGAGTGATCGTAAAATACCTTAACGTCATTTGAAATGCCCACATATTTATATTTTAGCGTAATATGTAGTTCTCCAATGACTTCCGCATATTGAACAAGTGCTATTCTCTTGGCTTACTAAAACCGATCAATAGACTCTCCCATAACTTCCAAAAACCGATCATGGGGTTTCCCATAGTCTTATTTCTTACTACTTTACACTTCCAAATCTCGAAATAGACAAATGTTGATACACTTTCTAGTTGAAAAACACTGCGTGTCTTGTTGCAGGGGATATTGTTTGTTTTGACAACATGCGCGTCCTGCATGGGCGGACAGGTTTCAAAATGAATCAGAGTGGGTCCAGACATCTAGAAGGTGGATACATCGAATGGGATGAACTGAGATCTATGCAGAATGTGATGAAGAAAGAGTTAAACATCATGGATTAATAAATGCTTGGACTTCATGTAGTTGAGCCACTGAGCCTCTACAGAAAGACACTACTTGTGCCAGAATTTGAAATATGATATACCATTAGAAAGGGAGCACACGAATTCAGTAATTACTGCACACTGAACAGGTTTCTTACTTTATTCATCTATTCTTAAAGACTGATGATATGTTATTGCTGACAGCCAAACATAAATATAAAACAATGGTGAACTCTGGGTTAGGCACTTTAGATATATTTGGCAGATTTATCTCAAAAGTAGAACAAAAACTATGAATTAAAATAATCAGTCTCCTTGACTTTTGCTAAACATCCCCCACTTGGCTACAACAGGGTAACACTGTATCACAAAAAGGTTACAGTGTACCTATATCTTCTCCATGACATTCGTCCACTATCTAGATTACTATAAGATAATAGTTCGAGTGGTATGTAAGTGGGTCTGTCAATGAACTACTGTATCTTACGAGGGGTGATCAGGAATTTCTGGACCGTTGGCTCTATTTTTGCCATTTTTTATCCTTTCTTAGTGATTTTTTCACATAATATAACCAAAATAGATAGGATCACACCATGAAAATTTCATTGTTCTATGACATCATTATCCTATTATTTTTGTTACCATGGTAACTGGTGACGCGACAAGGTGGAGCTCAGAAAAAATACCAAATTTGAAAAACAACAGTAATCTACTAATTTTATATGATGTTTGGACACTGTATTCATTGCTGAATATGTGACATACTGTAATTGGTTGTATTATTTCATTAAGTATATGCATTAATGTTCATAGTAGTTGTCATTATTCTTCCATCAATTCTAATCCTTCAAAGTAGTTACCATCACTTTGTAAGCATTTGTTATGCCTTTTCACCCAGTCCTGAAAGATAGAAACAGACTTTGTAACATTTGTGTGTGAATTCCTGAATGATCTCATTACTGTCCTCAAAGTGGATACCTCATAATTTGTTCTTCACTGTTGGGAAAAGAAATCACACCCAGCTAATTCTGGGGGATACGGTGTGTGTGGTACACGGTCACAACCGATGGAAATAATCTCATTTTGTAGGCAAAGATGGTCTGTATCACATCTTTCAGAACTGGGTGAAAAGGCATAACAAATGCTTACAAAATGCTGGTAACTACTTTGAAGGATTAGATTAGAATTCAAATTGATGGAAGATTAATGACAGTTACTATGAACATTAATGAATATACTTAATGATATAATACAACCTATACAGTATGTTTGTAACATATTCAGCAATGAGTACAGTGTCCAAACATCATATAAAACTACTGTTGATTTTTCAAATTTTGTATTTTTTCTGAGCTCCACCTTGTCGCGTCACCAGTTACCATGGTAACAAAAATAAAAGGATAATGATTTCATAGAACAGTAAAATCTTCATGGTGTGATCCTATATATTTGGGTTATATTGTGTGAAAAAATCACTAAGAAAGGATAAAAATGGCAAAAATAGAGCCAACGGTCCAGAAATTCCTGATCACCCCTCGTAGCGCAGTCAGATGTCCAGAAATGAGCCCTTTATAGTTCGACTTTTTCAGGAAAGCAACAAACTTGGCACAGTTGTAGAAACACTTGATCTGAGTGGAAAATGATTTCGGGGCAAGTGATCCGGAGTGGTCTTCATGGATTTTTTAGTCTCTGACCCCAACCCCTATCAGGCGGGGAGGGGGTACATTATAAAAAATAAATAAAAATGGTTTTGAAGTAAATTTTTTTAAATTACTTCATTTGGTGATTGCTCTGAGCCTTGAAATTGAGACAAACTGATTGTAGAAGTGGTGCTTAGTGAGGAAAATACATTTTGACCCAATTATCTAGCGTGAATTCATATTTTAAAGGGTCAAATATGGGACATCAAGTACTGTATTTCAAGAATGTGATGTCTGATCATCTTGGAAAAAATCATACTAATAGGGTTATAGGTGTTCATCACAAATATAGAATATGGCTCGGGTAGCTCATGTATTTTTTGAGATAAAAATTATCGAAAATTGAATATTTAAGCCTTTGCGGCCTAGGGGTAACCTTATTCTACCTTAATAATTTTTAAGATATGCAATGTATGGGTCTCATATGAGCTCAAAATGGTGCATTGAGTCTTGTTTTGTCATATTATTCCTAATTGGATTGAAAAATGATTGGAACTTTTCAAAAAAAAAAAAAATTTCATTATCGCTTCTGAAGGGCCAGGGGTAACCATATTTTACCTTGATAACTTTTAAGGTTTGTAATATATGTATCTCAAATTAGCTTAAGATGGTGCCTGATCTGTTTAATCATAATACCTCCAATAAGATGTAGAAAATGATTGGACATTTCTTAAAATTTGAAATTTTCATTTTAGCTTATGATGGCCTGGGGGGGGGGGGGGCTTATTTAATCTTGAACTTTTCTTAATTATGAGACGTATGCATCTCAAATGAGCTAAAAATTGTGTCATATACTCTTGTTTTGCCATATTATTCCTTAGGAGATGTAAAAAATAATAGAAATTTGAAAAATGACATCTTTAGCTTTTGACAGGTTAGAGGTGATTTTATCATATATTACCATAATATAGAAGCAAAGGATGGAGTGAGTTTAGCAACCCCGTCCCCATGACCAATGCCATTGGCAGCTTGGGTCTTAAAGCATTTATGACCCAAGCTGCAATAAACCATGCTGACCTATTCTCAACCAATCATCGAGCTTGAAGGAACAAGTGCTGTTTGTACATTAATGATGCGATTTCTTCAGAGAAAGTGACCATATAGAAACCCGTCCTTATTTCGACAACAAACTCTGATTAGCGCAGTGAGTTCAGAGATTTATTGAAAACTGATAGAGTGAAGACGAAGCTCTCTTTTGAGAAGGAAAGTCGAATGAATGCAAAGGGTAGTAAGTCCAGTCACCTTAGCCTGATGGGGGGGGGGGGGGGGGGGGGGTTAAGGTGAGCTGCTTCTGTCAAGGATTCTGTCAGTGAATAATGACAGTCAATGATTGGGTACAAGAATGCCAAATGTTATTAATTTTCAAGATTAAATGATCTCAAAATGGGGAAAATAGTCTGTTTTTCACTTTATTCCTACTGAGATAATGATTAACAACAATTAGAAAATTCAGTGACACATTTAAATCTCAATCCATTTATTCCATTTTAGCACTACCAATAGCAGTAGAATACAGATGTAACATCACATCCAATGATTGTATGAAAAATGGGGAGGGTTAAACTTTGGCCATGGGCAGGTAGATATTGATAGGATTTCTCCCTTACCATATGCTATCCAAATTGACTTTTTCAGTTTTTAACATCACAAATATGCCAGGATAACCACATCAGAATTAAATGTAAGGAGTATTATTCTTTCTCTTGAAGGCCATGATTGAAGCAGTCTTACTGAAAATATTGAGAAATATCCTTGAATCTGCATCTTCTTAAGAGCAAGGGCAGAACCTCACTGTTGGGCTAAAACATTGCATTGCCTCCTTAATTTATGTGGTCACTATCTTCTTTCCATCCATTTCAAGGGTTTCAGTTTCCTCCTTAGACTATCCTTGTTCCAGTTCCACAAGTCTCTCTAGTGCTGTTTTAAAGGTGAAACAATTAGTGCAAAGGGGCCATTCAACGATCATGGACCAGTGTCAAAATACATTCAAGTTTGGATATTTCATCAAGACTAACATATATGTTTATTTTTTTCCAAAGAAACCCCCTGAATGAACATTATTTCAGCTGATTCCTCTTGAAATGTTTTGGATCTTAAAAATCTATAAGTGGGCCTCCCTTTATAGAAGCTTTGAACTGAATTTACACTTCTTAATGCTAAAATTGATAGTTTATCCATACATTTTAAGAAAATAGGTATGTCAAAGAAGATGTTTAGCCAAATAAAAAATTGAATCTTGTTGCCCCTTTAAGCTAGTGTCCTGGTAAACATTCCAGCTGACATCAAGGCAATGAACTATTTGCAGACTTTTACGTGGGTAATATCATATTTGCATAATCACCCAATTTTCTTTATCACAGGCTGGTATCGAAATATTTGTCCGCTGTGACGGAGCATGCTATTTTTCATAAAAACACTAAGAATACTTCACGATTTATTTTTTAACTCATATGTTTCGTTATACCATACAAAATTACTTACTCCATGCAATGGATATATCATTTGCGGGTAACTTTCACTTCTGTTTGAAGTCCAATTACGCTGGGAAGAAAAGCTATTGAAAATTGCGCCGGAGTATCATACTTCAAAGTGTACCATTTCTTGTTTAACTTTCTAATGGCACGATCTAGTGACACGATAATATTTACACATGGTTTCAGCATAACTATGAAGGTATAAATGAGATGTTGATGTATTTGGTCTTTTTAATTCTTTTATAAAAAATAATGTTTAATTTTTTTGTCCGCTGTGACGGAGCAGTTGCAAATGTGAACTGTGAAAATGCTCCGTCACAGCGGACAAAAAATATTAATATTATTTTTTATAAAAAAAATTAAAAAGACCCAATGCATTAATATCTCATTAATACATTCAGAGTTATGCTTAAAACATATGTTAATATTATCGTGTCACTATATCATGCCATTAAAAAGTTAAAAAAGAAATGGTACATTTTAGAGTTTGATACTCTGGCGCCGTTTTCAATAGATTTTACTCCTAGCGTTATTGGACTTCAAACAGAAGTGAAGGTTACACGCAAATGATATATCCATTGCATGGAGTAAGAAATTATCTTTGATATAACGAAACATATGAGTTAAAAAACAAATCGTGAAGCATTTTAGTGTTTTTATGAAAAATAGCATGCTCCGTCACAGCGGACACATCTTTCGATACCAGCCTGTGTTTATATATCACTGTTAGCATGTTTAACTATTCATGCCCTGTCTATTATTTTGGCATCTACTATGTAGCTTAGTCATTCAACTTTGATGTTAATGAGCATAGATACAAACAGCACAAAACTGGAACAGTGAGGAAAGTATATCCTACTAATTTTCTTCTGTGGAATTGGCAAGATTTCCTAAGATAGTTGGAACAAGAGGGAGCTGTTTTCCTTCCAGGCATCAAAACTGAAACCCTGGAGGAAGATGGCAAGAAGATTGTGACCTCACAATGAGGTAATGCAATATCTTAGCCCGATAGTGAAGTATCTGTCATCACCATTCGCTCGTATGAAGAAGCATGCCAAAGACTGCTTCTGTCATGACCTAATAAGAATCATAGTCAATACAGTTGATTTTGGTGTGGTTTAAACTGGCAGTAACTTGTGCTGAAAATGTCAATTTGGATTGCATATGGCCTATGGTAAGGGGAAATTCCTCCAGAATGTACGACCTGTCTTAGATATTTCAAGGCCACTTGGCCATGAACGAAGTTTAGCCCTTACCATTTTTCATACAATCTCTAGATGCATTCTGCTACTACTCTTAGATAACTGATTTGCAGGAATAGAAGGTGTACCCAGAGGTTACGCAAGTGTTCTAAAGCTTTAAATCTCTTTTGATACCCTAAAATTAGAAGACTAGAGTCCTTATTCATTCTGATGCATTCTTAGCCACAGTTTCTATCACCACATGAATGTGGCTGGCCTACTCCCACTGCTGATACTGAGGCCACAACATAAAATGTAGGTCATGGGGTAGATACCTGTGTCAAGAAAACAGATGCAAATGTTTGAAAGCAGATCTGATTTGCTCTGAGCTATGTAGCTGTAGGAGAGACTGTCAGAATCCATAAATTGTGACTCCTTTGATTATTTTTTATAGATTTGGATTATATACTCAAATGATAATATACAGAATCTTAACAATGCTACAACTCGTGCTAGTATGAACTGGACTTATCAAACATTTTCACATCTTAGAAAATGTTCTATAAAACTAGATAGTATTGCCATTGGTACTAGAAAGGAATAAATGGCTGTTGAGGTTCATTTTTTATAACTGTTAATCATTATTGTATATCTCAGTAGGAATAATATGACAAAACTAGACTATATTCACTATTTTGAGCTCATTTGAGTAGACAATATGATATATCTTTGTTTAAATTTTTAAGGTAAAATTAGGTCATTCCTGACCTATCATAAACTACACTACCAATCTCAAACTGCATCAAACAGCATGGTTTCATAAACAGTGCTGTAAAAACAGTACTGTACACAGCTGTTCAGTACTGAGCTGTAAAAACAGTACTGTACTACGCTGTGCAAAACAGATGGTGTTAGAATAGCATTGTACCATGCTATATAGTGCAGTACTCTGACTGCACTGTTCAGTACTGTTTACAGCGCTGCAAGAAGATGTTGCGGATTGGGGGTGTAATATGAAAATGTAATTTTCTTATAATTTCCAATCATTTTTTCACTCCTTGGGAATGATATGATAAAACAGGACTAAATATACCATCTTAAGCTCATTTGAGGTGACTATGTCTCGTATTTAGAAAATTATTAAGGTAAAATAAGGTTACCCCAGGGCCATCAAGAGCTTAAGTGAAAATTTTGATTTTTTAGATATATCCGATCATTTTCTACATCTTATTGGAAGAAGTATGATAAAACAGAACTATATGCAACATCTTGAGCTAATTTGAGATGCATATATTACATATCTGGGAAATTATTAGGGTAAAATATGGTTACCCCTGGCCCTTTAGAACCGAAAATGAAAATTTGATTTTTTTTTTATTTTCAATAATTTTTTTATATCTAATTAGGAATAATATGACAAAACAATACTTAATGCAACATTTAGAATTCATATGAGGCCCAAACATTGCGTATCTTAAAAATTATTAAGGTAAAATAAGGTCACCCCTAGGCCGCAAGGGCTTAAATATCCAAATTTCGATAATTTATTTCTCAAAAAATGCATGAGCTACACAAGCCATGTATCATATGAGTGATAAACACCAATATCTCTATTAGTATGAATTTTTTCAGGATGATCAGACATCACATTCTTGAAATACAGTACTTGATGTCCTATATTTGACCCTTTGAAAGATGAATTCACGCTAGATAATTGGGTTAAAATGTATTTTCCTTCCTAAACACCACTTCTAAAATAGGTTTTTCTCAATTTCAAGGCTCAAAGCAATGACCAAATGAAGTCATTTAAAGAAATATACTTTACAACTATTTTTATTTATTTTATTATAATGTACCCCCTCTCCGCCTGATAGGGATGGGGGTCAGAGGCTTAAAATCCATGAAGACCACCCCGAATCAATTGCCCCGAAATCATTTTTCATTCAGATCATATGTTTCTACAACTGTGCCAAGTTTGTTGCTTTCCTGAAAAAGTCGAACTACCAAAGGGACATCTGACTGCGCTATCGTACATACAAGATATCTCCATGTACTCTAAATCTAAAAATAGATGCAATATAACATTGTTTTCTCAATTGAACACTATTTACACCAAAAAATCATAAAGATTCGAACATATTTGAGAGTTATTCCAAAATAAGAGGGTAGCATTTTTTGGTCACTTAGTATATTCATATAAGTGGTGGAAAAAGAAATAATTTTGCATAGTCACATAAAAGCAATATGAACTACTAAAAGCAACTAGAATTTCGTTTCCAAAAGAGGAAGGGGTAAATATTACGGCAAATTTCCTCACCCTGGGGCAATTAATCTGGTCAAATACATCCCTGGACGTAACAACATGCTCCTACAACAAAAGTGGCCAACTTCCGTATAATTTGATATCATTGCTGTGTTGCATGAGAAGCAAAGATTTGTGTAGAACTGACTGTATTTTTGGTTGCTTTTTATTGTATAACTTTATATCATAAATCTCATACAATGAAACTTTATCTCAATCCTTTTTGAAATGGTTTACATCACGATTACTGTCCAAGCACTGTGAGTTTCCATTTCTTTGTTTTATTTATCACTGGAGGTATTCTGAACACTGCATCTGAAAGAAAAATGTAAAGTATATATTTTTCTTCCAATATAAAAAATCTGAATATGAAAGCATGAAATTAATCTTTCAAAAATGTATGGAATATGAGAGATGCGCTTAAATAATGGGTATAAAAATGACTGGAATATAAAACAATCAAATGTCAAACAATACCAAAGAATATGACATCGTTTTAAACGAATACAACCTCAAACTGATGAAGAAAGACAAATTTATAAAAAAAAAAAAAGTAAATGGCCACAAAAACAAAAACACATTTAGCCAATGGTACAATGAAAAACATGAAAAGATACCTTTTTGTCAAACATAACTGTAACATGATAGATTACCTAGTTGAGTTGTCTTGTCTGTGTCAGGTCCTGCTTTGGACTGCATGGATCTCACTATACTGTTGGCAGTGGCATCAGGCCCCAGACTCTAGAATATGACGAACACAAGGACATTCATCACACATTGTTGCATTAATGCCTGGGTCACATTTGCTTCGATTCATAGGCTGGCGCCCGGCTGATTGAGTATTTTGTTCAAAATTGTATACAGTTTTGACCAGAATACCCAATCAGCCAGGCGCCGACCGATCAATCAGAGCAAATGGGACCCAGGCATTACCAAGTGATTCATAGAATGTTCTTTCCAGAATCTTACCTCATGTATGTAAAATACAGAGATCATTGATTATTTTATCAACAGGCACAACCCTGTATTTTCACAACCTGAAGATGGTGCAGGACAGATTTGCTTCAACACTTGGGAGAACAATGGAAACCAAACCAAATCTGAACAAATTGACAAATACGTGACTTCACAGAATTGTGTCAACTTGAAAAAGTGTTTTCATCGTGTACCAAAATTTATATTCTGTATTCTCCATAAAACTACATGTTCTAATCCAGGTACATACATTTTTTCATACTTTTTAGTGCAAAATTTCACTTTTGGAAATCTTACATTTCATATAAATCTCAACTCACTATTATCGGTTGGTCATCTTTTTCTTGTGGACTCCAAATATCTGCTATACTTGATTCCACTAACTTAATGAGTTCCTGAAAGTCTTGCTGTAGCTTGGCAGCCTTGTCTTCATGGTGGAATTGAACCAGTGTTTTCAATAGTGGCCCAATTTCATCTGCAAGTGAAACAATGCCAACTGGAGCAATCCATATTTAACCAATACTGGGACTCACAACTCAGGTAAGTGCTAATAGAAGAGGCCTAAATACATGTAATAGATTCAATACATATTAGTAATAGGACTGGTGTACTAAGGAATACATGTATCGCAAAACTCACACCTATACACCGTTAAGTGTTGTACAGTGTACCATAATTTCACATATGTCTATTGCATTCCCATTTTGGCGACCTAATACTTTTCTCAAATATTCATAAAATTCAAATATCAATCAGCAATTGGTTATTTTCAAAAATTGTTTGCATGAACATTTTGTCAAATAGCAACAGGTCTTATAAAAGTACTGTTTAGAGGTGCATTCATGTTTCAATGTGAAAAAAATCAATCTTGGTTTTATGCATTATTATCTATCATAAGTGTTAAAGGTTTGCATGAAGCCCACCTTTCTGTTGCTCAGTCCTCGAGATGATGGTGGCAAGAGCATCTATCAATGCCAGATCTTCATGACGACTTCCCTCTTTCAAGCTCCACTTCTTACGTTCTGTCTTACGACGGTTTTTAGAAGATTTGCTGAAAATGATATTTAAATGAAATTATTGTCTAGAAAATAAAACATGATTTCAAAAAGTATATGTTGAAATATTGATGTATCCCATGTTACCATTGTGAATGCTATGTTGTTTATGTTATTGGAGAAAACACATAAAATTAGATCAATACTCATGGACTATTTATAAACTAGATAATGGTAAAATATGAAGAAAACCCATCCAGTAGTATTTGACAGATCAATGGATGGCATACATCGGACAGACACTACATATAACTGTTTGGATCTACATGCTTTATGACTCAACTTCATCCTTCCAGATCCATTCATTGATAAAATGAGATTCTGGGCTTACCCTGACATTTTAGAGCTGGAAGATCTTTGAGAGTCTGTTGTGTATCTGGATGATTGAATGCTCTCTCCTGTGGCACTGCTAGCATCTGAGTATAGATCACCTCCCTCCTGCATGTATACACCACTCTCTAGGTAACATAACATATGTCAGTTCTATATGTCGACAACCCTACATGTACATGCCCTGGGTACATACCACTCTTATGAGAACATATCACTTATACGGGTTCTATATGTAGAGTTATAATAGGGGCATTAACTGCTGACTAGTCAAATTATTGAGGTAATGAAATATGGCCAAGAAAAAATTCAGTGAAATATAAACTGTATTATGGTATAAACATTGGGGATTAAACCATTTATGTCCAATTACAACTGTACCTATCATTTCCAATCTGTTCTTCTCTTTCTCAGCACGTACCACCTCCAGCCTTGTGGTATATTTCTTGAAGAGAGCACATGTTTCTTGCAGTGTGATTGAGAGGCTCTCATATGCTTCTTGTAGACCTGGCTTGAAGCTGGTCTCTAAGAAGTCTCTCCTGTTGTGCTTGTAGATCTGCAGGAAAATAATTGGTTTATTATTCACAAATACAGCTATGTCATATTTAACATACATGTAAGGGCTGACAATACCTGGGTTTAATAATCACGCGGTCCTAACTTCGACCGTTAATTTGAATTTTTGACCTACCAGGTGCTTGAAAATCAAGGATTGCGAGTGTCATACTGCACCGTTCTTCTTCAAACTTATACCATTAAAAGCAGAACAAAATTGCCTTTCTGTCGGTGCATTACTTTATTGTAAAGAGTCCCTCGTTCTAGCAGCTGGGGACAAAAATGCCGCTGGAAGTAGGGACTCTGTTGAAGAGAATAATGTACCATCAGAAAGGGATTTGTGTTATGCTTTGAATGGAACAAGTTTGAAGAAAAACGGTGCAGTATGAATGGTCGAAGCTAGGACCGCGTGATAATACTTCATCTCGATATAGTGATCATCTCTTAATATAATACAGGTTAGAATATTGAAAACTGAATACCTCTGTTATCACTTACTCAAACATCATGAAAAACATTCTACATTATAAAAGTAGTTTTTAACATATTACCAAACGTAAGGCATCAGCCCAATGGTGACCAGAGATGAGTGTTTCAATTGCTTCTTCACAGTCACCTGCATATTGTTCAAACAAAATGGCCGCCTCATCCATACGTTTTGCATCCTTAAGTTGCTCTGCAATTACAATATATTCAACAGCAATCGGGATACACTGATAGTTCGCATAGTTAATGCTCAAACTGAAATGCCAGTATCTAACCCATATGGAAGAATCACATTGTCAGCAGAGATGTAAACATTTGATAAGGTACACTACATCAGCATTCCAAATTCTAAATCCAAGTTCAACCTACACGTATTTAAATTTAGTTTTCAGTTGGTTGAGACTAATATTAGCATTCTTTAAAAAATTTGCCTTAAAAAAGATAGTGTGACACATAAAATTTAATCAAAATAAATTCAACATTTTCCTCATTAAAAGGCCTTCAAAAACAACCTGGACGGACAAGTTTCGCATATCACATTTTGATAATATAGGGCAAGAGGACTAAACAAGCCAAAGATGTTTAACTTACATGGCTCATTTCATATCAGTCCTGTTAATTTCAATTACCTGCCAGTTTCCTACTTTCTTCCACAATTTCCTTTTCGCTGTAATTGGCCTCAGCCATAATACAAAGTATGGCTTGCCAATTCAAACATTTCTCATTTGAAGCTATTGCACTGTCATACTGCTCTGCCTTGTAGAAGTATATTGCAGCTTCCTCGTGGCATTTTTCCTGCTTCAAGTGATCCCCAAATGCATAGGAGATCTCCTAATAAAAGAACCAAATCATTTCCCATTTTATTTTACAAATATCAGATTAATACAGTGAATATGTATCATTAATAATTTAATATACATAAAGCAGTGGCGGATCCAGGAACCAACAAGAGGGGGGCCCAAATTTGAGTCAGAGAAAAAAACCTCCGCGGCTTGCGCGAAAAAAAATTTTGGGCCCCTAAAACCGAAAAGTGGGCCCAAATTATGAAAATTTGAGGCCCATTTTCTTCAAAATTTGGCCTAAAACTAAAAAATAAGGCCTTAGATAGGCCTTATAATGACCAAAAGGCCCACTTTTTGGGGCCTTTAGGCCTTTTTTGGCCTAAAATTTTTTTGGAGCCCAACTTTTTTTTTTCTGGGCCAACCTTAGGGGGGGGGGCGGGGCCCGGGCCCCATGGGCCCCCCCCCGGATCCGCCATAGTAAAGCTTAGCTTGTACAATACAATATACCTTTTGATTAACACTTAACTTTATACTTTATTAAACAAAGGAATTTGTATGTTAGAGAACCCTTTAGCATTTCTTGCTCTTAGTGAACTTATGGGTTTATATGCATTTATTACTGTAATGATGTGAAAAGAGAATCTCTGTAAAGGGTTTGATGAAGTACAATTTATTAACCTTATACTGATGAGAAGCCACAGGATAGTACTTCAAGGCTTCTTTAAATAGCTTCCTCTCAGTGATGAGGCTCATACATTCCGTGAACCTCTCCTCTCCACATTCTACTAAGTGTTGCAAAGCCTCTGGGTAGCGCTTCAGGTGCATGTCTATGCTGTAACGCATATAGCGAGACTCCATCGCTCGCAGCTTGTTCAAGAATGGCAGGTATTCTTTTGGATCCTAGAACAAGAGAAGTCCTTCAGATATTTGCCATAGCCTATGTACATAGTCAGCACCATCTATTTAATATCTAACATAATATAATGAAGTTCGGAAAAAAGAAAATTCAAAATAATTTTTTATATATTAGAATAGAATTAACAGCATAGAACTGAGTTTATCTTTTTATAATTAACTGCTACATCCTTAAAGGAATAACTAGTATTTGAGTTATCACCTAGGCATTAACAGAGACACAGACAAATAGTCAAACTTTGTTTGATAATTTACATGGCCCCTAACCAGAAGCAACACTCTTATAAACACACAAATTGGAATTCTCACCTTTTGAGATTTCTCTGCCACCATAATAACTAGATCAAAGTCGTAGGTCCCCAGGGCAACAAGGTACATTTCATTGACATCTACTAGGAACAGCAGGTACTTGAGGGCTTCTTCTGGGCTGACAACTCCTGTGCCTTTCTCATCTACAGCATAGGAGTATACACATTATGAACATTATCATTTGGACCATACACATTATGAACATTATCATTTGGACCATACACATTATGAACATTATCATTTGGACCATACACATTATGAACATTATCATTTGGACCATACACATTATGAACATTATCATTTGGACCATACACATTTTGAACATTATCATTTTTTTTCCTCTTCAATGCCACCTCTAGTTTAGTTTAGGTTTAGTTAGAATATGATATAAACAATAATCTACCTCGAAGTTCTTTTATTTTCTTCAGTGCCACCTCTAATTCAGGTTTAGTCTTGCGGACATGTGCAGTCAAGATGCACAACAGATACCTGGAAACAAAACTAGATATGTAACATTTATTGACATAAAAAAAATTGACATAAGGTTTTGAATTGACTCAGTGACTGCATTATGTTATGTGCTAATTCTTGATTTCAAATTGTAAAGCAAATGAATTAAAGCAATACATTCTGGATATTGTGTAATACATTGCATAATACTCACTTGTCAGCATCTTTTTCTTCCAGAACTTTCCTGATTGCATCACACGCAATATCTTTCTTGTTTGAGAGGTTCTTCTTCAAGGGAGAACGCTCCTCATATGCTGCTGTGTACATTGTCACAGTGACATCCTCCTCTCTACATTAAGAACAAGCAAATGAAAATGAATAGTAAAAAGATTTAGATTACTCATGATTACTAGGTACCAATAACTGGATGGATAAGAATACATTGCAGACCTACAAAAGTCACACATATCATTTTTCACATTGAGAAAATGAAATTTTTATCACTTCAACATTTCTGTCATCATTATTTAGAATACAAAGTATGGACATCCATATGTACTTTGTTACATATTGTCGTGAGAATGATTGCCTTAAGAATTGTACTTGAGCGGTACCACAGATAATGCCGTCTCAATAAGGACTTAATAATAATATAAGCTAAATAAGCTAGTGCACCTCGAACATGCCAGGCACTCAATTCAAAATTGGACTATTCAGACATCTCATTGGAGTTAATGTGGAATATTCATGAAAACCAAACAAAGTTGCTGGGGTTTAGTCACATACTTCATTGGCCAAATGTAATTTAAGCAAAATCAGCATGTTTAAAGTCGTATATTAGTGCCATTCAAATAAAAGAAAGTTTTACTCACTGTAGATCAGTGAGGAAGAGATTTATATCAGTGATGTCCGCAATCTGTTCAATAAACTCAGCTACATTATCCAGGAACACCTCAGGATTATGGTCAAAAAGAAGATTCAAGTTGATCCGATGTTTCTTCATTGTAGTGAAAGCCTTCTTAAACTGCAATCTGAAAAGAACAATAACAATACTAGAAAACAGCAACTCCATAAAGTAGCAAATCCACCTAACAAAACATGTTTTGATAAATAGCAGCCACCTTGAATATTCATTTGCCCACCCTGTACATATCTTCACGCGATTCATTTCCTGATTATCTCATTAAAACTATTGAATATATAGAATATCTCTTACTTATCTATGTGTCGTCTAATAGCAGATAATATAAGTGCCCTGGGGTGGATTGTCTCAAGATTGCCCCGGGGTAGCTGTAAGACAACCTTAGTTTCATCCCTGACAACTGTCACGATTCTAGCTCCACGTTCAATTCTACGTATACTCTCATCAAATGGATGAGATTTCCCATCAGAAAGCTGGGGAAGAACTGAAACATGATTAAAGGGAGAACATGGGTTTTAGAGGACATAATAGACGTTCATTACCTTTTGCATCTGATCGTCCTTAAAGGTGACATCAATTTTTGTTTAAATAAATGGAAATAACCTCACTTATATCTGTTAGCAACTTTTAAATCAAGTTTGAAGTTGAAATTGAAAAGAGGTCGATTTTTCATTTTAAGATTCACTTGGATACGTATGAAGAACAGATGTCAGAACTGCATATGTTTCAAAAGATGGTAAGCTCGCTAATTTCCTACATATACATCTACACATGTATGGGAATATTTTGGAAGAAGTATTTACCTGCTAATTTTGTCTTTCTACATATACATCTACGTGTATGCGCATGTTTTGTAAGAAATATTTACCTGCTAATTTTGTCTTTCTACATATACATCTACATGTATGCGCATGTTTTGTAAGAAATATTTACCTGCTAATTTTGTCTTTCTACATATACATCTACATGTATGCGCATGTTTTGTAAGAAATATTTACCTGCTAATTTTGTCTTTCTACATATACATCTACGTGTATGCGCATGTTTTGTAAGAAATATTTACCTGCTAATTTTGTCTTTCTACATATACATCTACATGTATGCGCATGTTTTGTAAGAAATATTTACCTGCTAATTTTGTCTTTCTACATATACATCTACATGTATGCGCATGTGTTGTGAGAAGTAAATAATCATCATGAACTGCAAATGATGTACAATTTGTGGCAATCTGAAATGGAAATTGTTTGATTTTACATAATTTGTGAGAAGAAGAGTAAATAGGTGAAATACTTGGCACAATATTTACCAATGTTCCAATATACAGATTTATCTATTTAAACCATTCCATTGCAGTCAGGTAGTAAAATGCTTAAAACAGATATGAAATGGTATTTTTAACCTAAAGGAATCAATATAATTTTTTGATAAATATATTTTGACATGTTTTCTCATCAGTAGTGTGAAAATTATTGCACTCTAATGATCGTTATAGCTGCTTAATAAGCAATATTCGAATTGGTTGTGACGTTATTGGCCCCCACGTGCTGTCTCTCTGGTCCCCACATGGCCTGTTTTGGTCCATTAAATCATGACGTTATAATGCCAAAATGTTTTGTTATTTGTTTACACAACAATCCTATGGTTGCCATGACGTTGTGATTACTAAGGAACCAATAAACCAAAGCTATATTTTGTATATGACGTTACTAATCACGTGGGGGCCAATTTGATTGATCAGTTAGTTTTATTTCGTTATCTATGACCATTAGCAGTTATCTAACATTTATTTTATAATGGCTATCGCAAGAACTCTACGTTGGACTTACAATGGAGAAACCGAATTTTTGTAGCTGCAAGTTGAGAAAAGCTATTTCAGTTGTCCTTTAACAACTAAATGTTATGCCATTAATCTTTGGGAAAAAACCAAAAGCAAGACATGAATTAACTTTTTAAGGAAATTTCAAATACTAAGGTGCAAGCTTAAGGTCATTAATCCAAACCATGTACTTCTCTGTCTGGGACTTACCTCAATATCATTAACATAGAACCTGTACCTCTCTGTAAGACCAACTACAACATCCTGGAATGACATGAAATAAGAGAACAGTAAAAGTATTCCATTCGCAAGCCTAAAAAACTCCTCAAAACTCCCAGAATAAGCCATTAAGTTCCTAGGAATTATGTTGATTTTATGCAGTGTATACCTGGACTTAGAAATCATTGCTCACTGATTTTGAAGGTCAATTTCACTGTGTGCATGGTTGCCCAACATACACCAAAACTTAAAATATCATGTTATCCACTTGTATATGTAAAAAGGGAAATATGACATTTTTAGTAGAATTCTTTTAGCAATCATATACATGTGCATGCATTTACACAGCATAAAGAAAACTGACAGTAATACTAGCATATACAGGGTTACCACAAAAAACCACATATCTGAATAAATATTAAGGGTTCTGCTTTTTGGTCACCCTGTATAAAACTGATACTCTTTTATACCAGCAAACGAAGGTTGGGTTGTCAATGAATTTTGTTCACTCTCATTCAAAAAGAAAGTGGCAGGAAATCTGTACCAACCCAACACTTACTTCAACATACATCATTTTCATTATATTTTTATGTATTTTGATGGACAGACTAATTATTACAATTGATTATAAGCATGTAAAGTAGACACTTATTACTACATACCTGACCACCAAGTGTACAGACAGCCATATGAATACATGGTTGTGGGAAGACCACCTCCAACCCAGAATCATCCAGATGAGGAACAACACTACCAACCTCTAGGTCTGCAAATAATATCCAGGTCCATGTACATAATACTACAGATGACCAAATAAGGATCAAAAGAATGACACTATTTGTCCCAGGCTTTGAATATACAATTAAAATATGGTGACAAAGTTGATTTAACAGTCCAAAATTGTACAATGAATAATTCCTTACCAGTGTCATAGTGGAAGTCTAAGAGAGTCCCATTGTTGAGTTGTACCAACAGCTGCTTCATACTGGAGTGACACATACTCATCACACAACCCTCCTCTACTGCTACTGCACATCTAGACAGACACACAAATCAAAGTAACAATCATATGGACAGTTGGACAGAGCTCCTCAATACCTAATGTTCAATATTTAAGTTCATCACATTTATTCAATACCATTAGATGCACTAGCATGCTGGATACAAGATGGCATGGCAATGGCGCCATCACATGAATGGTCCAACTTGAAATACTTTCATCTCCCTTCAAGTTGTCAATTTGTCTGATTTTATACAATTCTCTGATTAGAGTGCTGTTCCCAATTAGCTTTTCTTGAATCACAACTTACATAAACCCAGATAGTTCACATTAGATGAGTGTAAAGAAGGCATTATATGAGAATTTAGGGAGAGGGTGGGTAGTGATGGCACCCAGATAGTTCACATTAGACGAGTGTAAAGAAGGCATTATATGAGAATTTAGGGAGGGGGTGGGTAGTGATGGCAAGGCAAGCTTAAAATACTGTCCTGGACTGGATTAAGTGTGAAAAAAGTGAAAATTTTAAAATCATGCATTTTTTCACCATTCTGAACACTTTTCAAGTGATAATTGGCAAAAACTTGTTAAACGTAAACCACTCCATGGAACCTTTTAAAAGCTGAACCCCCTTGGAAAAGCTGAACAACTTTATCAGAGCAGACTTCAGTGTACAGAATGATAAGATAATTAGCCTAGTAGAAGAGCATTCAAATGTAAAACAAGCACTAACACAAATACAGAGTCTGCTGTATATGTAGTGCAAAACAAAAATCTATTTTCCTACTATGTTCGTGTATGTGTACCTGCTGTTCCACTGTTTGGTGGTCCTGTCAAGCTGCAATACTGTGAGTGAACTTGTGCTGCCCCCTGGTGTCCCTCCTGACCCGTCATCTTCAATAGGTTCTGTGTGGGCACATACCAGAAAGTCTGTGTCAAGCCATATGAAGTTTGTCTCCTTTTGAGGGTATCTACTACTGCCATTCATACAAAGTCTAGAAATGTTCAATATAAACCAAACTAATTCACTTTACATGTTAAGTTTGTATATTATTACATGTTTTTCACAATAAAGTAGATTTGTGCTCAAGCCTAGTGAAGTGTTTATTATCATATTATTTCTAGACTATTGTCGTTTGAATTATAATCATATAAAGGTTTGTTTTTGGTCAAAAGGTAATTCTACTAAATGTAGGTAAGCAAATGTGTAATTTCCATTACATGTTTAAGAAGTTTAAGGTTTATATATCAACGTTTACATTCTATTTCATTCTGTTACATTCTTAAGTACTGTACTCAATAAGTGACTAACTCATCAAACATATACAGTGTCCCATTTTTTTGGACCACCCTGTACATATAACTCATATTGCATGTTGGTTGGTTCCTACTAATTATCTTTAATAAACAAACACTGTCAGTGATGAATTATACAGTTTCCTACTTAGCTGTTGTCCTAAATTGAGGTAGTTTAACATCTTCCGGAATGTTTCCACATATAGTCATGTCAACAGCCTCTGACGAATCCTCTGAAAACAAAACAAGAACTTTCAGCAAAGATAACATGTATACAGGGGTCCATGCGAAACTATTGTTGCATTAAAATCATGTACCCCACACCTTCTACAAGACTATCCTATGTCTTGTGCTGAACAACCATTCCATGTTAAATAGCTGTGCCCGTGTTCCCTGCACTTGCTCATTTAACATTTTTGTTCAAACCCTATTATTATTATTAACTATTATTGGCAGGACAATAACTGGTAGTAACTTAACGAGAGAAGGAAATTAATATCTTTGAAATTACCTTTTTCAGGAGTATACAATTCTATACATCCATCAGCCAATAGAACTGCTATGCTACATAAAGGGGGTGGAGCAAAGATGACTTGATTGACAGCTGATTGACACCTAATTGTAACTGCAGCCATAGGGGGTGGGACTACCAATGATTCAAATGGTGTCAGTAGAAGTTGATCTGAAATAAACATTGATCAGACATCACATCAATGGTTGAGAAATGAACTCTTCTAGATAGTTCAATGATTTTCCTCATGATTAAATGCCATTTGGGAAATGAGATAACCAGTAACCAATCACTCTTCATTATCGACTTTGCATTTATTTTCTAAACCACAATGAATTTCAGAAATTGATTACTGTTACAGTGGAATATTAAGAAAAAATATGTCTGTTTTTTTGGTTCAAAGTATATGATGCAGGTACAACTGACTTAAGGTGTTTTACATGAGGGGAAATAGGACTTAATAGTGATCAACATACCCCCATCTATGACTGCAACTAAAGCCTGATCTCTTGTATCATTTACACACCAAGCAAATGTGTACTGCAGATATCTGGCACCTTCTGTAGCAACATGTAACCTAATGAGGAAAAGAGCAGCATTTGGTGGAATCAAATGGTGTAAATGCATGCAATTTCTTCAATAACATGCTTCCAACAATTTGCTACATGAAGGATATTTTTACTTTCATCAATTTTTGTCATATTCTGGCACTCCTCTTTTTCAATAAATGTAAAGTTGCAAAAGGAGATCAAATTGCAAATGTAGGTCAAGTGTGAAAGTAGGTCAATAGAATTCTGTATTCTTAAATACCCCTAAGAAAGTGATTCCAAAAACAGTAGCTGAAGCATTAGGAAAAGGTGGATTATAATGCTTTAAATTATTCTGATTTTGTAGGTTATCAGTTGAAATATGAACTGCTTTAAAAAACTTTCTATACAATCAGCTATGCATGAAGTATCAGAAAGTTTAAACTCTTTACCTTTTAGAATGTTCTGCATCCCACTTAACACATCTGACACTCTGCTCACTACTGAAGTCAAGGCTCTGCTTCAAGTACCAATGGTAGTTGTTTACACACCAAAGTTGAACTAGAAATAAGAAATACAATGTTCAATGTTACAAGTACACTGATTTCACCTCTTCAATATCATAGGCATAGTCAGGGGGGGGGGCTATGACACCTCCAACAAAAAAGAAAACAAGCAATTTTGTAAAATTTGTTGAAAAAACATTTAACAAATTATCGTTTGAAATGCTATTGCTATAGAATACATCATATACTATGTAAATTTTAAAAAAAATCCGGGGGTGAATCCCTGTTCCCATTTTTGAGTCTCGTTTCCCTCGCAGTGATGTAAAGCCCAAAAATTGCACCCTCCTTGACAATTGCTGGCTGGATGTGGAAATAATGGACAATGTGAAACAGGGCATGTTTTGAAAGTGATCTCACTAATCTACCCCTTTCTTACTTACTATATGACTTGGGCTTCCACTGTGTTTGCTGCTGCTCTGGTGGTGGCAGTTCCTCAAGCCAGAGACATAGCACTGTAGAGTCATTGTTCCAGGTAATCTCTCTCAGCTAAACCAAAAACATTATATTGTTGAATATATTACTTTGAAAGGGCTAAAAAGATACAAACTGAGGTGACGTTGCAATATATTTTGCTCATAACATTCTTTCTAATTATTTCATTTTCATGAACATTTTGAATTTGATAAGCATGTATTTAGGAAATGTGACTTTAAGTGACTGATATTTCTAGACACCCATTAACTCCAATCACTTGTGTTTATATTTGATGTTTCCTTGTTTTTCAATTTTATCAAAGAGAAAATCCTGAGTTGTGTCCACCATATAACACATACTACTCGAGCATATAGATAAATATTGACTGAGATATTACAAGACCCTTAAGGATGTTCCCTGGTCAGATAGGAAAATATTCAATAGTATTTAACTTTTTCTCAAAAATGGTTTTCTGGGATTCTCACGGGCAACAAAGAATATTAAAACTTTAAAAACCATATGTTAGTGTGCTTTTTTCTGAGCAAGAGGCCTCTAAAGTGTCAATATTTGACAAAAGTGGGCGTGGCACTTTCTCATTGAAACCCATGTTAAAAATCAGGTTTTCACCCCAAAACACACTTTTGAATATTTAACTTTTTCTTAAACTCACAGAAACACTTAGTTATGCTATGTACTTCACATTTTGAAAAGAAAAATTAGGGGTTGGTGTTCATCGTTTTCAACTTCGTCCAGGGAACATCCTTAAGGACCTGGATTTATATTTACCTTAGTTGTGCCTGGGGCAAAAGGAAGCTTCAATTCTCCATGTTGCAGTCCATTTTTCTCAAAGAACACAATAAGCTCCTGTTGGTTTGTGAGGCGTTGGCCAGAGGTGATGACACTACCAGAGGGCCTGCAAGTTATTTGCATTAAAATTTCATTGCTTGATTCATTGTCACTGGGATATTCCAGAAAATACACATGTTCAGTTTTATAACTCCCCTCGAACTATTACTACTAAAGTTTAAGGACAAGTTCAGAGAGTTAAAGTGGCTCTGAACTGCAGCTGTATGATAAAACATTGTAGTTTTGTTAGTTTCAAGGATGAAAGCAAAAAACCTCAACACACTTATAACGCTGCTTTTTTAAAATTTAAAAATCAACACAAATATACACAACTCATTTAAGCAGATATGGGGTAAATGAAGTAAATAATTTTCTCATCTATAAAATTGACAGAAGTCCTGAACATTTTTCATATTCACTGATCACACAAGTAAAGACAATCATAGCAGCTAAAGTAGTGACAATCATGTGATTTCTAAATCTATTGCTGCAAGACAATTGAGCACTTTTTATTAGAATACTTACTTCCAACATAGCGAAGGTTCAAGGCCATTGACAGGTTCACTGGTGGAATACAATATGCACTCCCTACTCCACACTCTTATCTCTCGGCCCCCTAGCAAACAAAATAATTAATGTATTTAGATATCTCTTCAAGCACAGGGTAAAGTATGCAGTACTATGGCTACCACTTATAGACCATCATTTTTGAAGGTGAAAAACATGATATGTAAAATTATTAGTCTATTATTTCAAGCTTTATTTAGTGAGAGTTTCATATTGTTTCAATATCAAATCATCTACAGAATGGCCACTGTATCAACCAATTTGTCATACGACATAAGTGTGTCGTGTTTTCATTATAAATAATGCTCATATTCTCTTTCAGTTATAGTAACTGGATAATATCAACGGCGCAGTATAGCGAATCTGAAATGTATTGGGGTTGTGAAATGAGAAATTTTGTTCACTTTTCTGAATGTTTTAGATATGTTTGTGACATGCATCATTTACCTGTTTGTGAGTTTATAGAGCTGACAGCAAAGTATTGGCCATCTCCCCTCCAACTTACAATTGGCAGACCACTGTCCCAGTCTAGAGCTGCTGACACTGCCTAAAATATTCATCATATCATTGGAACTCATGTTTTCTAAACCTAATGTGAATGTGAACTATAATATAATAAATGCATATATCTATTAGTATGTCAACAATCTAACATGGAAATTAGCACATTCCAATACACAATGAATCATTAATGATTTCAAATCTTCCTAGGTAGGACAGAACATATTGGCTGGGTCAAAACAATGATGTCCATCAAAAATGAACTGTTTTGAGGAGGGAACAATTTGAAGCAAAAATAAATGTATTTTTCTCATCTTAAAAATTAATACTTTCATCAATGTGTCATAGTGCTGAAGGACAGATATATTTTCACTACACCCCTTACACAAAAAAATTATTTCAATACCCACCATTTTTGTTTTGGTCGCAGCAGACTTGCCTTCTGATCCATGGAACTGAGTTTCCTTTTTGCCCCACCCAACATTAACAAACTGTGCATCCCCAAAGCTGCTTGGTTCAAATGGAGTTTCTATGATTGGTTCAAATTCTCTTGTCATCATGATAAGAGTCTTCTGTCCTGTTGCTAAGACAACAAGCTCCTGGTCAGGACTCCATGCCATTGAAGTAAATCCAGACTCTACACTTCCAACACATTCTACCTTTTATGTAACAAATAAAATTATGCTAAATAAGATATAGAATTGTTCAAATATAAGTAAAACTTAAAGAATTAAGGATAACACTCATATCATTGCAACATGACATCAAGCAGTCATAGATCTCTATCAAGTATAGATATACCCTATATCCAAACCTCCAAGTACATAAACATTATATATACCTCTGATGTACTAGTGTTCCATAGAATTAGGTCACCCATTACTGTAGCAACGCAAACAGACATCTGGTCAGGTAGATGCTCGATGCCAACAATTGTTTTACCACTAGTGACATCTGCTGGTAGATATCCATGTTCTACTAGGCTGACTGAGGAAACAATCTGAAATACAGGGTGACCGGAAAAAAGGAGGCCATTGAACAAGGCAATATCTCCTAAACTAGTGCCATCAATGAAATTTTGCACACACCAGAACAGTTCTATTGAAATTGTGGAAATTTGTCCCTGAAAGTTTCAATACCACCAATCAACTGGTTTAGGAGCTGTGATCATTTACATTACATGCTCCAATTTGCCACAATTGAGAGCAAGGCAGAAATGGATTCATATGACAGGATACCCTTACATATTCAGCAGTGATTGCTTTCAAGTACACACTTGAGTTCAAAGGAAATTGAAACAAACATGTTTAATGATTCATAGGCTCATTTAGCACCATGTTTATCAGATGCCTCTGAGCCTTGTTGTTATAACATTCGATACAGGGATAAAATAAAACACAACTAAGTTACAGAGACACCTAGAACTTACCTCCCTACTACTGGGATCAAGGCCAACAATTCCATGTCTATTTCCACAATACACTATTCCTGTATCAAAGTCAACTGTAAAATCATGAATTCCACACAATGTCAGATGTTTTATAGATAAGCTCTGCACAACTCTCAAGTTCTTCATTGTTTATGTTTGTGTATCTCACATTCACAATTCTCCGTATTTTATCTTTGGAATCCTCTGGTTGTTACCTTGAGCAATCCTCTAGTTATTCTTTAGATATCATCTGATTGTTATCTTCAGCAATTTTTAGTTCTAATCAACTGAAATCCTCTGTAACATATGTCTATCTTGTTTACAGGTTTATAACTAATAGTAAAAATGGTCATTTTCTTTCCATTTTGTGTTTTTGATTTTACTTTTTCTGTTTTTACAGCCTTTCTGAAAAAGACAAAAGCCATTTCAGACGTAGCTGAATATAAGATGAAGTACAGAATTAGATAGCATATATAGAATGTGCCTAGCGAGAGGGGGTGCTATGGCTCATGTTCTATGTCTATGTCAATAATCTGCAAAAGGCTAATAAGCCTATATTGTTGTTGAGATACCCTGGGACGACTGCCAGGCTATCGAGTTGAACCTGGAATCCCCCATTTGCAGGACTGTCAACCCCTAAAGATTTTCTCGCGGGACAGATTTTTTAGACCCAGTGCCCAAAATTCGCGGGATTTTGCGGGACATCTACTAAATTCGCGGGATTTTGCGGGACATTTAAGGGATTTGCGTGATTGCGCTAATAGGAGATTTTTTTTATCAAATTCGCGGGATTTCGCGGGACCATTCGAGGGACAAACATCCTAATTGCGGGACAGTTAACAGGTGTACCACCAAAAACTTCATAGAGGGACAGATTTTTTAGACAAAGTGCCCTAAATTTGCGGGATTTCGCGGGACATCCACCTAAATTTGCAGGATGTCCCGGGACATTCAAGGGATTTGCGTGATTGGGACTAATGTAAATCAAACTTTCAGATACTGATTAATCAAATATAATGCACCGTTACATTGTAACTTAAATAAACGTCAACACAATTTCACAAAATACGCGTAGGAATATTATTAAACTTTGCTTCAGGTGTGATTACCGTAATCTAACACGAAATTCAAAAATTCGGAACAATACTTTGCACTTCTGGCGTCGTGACCAACTATGAAACGCTTACCCCCATAATGTTATATATTAAAATGTACCTATTCATATACTGTAGGCATGGGCTTTCAGTTGAAAGCCCATGATATAGGGGTTCGATTAATCTACATCAAATTATAGGGAATGAGGTTAATTTTCTAGATAGGGTTTGTATAAAAAACCGGGTACCGGGTTAAAAATCCTCCATGCTGGGTTCAAACTTGGTACCCGGTCGAAAAAAAACAAAAAACGAAATATACGAATACACAACATAATTAGATCATTAGAAAACGTGTAAGATTTGTTTTGAATTTACAAAAATGTATGTAACTTCCTTCAAAACTGAGCTAGAAGCTTCAAATAAAAAGCATTTTAGGGCTCTTTTCTTCCTCTATCATCTTGGTCATATTTCCATTGGTAATGAAGGGGGGGGGGGGGGGGTGCACCAATGACATTGTAAGACGATTTGAAAAACAAGACAAATCAATCTTACTCTATTTTCAATAGTTCGTATGTTGGTACGTGAATTGTTTTGATTATGATTTAAATCTGTAAATAGCTACCGTTGCTTTAGCAGAGAGGTGACGTGTGTTAATTTGCATGATGCAACATGTAAGATTTTGATTATTAATCATAATTTAAAGGTGCAATAATTGGTGCAGAGGGGTCATTCAACGATCATGGACCAGTGTCAAAATATATTTAAGTTTGGATATTTCATCAAGACTAACATCTATTTTTATTATCTACAGAGAAACCCCCTAGATAAACATTATTTTGGCTGATAATTCTCTTGAAACATGGTGGATCTTAAAAATATAAAAGTGGAAGTCCCCTTTTTGAAGCTTTGAACTGAATTTACACTTCTTAATGCTGAAATTGATAATTTATCCATACATTTTAAGAAAATAGGTATGTCAAAGAAGATGTTAAACCAAATGTTGCCTTGATAGCTCAGAAAAAATGAAAAAACTTTCCTATTTTCTCTACAGTCCTTATTGCCCCTTTAAGTTATCCCAATTTATGACAAAATGTCCACTGAATTGTAAATTGTTATGTCTTACAATGTCATAGGCGTAGCCAGGAGAGGGTGCGATGGTGCGATCGCACCCCCCCCCCATAACCAATGAAAATATGGCCATAACGATAGAGGAAGAAAAGTGCCTTAAAATATGCTTTTTATTTGAAGCTTCTAGCTCAATTTTGAATCATGTTACATACATTTTTGCAAATTCAAAACAAATCTTACACGTTTTCTCATAATCTAATTATGTTATATATTCGTATTTTTCGTTTTTTTGGTACCCGTTTTTTTGACCGGGTACCAAGTTTGAACCCAGCATGGAGGATTTACTACCCGGTACCCGGTTTTTTATACAAACCCTTTCTAGATATCAGCGTACAATTATTGTAACTCGCGTTTGCTAACATTTGCTCAGTTCTGAGATGAAGGCCACACGGGTAGTAAAAAGGCCAACGTTGGAACTATTTGTGACCTACATCCCTATTTTCGTAATTAAAATGAAAGTTGAACCCTTCCCCTTTATTTTGATACCAAACAACAGCATGCTAGGTACTTAAAATTAGGTAAACTTTACTCCTCAAAAGTGCAAAAACTTAGCTTCTTATATAAGATAAGATAATCAAAATATAGGGGATTGCAACAATTTCGGAAATTCGCGGAGGTCAAAGCCACATTTTGCGGGATTTCGCGGGACAATGCGGGACACGCGAATTAGAGTCAATACTACCTCTACATAATATTTGTAGCCTAAAAGATACCATATAATGATGTATAACAACAATCTAACAATAAAATAATCAATTATGATGATTTAGGTGTTCGGAATTACCCCCATGCTCGTGTTTGGAATTACCCCCACAAACCATATGCCTTTCAATCAATAGATGTCACTTATAAATTAATTAAATTTGGGTTTCTTGATATGCAGGGGTGACAGGATCCAGTATCATAAGTTAAGGGTATCATATAATGATATACCATCAATCTAACAATTAAAACAATTAAATTTAAGTTAAGTGTTTGGAATTACCCCCATGTTAGTGTTCGGATTTACCCCCCAAAAATACTCCTGTTCGGAATTACCCCCCTAAAATACCTTGTAGTAAAAATGGTATAACCCAGATTCTTTTTACAGTTTTTCGTAATTTTTTCGGCAAATGCATTCTACAGTGTATAATACACATAATATATATAGAATCATACCATAGATGTGCAGTACAGCCAAGCTAACTACATTTTTTGATGGGGGTGTTTGGAAATAGACGTATTGATTCTAGCCTAATTTTGATCAAATTCGCGGGATAATCCCGCCATTCGCGGGACACTTGACAGCTCTGCATTTGTTACAAAAACAACCTCTGGCCAACAACCCCCTTTTTGAGAGATCAGAAAACCCCAGCCAGAGCCAACCCCACTCTAACTTAGCGCGAACAATGAATTGCATGTTTATACTAGCTATCTGATGACGCACAAACTGTCGTGCAAATCAATGTTGGAGAAGCAACGTTCCTGTATGGAAGATACATAGAGACACCCAGGCCTAGACTAATCTCTGTTATTTTAAAAATAATCAGAGATCAGAGGTCTATTATCGCCCACAATAAATCTACCGACAACATATCAGGCAGTTCCTGTTCCTTAGACCCATATTTTAAGGATTTTCAACATTTCCGATTAACTATCTGATATTCATAAATTGGTGAATCACGTCTAATTATATACATAGCCCCTTAAACAGAAGAATATGTTATAAACGCACAAACTCACATTTTTTGTAGTAGAAAGAGTGTCTGCAATGACGGTATGATTGAATCACGAAATACAATGATGTGCTATTATATGTCTATGCTTGGAATAATCGATTGGAACTTGATTAACATGATTAAATAGGTATTAATTCTATTCTATTTTACTCTTCACAAGTCTGAAGGAAGAAAATATCACACAAAGCGTTTATATCACGTTTAAACCCCCTCCTTCATAGTTCAATACAACTTTGGAAAGTAAATCTTACTTGTGGCGTGTCATATCCAATATGGCTCAAAAAAGTTCTGATCAACAGATGCTCACTTTCGGCGATGAAACACTTTATGGAGAGGTACCAGACGAATTCGGGTCATTTCAAGGAAAAGTAGAATGTGTTGATGAGACGATAGGAGACTTAACAGCACCGCCAGAGTCACAGTAAGTTTCTATTAATAATTTTAATCACTTCCGCTCATAGGCTTCCGCTCAAAAATATTCTAGATAATTGCCTTCGACTAGATCTAATACTTAATGAAGTCTACGCTCTCCTTATCACTTTCATGCATCTACATGTAAACTGTTGACTCTCCCACTTTATACCAATATTTCAAATGTGTGTTGTGTTGCATATCAGCTTTATCCTTCCATTGAAAGCCCATGTCGATACGTTTAATTTTTTCATGTGACTGTCCTTTCTATTAGAAGTTTTTTTTCCACTTGTTGCCAGAGGGTGTGAGTAACGTAATCCAACAGAAAATTCAAAATATCCGAAGGATGCTTTGCACATATAAATATGGGATCTGATCTTGACGCTTGTTACCCATTGTGTTGTATATCAAAATGTACCTGTTTATATAGAGGTTTGATTATCTACATAAAATTATAGGGAGTCAGGTTAATTTTCGAGATATCAGCGTCCATTTAGGTAACTTAAGTTTTTCTACCATTTGCTCAGTAAGACGGACACATGTGTACATGTGTAGTAAATATGCCAACCTCCAGTCGAGATCAAAAGTTGTCACAATGAGCTAAATTCTAAGTTTCATGTCTCAAACTCTCCCAAGCAGTAGAACAATAATTCCCATTCACTCTAAGTAGCACAATAAATGAATCCAAAGCTTCATACCTGCAAATGATAGATAAATTCCTACCAAATCGAGCGAATGTTTTCATGAATCACCATGTTTGTGATCCAAGGAGGATTGACTCCCAGAATGCAGCATCAGTTAACCTTATTTACTCGTGACAGGCACGTGTCATGTTGCATTCTGGGAGCCAATCCTCTTTGCAGCGTAATCGGGCTCCAAAATCACCTCAACATTTGAAGAGTTGGCATAAACATGTGAATATCACTTCAATTTTTTTTATTATGGACACAAATTCCACTATATTTGTACGTTCCGGGACGGAGAAAATAGAGCACTCAATTCACTGAGGTAACAATTTATGACATATGTGACAGAATGTCTTTTTCATAGTATTAGTAATTATTTATGTTCACCACTTTATGAATTTTTTTGACCTACATCACTATTTTGGTACAATTGAAAGTTAAACCCCTCTTTATTTTGATACCAAATAATGGCATACTAGGTACCCTTGAAGGTGACTGTGGCGTTATTTGTAACAAAAATCACAGGTTTTTAAATGGACTATACCCTTTGGAGGCCAATGGATATGGAAATTCACACTAGAGTGCTACCTGAAACAAGTTATAGACCAACCCCATTACATTGGGCTTTTGTATCCTGATGCTTCTCTGACATATTATTTTCAAAATAATGATGATGGCTTGTAACTCCTTAAATCATGGGCTTTCAAGAGAATCCCTCCACCCCTGTGTATATAACACTTGAATCCCTCTACTCATATGTGTATGTGATACTTGAATCCCTCCACCCCTATGTACAGGGTGTCCCGAAAGTATGGGCTCCCCCGCCCCTAGGCAGACATACACCAATGTCCCCATAGTATGTGTCATATATCATTTTAAAGCTCATCCAAAGTTACATTGATTTGCCAAGTATCATCGTTCAATTTACAAATGGGGAAAAGTTACAGGCATTTCAAAACTTAGTGTTTGGCCAAAATTAAAGTTAAAATCAGTATCCTGGAAACACCGCTAACCTGAATATGACCAAAAATATGGGTGATATCATTAAAGAGAGGATGGATATTGAGTTGTAAAAAGAGGTCGGCAAGGGCAGATACTCCAAAGAAACTCTTCTGAAATGCCTTAAAAAGGTTTTATTAGGATTATTAAATGCCATACCCCTATTTGCAGTGTATTTAAGGTCATATCTGGAAAGAATTGCTACTGTTAACATGGCCAAGGGAGACGCGGCGACTATTAATTTTGTGTAAAACTAAATTTTAATTTTGGTAAAACAGTACATTTTGAAATGTATGTAACCTTTTCCCATTTGTGAGTTGAACCATGATACTTGGCAAATCAATGTAACTTTGGATGAGCTTTAAAATGATATATGACACATACTATGGGGACATTGGTGTATGTCTGCCTAGGGGCGGGGGAGCCCATACTTTCGGGACACCCTGTATATGTGACATTTGAATCCCACCACCCCGTATGTAAAAATTGAACCCCTTGACCCTTGTCACTGTGTGTATGTGACAATTGAATTCCTCCACCTCTGTGTGTATGTGATGCTTGGAACCCTCCAACCTGGAGTGTATGTGACATTTGAATTCCTCAAACGTCCTTAATTCCTCAATTCCTCCCCTGTATATATGTATTGTGACATTTGAATCCTTCCACCCTTCACACTTATGTGCAGTTGAATCCCCCACTCGGCACTCCTGGGTGTGAAACTGTGAATGTAACACTAAAATCTTTCTACCCTACAGCCCTAGTGTATGTGACATTATACCTCTACCCCCAGTGTATGTGATATTTGAATCCCTCCTCCATTGATTGTGTTTAGCACTTGAATTCCTCGCAACAACTATGTTACAACATGATACAAAGTGGCTGTTACAACTTCAGATTGTGTATAGAGTTGTCATCAACATCTGAAGATATTTTCAAATTTCCCATTTGTAGCACCTTGGAGATTTCTGGAATTGAACAAAGTAGCGAACTTTGCAATCTTTCAACTTTTAGTTCATTGTTTTTCACCACTTTATGTGTAGCGTTTTAATTTACTTATTTCAATACCATAATATCTTGAATAAAGCTGATTTTAAATAGTCAGTATCTTCAGGGGCCCTTTCTACAATATTTGACATCGCTATCTTGGAATATTTTCTGCTATATTTAGCAGCAGGTGTCAATGTCTAAAGTAACTTTTGAAAATCCATAATAGTTTACTTCTGTATATTAAGGTGGTACCATGGACGCTTAGCACGCAATGACGCAGAGGAGCGTCTTCACGAGGCAGGCAATTATGGCTGCTATCTGGTGAGAGAAAGTGAGAGAAAACCAGGTTCATATGTCCTCAGTCATCTTGGAAAAACAGGAATCAATCACTTCAGGTAGGAGTGTAAAAATTCAATTTATCTCATTTATTATTTATTACTAAGAATGAGTCATTCTCATGAATTGCTTCAGAGAACTAAATTTTAATATGCATGATTATTTAAAACCCTTTTTTTAATGTTCCAATGTGCCCAGATAATATTTTCACTTTAGAAGTAATAAACACTGGCCGGAAATAGGTTCACTGCTTAATTCTCCCCATTTTTGGAAATGAGCTCATGCTACTTAAATAACATTATATCGAAATTGTAACATTTTGGATTTTTGACTTAATTTAGAATATACATTTTTAAACTGAGTACCGGATATTGAGTTGGCATGGAAATAATACATATTGCTATAGTAACTATAATTATAGTAAGTGGAAAATAGTAAAGATAATAGTGCACAAATGAAACCTAAAACCTGATGTTAATTTGATGTGAATTTTTCATCGTTCCCCTATCAAATAAATCTTTGAGCATATTTAACATCACATGATTAGCTAGGACATTGACATTATATTTTCTAATTGACATTTAGCTAACATTCTAAATATAAACATGACATATTATTCTTTCAGAATTACAGCTTTATGTGGCAGTCATTACATAGGAGGTCGTCAGTTTGATTCCCTCTCAGATCTACTTGGATATTATACCAACTGGTCTGACCTACTGAAGGGAGAGAGACTCCACTTTCCTGTACCTCCTCCAGAGGTACGTACAAACATATGTAATAATTCAACTTTATTCATTTAACTGGATCATTTCCTTTAGATCAATACACTTTAGCATACCCTTTGCATTCGTTCGACTTCACTTCTTAAAAGAGAGCTTCTTCGTCACCCTCAGTTTACAATAAATCTCTGATCTCAACGAGCCAGTCAGAGTTCGTCATCGAAATACAGATGACTTTCAATATGGTAATTTCCACTGACATCTCCACATAATTAATGAGCATGTATTTAGCATGCGGTGTTCCTTCTACTTCAGTAATTGGTTGAGAAAGGGTCAGCGGGGTAGATTTGAAATGACTTATTACCCGGGCTGTAATTACCCGGGCTGTAACATGCACCAATCTTTGGGTTGGGGCTGCTAAACTGTATAATATAGTCTATACTAGGCAGAGGGTAGTTTATAACTAGACTCTGCGTGCAGGGTAACTTTAGCACTGGGTAACTACGAACTAAGAAAATTGCAGTATTAGTATAAGGATGGGTTGAAACAGCGGAATTTTAATAACAATTAGTCATAAAGCCAGTGTTTAATTGTTTGTGAAAATGTCAAATTGTTGCGACCTATGTATATTTAGTGAAATATCAGATATTTAGCGTGCTGACACATTGATTGAGTAAGATTGTTATCATGTTGTTTCAATGTCATAATTTTTCCATCTTCAAATTACACGTGTCAGACTGTCAGTATAATTGATTCCACAACCAATTTGATATCCCAATTATAAACTACATGTACTTTATAAAGATATACAGAACAAGCTGACAACTATACAACAGATAGTCTTCAAGAATGTGAATTTTTAAATGATTCAGGAATTACATAGAATACTACTGTTACATTAGACTCTCTATGCTTTTCAGCCAGTGGATGATAAAAAGCGACTCATTGCAATACTCCCATACAGCAGAATTCCAGAAACAGATGAATTAAGGTGAGATACGTTCACTTAATTTTGAATAATTGTAAAAAATATCAGTAAAAAATTGAATAACCTGTAAAAATTGCATAGCCATATTTTATTAATATCAGATGTTGACATTTATTCATACAAGTTGGCCAAAAAGTAGCACTGGTGATATTGATGAACAACTGTTTCTTAAATTATACACATTTTGATAACAGTAAAACCTGTCCAAGTGAAACCCCTTTGGTACCTCTCTAAAAAGTGTTCGACTTGTGAGTTGTTCCACTTATAGAGGTTCATTGGACATTAAATCAGCTTCCCCATACTTTAAAAAGTGTTCCACTAACAGAGGTGTTCCAATTCTAGAGGTGTTCCTCTTTACAGGATTCACTGTACAGTAGAACCTGTTTATCTGAACACCTGGCTAATCCGAACACCTCCCAATCTGAACACTTTTTTCGGTCCCATTTTTTCCTCCCTCATTGACTCCCATCGTAAAAAAAACTTGAAATGTGAACACCTCTTAATTTTGAACAGTGAAGAGTCTAAACTTGTCTAATCTCAATACTTTTCATAAAATTTCACATGTTTCAGATAAATTTGCTCAAATATTGGTATGATATGAAAACTTTTGGAAAAAACTTGAATGGTCTTGATTATAATAGGGCTTTCCAGCATGACTAGATTCATTTGAATCGAATTTTCAAATTTCTGAAATACCATAAAGCTTTGTGGTCAAATGAACTATAAACATGTACTGAGAATGTGTTCACATTTTTACAGGAATCCGGAATCTCGCGAATGCAAAAACCTTGAAATGTGAACACTTCTTAATCTGAATGCTTTAAGCCAGTCCCAATGGCATTCAGATTAGACAGGTTTTACCGTACTTCATTTCCCAAAACAATGCTTTGTGTTATCAATGTCAGTGATGCTTCTACATTCATTTGATTTGCAGCTTTCACAAAGGTGATGTGTTCATTCTGCACCATGAGATGGGAGATGGCTGGTTATGGGTGACAGACATGAGGACCATGAAGAGTGGAATCGTCTACCAAGATCTCATGGAGGATCTGGTAAATATATGTCCTATATACAACAGGATGGGTCATAAATAGGTCACATTTTACATACATGTTATGTATTATTACACCATTCTTTTTAGTGTAAACTGAGATTAAATTTTTTTTTTCTTTTAAAATAGTCTTTATTTCATTCATTTACTAAATATATAGACTGAGATTAAATTATACACCATCAGTTACCATTTTAACAATAATTTTTTCCTTGATTTTTATCACCCTTCACATTGAACAGTTTTTAGATTAATAAAATTTCTCTGAATTTTTCCATATATTTAAGGAACTCAAGTTTGAATTTTGTATCATAATTATATTGATATTTTTTTATCATTTTGGATATTTAGGCTGAAACCAAGAATGCTACAAACCAAAAATGATTGTTTTGAACTAATTTTACTTGTGCTGTTTTGACAATCAATTTCTGTTTTTCAGAATGGCAATGTTGATCCAGTGGAGGCCATAGATTGTTACCATGGTGATATCACTTTAAATGAGGCTGTTATGAAACTTAAAAAAGGTATTTGTCAGTTAAACTAGAATGTAACTCTAAACTAGTCTAAACTAAAACGAATATTTAACCTTTAGCATGCTAACTTATTTTGGCCATTTGTGACTGACTTATTTTACAAAAAATTATATGCTGACTGAACTTATGATAAATATCTCGATAACTACTGAATGAATCTGGATGAAATTTTCACAAAAGGAAGATACTTTGTTACTGTGATCGTGTATGTTTCATTTTATTTTAATAAATGAACCAAACTCTGCCTACTTTACTATGAATACTCCTCCATAAACCGCCGCTACGCCCCTGGGAAGACTCAACGTCGGGTCAGAATCCAAAACTGAATCAGTTCAGAAAATATTCAGTTTCTATTTTCGCTGTCCATTATCGGCTTCCAAAAGCTGTAAGAGCTCAAAATCGCAGTCCATATTCTTCACATTTTCATTGTGATCGCTTTAGCTGCCATTTTGTTTGATTTCTCCATTTAAAACGGCTAAAATGCTGTTTAAATTGTTAAAATGACAATTTTTGGAGAAATGTCGCCATTTCCAGGTCACCCAGAATTCAAGTATGGCACTGAATAAAACTTGCAATCTTACACAATCAATCTCTAACAACACTGTACAACGTTGTTTCAGAAACGGTACTGTTCAGTGTTGTTTTGACGGTGTTGTACAGAGTTGTTAAACAATACCGTTCAAGACTCTTTAAAACAGTGTTGTACAGCGCTGTTTAAACAACGTTGTACAACACCATTTCTAAAACAGCGTTGTACAACACCATTTAAACAACACTGAACAAAACCGTTTTAAAAATATGGTACAGTACTGGTAAAACGGTACCGTACAATGCCATTTCCAAGTTTTAATATGAAAAGTACATGTATCATCATTTTATTTTTTGTAAATATAGGCTAATGGAATCTATATGATATCTATAGGCTAATCTCTGTATTTTAAATTTTTCGTATATACAATTTTTACCGCATTTACTTAGATACAAAGATTTTGAATGCACCGAAATCTTATATACTGTTTTACAGCACTGTATAGTTCATTCTGGATGAATGTCCAAAAGCAACTTAAGAAATGCCTATGGTGGCTTTTAGTCAGTGTAAGACCTTAATTCACTCAGCCATTTTAGTATAGGCTGCCTTGATTTACATAATTACTATTAAGTTAGTATAAGAATCTGTTTTTTATGTTATTGTTCATTCTTTTCACAATTTTTATTTTATTTATTTTATTTTTACTGTTGCTATACATAGGCGTAATGAATTGTCCATCCAACGCAATGATCTTAACTTAAAACATTGCTGAGGAAAGATGGAATTCTAGCTGTTTATATAAGAAGTTATGTGTTTCATCACCTCGTTTTGGTGTTTTAGAAGTTATCATGATACATCCAGGTACGTCTGCATTAATTTTAAATCACAATTGTGTAATCTAACAAGATGCATTGAAATAATTATAATATACAGAAATAACAAATAAGATAAAACATTGCCATTTTATATAGAATTCATAAAGTACATGTATGAGATAGATGTAGTAGTAAGTTACACTGGAACAATTTACACAATAGCTTTGTATAAATTATAGAGGTTTGATCTATCATGTCTGCCTCTTGCAAAATGTACAAAAATAATAGGCTATTCTATTAAATTTCAGTTCCTGAAAGATTCCATTCTCAATCTCTCAAGTGATGTCCCACAGTAAAATGAATTAACTTACAATGACTGAGATGACTAAGAATGAACCATTTGTTCCTGATACATGTGAAAGAGACAATTACTGAAATGACTGCTGGAGACAATAACTGCATTCACGGTAAAAACCAGTTTGATTTCGCAGCATTATGCTGTATTATACATGAAGACCAGTTATTTAACAAGGATATAAAGAGGAAATTGTCAGTTTCATTATTAACTTTTGGTCATTTAAAATCCCTTTTAGTCAATCCTTTTTTCAGTAATCACAAGAAATAAAATAATGTTATGTATAACTCTAAGCATTATTATAAATTCTTACATAGCTAGGCAAGGTGTTTCCAACTCCAGTTTTTCATATAATTGCAGTGCAATTTAAATAACCAATCACCACATCCAAGGTCATTCCTTATGTGGTTGTCAAGGTGACAACTAATCTCTATGCATCTTGTGCAAATTTTTGGAAAAAACTCCTTCAAGGAATGGACATTCCACATCGCACTGAGTCCAGAGCTTAAATCCTTAATTCTAGTATCACGGGGTACCATTGAATAATTTTGGCAACGTACCGGAGAACGACATTTTACTAAGAAATGGCAATAATTTAGCACAATATATTTTTTAACTAGAGTTCTATTTTGATTTTGACAAAAGTAAGTATTCCATGCAATAACTATTTCATTCATGAGTTTGTAGGAATTCTGTTGGAACCCAGTTCTGATCAAGTACGAAGTTTTTGAAATCGGCGCAGACGGACTTTACTCTGAAAGATGGTTTTTCGATTATAACTTTTTACAACATTTAAGTATAGACTTTTGAAAAAAGTACAGAATAGTCCTTTTACTATTGAATAATTCTGTTATTTCTGATTCACACGACTCTGATTGTTTAATTAAAAAAAAAGTTTTAAAATTATTACTTAGGAACGTAACCGGAGCTGGGAACGTAACCGGAGCAGATCAGTTTAATTATATAATTTAAAAAAATAAAATATATGATTTAAAGCATATGTATTATTTACAAACACATATGTCAGCTTACTTGGTGTGATAGAATTATAGAACACTGTCTATTAACGACTGAAAAGCAATGTTCTGTAGTTTAACTAGAAAAAATCATTCACTTTCTTACTTGCTTAATGACCCACGCCTAGGTTTATCGAAACAAAGATGGATAACAACTGGTTTTGCATAAAACAATAAGCGGGCACTCACTCAAACATCTTACGTTTATATGGAGGGGGGTTAGGTGAAGAATTTCAGAAAGCATATGTTGATTCGATTTGGTCGAGCACATGACAAGTACTTAACACACCTACGCTATATACAGTTCGTTGTATCCTAACTTTTTTAATAATCTAGCATTTAAATGCTTTTATTTCCCCTGAAAAAGAGAAGTTGTCTTAGAAGTATAATACATGTATGTATAAACAGTATATATATACGAAATTAGTATAACAGAGTGGGTTCTAATAGTTCGCTGAACAAATACAATGGGTGAAATCAAATGGAATTATTTGCTTACTACATTTAATCACTTCATTCTCCATACAATGATTGTTCTATGTTTGATAGCCTTTCTAAGGTAAGTGCACTTATGCATGGTAAATACCAAATTTAATTTTTCACAATGGATAAATTTTTTTCTTTAAATAAAATGTAATAAATACGCATTCGAACAATCCCGTATGTTTTTAAATTAGTATATGTGCTTTAAATCATATATTTTAATTTTTTTGATTAAATAATTCAACTGATCTGCTCCGGTTACGTTCCCAGCTCCGGTTACGTTCCAAAGTAATATTTTTAAAACTTTTTTTTAATTAAACAAATCAGAGTCGTGTGAATCAGAAATAACAGAATTATTCAAAAGTATAAGGACTATTCTGTACTTTTTTCAAAAGTCTATACTTAAATGTTGTGAAAAGTTATAATCGAAAAACCATCTTTCGGAGTAAAGTCCGTCTGCGCCGATTTCAATAACTTCGTACTTGATCAGAACTGGGTTCCAACAGAATTTCTACAAACTCATGAATGAAATAGTTATTGCATGGAATACTTACTTTTGTCAAAATCAAAATAGAACTCTAGTTAAAAAATATATTGTGCTAAATTATTGCCATTTCTTAGTAAAATGTTGTTCTCCGGTACGTTGCCAAAATTATTCGATGGTACCCCGTGAGTATGATACCTGATGTCATAATAGCTAGAACAATTGATTTACTGGTCTATAATCATTAGAGATAGATGTTCACTAACTCAGGTTTTACTGTATATGCATTTCATCCTCAACAAAAATTGCCATAATATACATGTATGTTGAAACAAATCATTTTGAATAATAAACTGGATAACAGCAACGCCAAAAAACTTACATGTCTGTAGGACAGGTCTATGTAAAAGAGGGAAACTTTCACATGTTAGAAAATGCTAGGCCTATGTTGCCGAAAGTGTAAATGAGCGTTTAAACATGTTACAATGTAATACATTAAATACAAATAAGAAATACAAAATCAAAATCAAATGAACAAACAATATCAGCATATAGAAAATATATTTATATAACTCGTTATATACAGTTTAGGGCTACACTTACTGTCTAATTACTGAACAATGATTAAGAAATCATATTAAAACGTATCGCCTTTCATATTTCGAGCATGTTTGTTCTGCTACATAATATGGCACCGATGAACACATTTACTGAGTCTTAGAAAAGTTTAAAACATGCTTCACATCAGTTATTCAAAATTACCTGTTTTTACTGACATGAAAGAAATCTTTTTTAACAGCATTCCTTATTGTTTTCTGTCTGCTTTGTTTCAGGTACTCACAAATGGATGACATTATGTTCAACAGACAGTGGGAGATAGAAGTTGTAAAAGCTGCCAATGCTAATGCTAGGACATGATACAGTTATTATAGACCTGATAGACACTCATGGATAGGCTAGCACTCATGAATAGGTCTACACTCATGGATAGGCCTACACTCATGGATAGGCCTACACTCATGGATATGCCTACACTCATGGATAGGCCTTCACTCATGGATAGGCCTACACTGCACTGATGGATAGACCTACACTCACGGATAGGCCTACACTCATGGATAGTCCTACACTCATGGATAGCCATACACTCATGGATAGTCATACACTCATGGATAGGCCTACACTCATGGATAGGCCTTAACACTCATTTGTAATATATAACATTGGTGTTGATATTTTTCAGCCTTGTTATTTAATTTAAATAAATAATGATTCATTCATAAAATCATTCATTGTTAAATATAATTTAAAACGTTTGAAATAAAAGCTGATGCTTTACTACACCATTTCATTCATTTCTCTCTCTGTATCTTCTCAAGAATGCATGATTTGAGATCGGTAGATACAAAGTGTCTTATTCTCATTATTTAAAACCACACTCAGACATACAGGGTGTACAGATAACAAGGCAGGTTTAAATACAATTTAAATGAGAAATTAAAGATAATGAGTGCGATTGTCCAACCATTCAGTTAAGTGCATTAAGTGAAACTTTAAAATGCCATGATGTGTACTTGTGTTATCACAACTATGTTCTATGTTGGTTATCACATCAATGTATTTGTGTTTTTACAGCTATGTTTGTTAGTATATCAATGTATTTGTGCTATCACATCAATATGTTATCACATCAAAACATCTTTTGTGGTTATCACTTCAATGTATTGGTGTCATCACATCAATGTTTTATATGTTATCACATCAATGTGTTTGTGCTATCACATCAATATGTTTGTGTTATCATATCCTTGGTGGTTATCACTTCTATGTATTGGTGTTATCACATAATGTTTTATATGTTATCTCATCAATGTATTTGTGTCGCACATCAATATGTTTGTGTTATCATATCCTTGGTGGTTATCACTTCGATGTATTGGTGTTATCACATCAATGTTTTAGATGTTATCACATCAATGTATTTGTGTCACACATCAATATGTTTGTGTTGTCATATCCTTGGTTGTTATCACTTCGATGTATTGGTGTTATCACATCAATGTTTCATATGTTATCACATCAATGTATTTGTGTCACACATCAATATGTTTGTGTTATCATATCCTTGGTGGTTATCACTTCGATGTATTGGTGTTATCACATCAATGTTTTATATGTTATCACATCAATGTATTTGTGTTATCACATGAATTTTTGTTATTAATACATCAAAGTTTTCGTGTTTTGCTTCAAGCTGGACATCTGAGCTACCTTGTTCGATCCAGTGAGCACTCCCCAGGGGACTACACTCTCTGCTTTCTCACACCTGACAAATTAGAGAGATTTCGCATAGAAAAGCAAGGACGACAATTTCAAATGGGAGGACGATACTTCAACAGTTTAGAAGAAATCATAAACAGATACCGCAAGGACATGATAATTGATGGTTACACACTTGGAAGGCCAGTTTGTAGGGTAAGTGGCTTTCTCTTCAAGACATTGGAATTCATAGGTGACATAAGTCGAGATTAGTTTATCATTTGTGACATAAGTCAAGATTACTTTATCATTTGTGACACAAGTCAAGATTACTTTATCATTTGTGACATAAGTCAAGATTAGTTTATCATTTGTGACATAAGTCAAGATTAATTTATCATTTGTGACATAAGTCAAGATTAGTTTATCATTTGTGACATAAGTCAAGATTACTTTATCATTTGTGACATAAGTCAAGATTACTTTATCATTTTTGACATAAGTCAAGATTACTTTATCATTTGTGACATAAGTCAAGATTACTTTATCATTTGTGACATAAGTCAAGATTAGTTTATCATTTGTGACATAAGTCAAGATTACTTTATCATTTGTGACATAAGTAAAGATTCAAGATTACTATATCATTTGTGACAAAGTCAAGATTAGTTTATCATTGGTGACATTAGTCAAAATTAGAGTATCATAACTTTTCTGAGAGCTTAGGTATCTACTGCAAATGGTTTGACGATGAATTTAATTTTGTGCTTTCATTAACTGGGCACATGCAAAATGTCCTGAATATTTTTGAGAAATAGGCTACTTAAACATTAAATTGATACATTTTCATAACAATCATATCTAAATATGCTGCATAGAAACTACCAAATTAGGCCAATCAGTTGTCATGGGCCTAGGAATAACAAGCCTGTAAAAGTTTTGTCTTCATTTGTAATAATAACAGATCTTGACATTTACTCATAGTGTGTCAAAAAGTCGAACTTCATTTTATCCTGTAAGAAATTATGTTAGTTTACCATTCTACTGAGGAGCTACATCTTCTTTATTTTTGTAGTTTAGTTTTGTGCCTCATTTGAAGCATTTAAATTCATTTGATTTTCCTGTGAAATAATTTCATGAAATCTATTTTGACATTATATTAAATATTCCATTTTCCCCAAAGGTAAGGAGGGCAGACTCCGTGGCTTCAATCCAAAGCCAGATTTCCATTGGTAAGCTTGATAAGCGTGATGTGTACGCAGGCATGAGGCAAAGCAGTGGCTCTAACTTCATGCTGTCCAGAGACACCATTGTCAAAGCTGGCTTCATGTTGAAAAAAAGTAAGTTATGGAGAAAGATTAAGTGAAATATGTCTATAAATAAGATAAGACATAATTGATTGTTACAAGGGAAACATTAAATGTGATCTAGAAATGAGAATGGCGTGGAAGTGTAAATACGTCTCTATAAATATAAATAAGATAACATTGTTCACTTCAAGGTAAATGGGTAAATGTGATCTAGAAATGAGCATTACATGGGAATGTAAATAAGTATATTTGATTTATTTAGATTATAATGATTTTATGGGTGTTCCAGGTTCAAGAAGCAAGAAGTGGAAATCAATGTATTTCGTTCTCAATGCAACCCAACTACAACTCTTCTACTTTGAAAGTGAAAAGGTAGATAGTGGTTTTGAATTATTTTCATAGAATATTTCTCTGCACAATTCTAGTTTCATGAATTCATTTCAGATCTTCATGGATAATGCTTGAAATATTATCTCTAACTGATTAGTTTTTTGGCATGCTATGTAAATTATAGGATGACCAGTTTGAAAGTTTATCCACCTACATTTCCTCCATCTTACTATGTCACATCCATATTGCTGTATTTACTACAATATTGTTGACCCTCTACTTTGTTATTTTCAGCGCTCAAAACCAAAAGGCCTCATAGATTTAAACTATGCATCTCTATACCCAGTACATGAAAGCTACTATGACAGAAGGAATGTCTTTCAGCTTGTAGTTCAAGCTTTAAACCATTTCTCCATATACTACCTCTCAGGGGACACGTCTGAATCAGCTCAGGTAATACCTCATTAGAGCTCTCTAAGTAATTAAGGTAATACCTCACATCTCTAGTAACTTAGGTAATACCTCATTAGGGCTCTCTAAGTAATTAAGGTAATACCTCACATCTCTAGTAACTTAGGTAATACCTCATTAGAGCTCTCTATCTTACTGAAGAAATAGCTCATTTCTCTAGAAACTTAGGTATTAGCTTATTATAGCGCCAGTAACTATGGTTATACCTCATTAGAGCCCTCCAACTTATGAGAGAAGTAGCTCATTCTCTAGTAACTTATGTATTGGCTCATTATAGCTCCAGTAACTATGGTTATACCTCATTAAAGCTTTCTAAGTAACTAAAGTGATAGCTCATATCTCTAGTAACTTAGGTATTGGCTCACTATAGCTCTGAGGTAATAGTTCATTAGAGCTCTTTTTACTTAGGTAATAGCTAATGTACAGCTCTAGTAAACTATGGTTATACTTCATTAGAGCCCTAGTTACTTAGGTAGTAGCTCATTATACTTATCTAGTAGGTAACTAGGCATCTCTATTAATTTAGGTATTGACTTATTTTAGCTTTATTAACTGAGGTTATAGCTTATTGAGCTCTTTAGTAACTTACGGTAGGCAATAGTTCCAGTACCTCGTGTAATTTTTATGTTATATCTTTGATGAAATGTTCAAAATAAAGAGCATTTTGATAAAATGTTTTGTTTAGTGGGATCTGACACTCATCTTGTCATCATTATCATCTTATATTTATTATTATTTATTTTATTTTTTTCTTGTAGGAATGGATCAGTGAGCTGAAGCCTTTCTGTGTAAACACTAAATCCAAGAAGCAACTGACTAAGAAGCAATCTGGCGCCTCTCTTAAGGAATTCCGCAGTTTACAGGTATGATATAAACATAACTTTTTTTTGTAAGGGTCAATATGTATTATCCTTAATGAAAAAAGAGAAATATAGGGATTCTTCAGGCATTATGAAGTTGGGGGATTCTGCACCAAATCCTCACAATATATAAAATAAAAGTCGGCAATTGATGAATACGGTAAAATTCAGAAAAGAAAAATTATATAAACAGGTATTACAAAAGAGTCCACTTGAAATATATCGTGGTTGTAGGTTGAAATAATTGAAGCCCAGAAAGTGCCAGTGAAGCAGCTGTCACATCCGTACTGTGTGCTGTCCATAAATGATGTGAAAGTGTGTCGCACTCAGACAAAGGAGATTTGTGCCAATCAGACCAGTGTTGTTTGGGAGGAAGAGTTCTATTTAGAGTAAGTATGTAATGTAATTATATACTGTTTGCACTGGACTGTACAGAAGATAATAAAATATGATCCTAATAATAAAGTCTAATAGATCACTTACACTTTTATTATCAGAAACAGTGGTAAAAATAAAGCAATTTTATTACATAATAAAATCAGAACTATTGGGCCTTTAAGGAAATAGGCACAACAAAGAATGTTGTAAGGAATATTGTAAAATTGGTTCTATTTCGCCACCAAGAATTATTGACAAATTGTTTTGGCCTCCAATCTTGTGACAGGTTTTCATAGTAAGCGATTAGCTTATCCTTGCACTAACATACTGTCATGTCTTCTTTGTTTATTATAGGGATATTCCACCAGATATTGACACATTTACAGTCACAATAAGTAACAGAGGACGTAGGTCTAAAGACACTGATGTAGGTAAGAAATGCTCACTATTATATTGGTCAGCTGGAATACTAAATAAATACTTTGGACAAACACATCAATTACATTCACATTGAAATACCTGATTGTTTTTTAATATTAAAGAGGAAATAGTATAAAAAATCATTTTTTAAAGAAAATTCTACATAGGAAAAGTTTGAATCTTTAAGAAAATTGAATTAGTTTATGTGTGATACAAACTACCATTATAAGTGAATCTTTCCAATGTCACCTGTCTGATGAATGCCTCCACCTAGCTTAGGATGTAGTGACATGAACTGGGGATCCTTAGAGGTCAAATCTTCAGTATTATTGCTGTATCCACACACAATATGGAGTATTTTTTAGATGACACCATTTTAAAAACAAATATAATCTTGCCTGAATTTAAAGCCAAAACTCTATAGGAAAGATAAAATCATTGATGGAAACAAAAAAGTTTTGAATCAACTAATCTAATCCATTTTGAAAAAGATGTTGAGTATCCTAATACTGACCAGTAACCTTGCACTTATTTTGGTGATTCTTTGATTTATTTCAGTGCAATATAGTATGCCACTGACGAGCCTACCAAATGGAGAGCAGTGTGACGAGTGGCACATGTTGTCCCCCATCAACATGCAGACTAAGAGTGAAATGGGAAATATTCGGCTAAGGGTCAGATTTCTCCATGAGGTCATAATGCCTTTGAAGGAGTACACTGCACTGAAGGAGGTAAGAGTTACATCATGTTTCCTCAACTCATTTTACGAGAATGGAATGTAAGTTTAAGTTAGCACATGTGATCCAATTGGAAATTCTCAGCATGTAGCGAACCTCTGCAGAGAAAAAAAGAAATACGCAAACTAGTTTTGCATTTCAAATATAGTATAGGATAGAGGTGTCAAGTATTAACCGGTTAACCGGTTAACCGCCGATAATGCCTTGACCGGTCTGTATTTTTATGGGCGGTTAGTTGACCGTGTATAATTCTGTGATTTCCCGCGCTTATTTTGCATGCTAATCCGTTTGGTTTTATGGTGTCAGTTTCACGTAAGCTACTCATACATGTCATTTGTCCTATAACTCCTCACAAACATCCAATCAGCAACTTTAATCCCTGCCATATTGCTTTCCCGCGCTTACTTTGCATTTTAATCTGTTTGTTTTTCAAGCGTCAGTTTCATGTGAGCTACTCATACATATGATAGGTCCGATAATTCCTTACAAACATCCAATCAGCAACTTTAATCCCTGCCACATTGCTTTCCCGCGCTTACTTACATAGAATAGAGTAAAGCTTGACGAACGTAAAAAATAAACGCCGATATATCATTTTTTTCCAATTTGTTTCAACTTTCAAGATCGAAAATGAAGATTTCATTTGAAATTATTAGTTCAAATTTCCCGCCGGTTAACCGACTTTAACCGGTAAAACCCCCCGGTTAACCGGTTAATGCTTAGCGGTTAATTGACACCACTAGTATAGGACCTCGGTCAGTCCAAGAGGAAGTCACAGCACATAGTCTCATTACTTGTACTGAGATATTTATCATGTTATATTTTTCTTGTGCTAGCTGATCTTGGCCAAAGATTTCTTGGCAGTGTTTGCCCTGGCAGAGATAAAGACCACTGATAGGATCCCCCTCGCAAAGGCACTACTCAGGGTGTTCAGGCATGAGAAAAGGGAACAACTTCTGTTAAAAACCATGAATGAAATGGAAATTCGCAAAGAAGGTAAGCAGGATTATTTCTTCGCGGTCTATAAGTTAGCTTGTTGTAATCTTTATGTATTTTTAAAACTATATCAAAATCCCCAAAATGTTTGACAATAATTGATTGAATAAATATTTGGCTTAAATAATTTGTCTTAAAGGCCCCATGTAAAATTTGAGAATATGTTTTGTATCATTTTTTGACAAAAAGTTGTCAGCTTTTTATTTCTCAAATATTCTAATTTCCCATTTAAATAAAAGTTGAAATTTTTGATTGGCTTCTAACATGATTTATTTCAATTTTCTTCTAGACACAGCTGCCACTTTATTCCGGGCGACTTCACTTGCCACAACACTGATGGACCAGTACATGAAAATGACAGCTTTGGGTTTTGTCACAAGTGCCTTACACGACTCTATACTAAAAATCACTGAAAGTAAACAGTCTTGTGAAGTAAGTACAGTGAAACAAGTTTATTCAAACACCTCTCTAATCTTAGCACCTCTCTATGTGAACACAGTTTTCAGTATTTTTTATCGTTAAAAATCTCAAAATGTTACCTACCAATTTGAACACTTTTGGCATTTGGATTAGACAGGTTTTAATGTTATTTGTTAAATAAATATGGGATCCAGTTAAGTGAGATTTTGTGTGCTGAGGCTCTGGCATGAAATTAAAGGAATTCTGGGTGTTAGAAATGACCAAATATTGCAGTTTGATTTTTACTTTCTGGGACAAGACCAAACGGCCTTGACATGCATGTATTCTGAACATTACCTATTTTTTTGATTTAACAGTCATTTCAAATGTACATACCATATTTATGCAGATATTGAGTAAATAAATAACATATTTTTGATCAATAAAATCATTGGTTGTAAAACTTGAAGTGTGTTTTCTGACATCCATGCATAATGATTTCAAAATCTGAAAAAAGGATTTGATTTTAAATGGGTTTAAATAATTATCTTTAAATGAATACTATGATTTCCATTCAAAAATTTTTTGTGTTCCCTGTACATGCTTTTGTGTTCTCTGTACATGATTATTTATACATGTTTTTTGTGTTCCCCTGTACATGATTATTTATACATGTTGTTTGTGTTCCCCTGTTCATGATTATTAGTACTACTAACATTGTTCATGTTCGACTTTTTTATGTTCTCTAGATCAACCCAGACATGCTGGACAATCAGGCAGACCGTGCCAACAATTTGGACCTCTATAAATATTTGCTCACTGATACAATGGAATCCATCTTTAGGTCCATAGACACATGCCCTATGTAAGTGCCAACGTTTTCTGTCATAACATGTGTGTGTACACCCTGTAGATGAAACAAATAAATTGGTTTACCTTAGGTCCTCATAAATACTCATCACCACTTCCTACAAAATAAACAACTACATGGGAAATCCACCTTACGCAGTAATCCCTAATCACATTTAAAATAATTAAAAATATCATTTATTTGTTGATGATTTTTTTTTAAAACCTATTAACTAGACATGCTAGATCTTGCATTTAGATTTCAAAACACTCTGGCTAAGAATATATTTAATGACAAAGATCAAGATGATTTCCATTGCATCAAGTCTATTGAACACACAGTTCATGGTATAAATGATTCTGACAGAGTGTATCTGAATATTAGTCACATTTGATAATTATGGACAAAATTTCAGGTTTTGAGTCTCATCAAATAATGAAACTCTTATTTCAGAGGCTTACGCTATTTGTGTGGTTGTCTGCAGCGAAGTGTTGATGAAAAATGGCCAGAAGACACAAGCGTACGTACAAGAGTAGTCAGCGGTTTCATATTCCTACGTCTTCTCTGTCCAGCCATTCTGCATCCAAAGACATTTAACCTCATAACAGGTAACCATTTTTAAGAAAGTTAGACTGCTTTTAAACTCTATTCCAGATTTATGGGGTTATTGCATATAACGGCATTTCGGCTGAAGTTGGCTCACCAATATGCCTAAATTGGCTGCCATAGACTGATAGATGCTCAATGAGACTTCAGTTAATCCCATCTCACCTACTGCTATTCATTCAAAGGGATGTTGTTACATTTTTTAAACTAGAATATGAACTTCAGGATTTTTAGAAGTTAGAATTGACTAGGCATGACATGATTCAAAAAATCTCTAGTATTCAAAATTTGTTGAAAGGTTGCTCACTAGATTTGATTCTGAAGAAAAATTCCAGTTATTTATTTTTATTCATTATGTCGTACAATTTCAATTTTGAGCTTTCAGGTATTTTATTGCTATAATTGAATGGCATGAACTTGTAATTTCAGAGACACCATTAACAGCATCCTGTAGAGCCCTCAAGTTAATCGCAAAAAGCCTTCAAAACTTGAGTAACCTTGTTGAGTTCGGAGCGAAGGAACCATACATGACGGCAATTAATCCATTTATCGTAACAAACAAAAGCAGAATGGTAGAATTCCTAGACAAATTATCGGTAATTGTATATTTTAAAAGGCTAATAGCCAAAAAGCTGTACTTGAATCATAAATATATTTAATTCAGAATGATCGCATGTAACTTAGATAATCAACAAACTCGGACATGTCACATAAACCTTCTTTTCTGTGATAACAGAAGCTTGAAAAACCATTAAATATTTTGAAAAACTGGAAAACAATTTCCCCTAAAGTATTATTATATCATTACTAGTATGTATTAATAGAATGAGTCATAATGCCTGACTGTGAATTCAACAAATATGCTGAATAAAGATAAATATGTTATTCACACAATGATATGGATTACTGGTATTATACTTCTTCTTGTTATTCATAAATGTAATCTGACCTACTTTGCAGAATGTTCCTGATCCACCAGTTGTGACAAGTCACTTTAAGACTGACATGGCGCGAGACCTTGCAACCATTCACCAGATCTGCCACACCCACCTTGCTGATGTTAAACGCGTTTCTCAAACCCAGACGTTGCTCAAAAAACTTGTTGTTGCCACAGAACTCTTAACCAGTCATAAAAAACATTATATGGGAGAGGGATATTCATAGCAAATACTATGAATTTAGGACGCAACTGTAAAGCAAATGTTTTATGGAAAAGGCACAATGAAATATGTAAAGTGACAAGTGATCAATTAATAATATTAGGAGAGAAAACAAATAAAGACTTGATGTCTAAATGATGCATAATGACAATGAATTTGGAATGGAGGATTTAAAGTTTATACTTGCCACTGTATGTTGGCAGTACACCTGTATTTATTTGAATGAATTTATGCCGGATGTTGCAAATAATCCTTGAATTGCTTTCTGAAATGATGCTCTTTACCAGAGATACAGTAAATATTACTGGATCAGTGTAGGCTCTAAGGACCAGTCTGCTGGTCATTACCAGGTTACTTTTGATACGGACCAGTTGATTTTTTCACTGGGTATAGGGAAATAACATTGCAACTGGTCTGTAATGCCATTTTGACCAGCAGGTTTCAGATCATTAGGGCCTACACTGTACAGGATGGCTCAAAATAGTGGCCCATGAGTATTCTCAAATAACTTTGCAAAATTACATAAATTTTATTACATGCATGTTTAAATGTGACCAGTGGTTCGAAACTGCTATGCCTTGTCATGTACAACTAACGGGCACTCTGCAATAGCACTGCAATTGACAAAACTCTGAATCTGTGATGATGAATAAATTTTACATTTTAAATATTATTTCAACCAAAAATCCAAGATTCTGTTTTTGTTTGTGTTTCTTGTTATTTTATTTGTTTATATACTAATAGTATATAACAACATATAGCAAATTGTATAACATAAATATGGAGAGATACTGAGTGTCCAAACATTAAAACTTTAAAGTCGATTTGTCTTTTGACTAATGCCAAGAACATCAGAATGTTAACATCAAAATTCTGAACAGGAATCTAATAGCTAATGCTTGCTCAAATGTTTTTATAGAAGAGAATAGTAATTCAGCCAACACAAAGTTATTGCATAGCCAGCTGAGGTACTATACTTTTACCCAAACATGACAAAGGGAAATTCTTAAAAAATTTAATTTACTTAATAGTAAATCATTCTTACAGCCTCAGCGATGCACCAGAAGCTTACATTTGCCTTATTTTAAATTGCAAAAGTTTTAAATCGTAAAACTTTCCAGGGAATCAACCCACAGGATAACTCTAGCATCCCCTCTCTACATGGCAGTGTCACTAAAATAGCAAAAGCTGGCTATGGGCCTGGGACCATATATCAGCTCAGCAATACATTTGTTTCATTCTAGTTTTTAAATTAGTCTTGTCTGACAGAATGACAAAAACATATTTGTGCAATATGTACAATATGTAAAATACAGTACACTTATTCCTCCTTAGCTGCCAATTTTTCAGATTTCTCCCTTTTAGCATTATTCTGCATCTTGGAAATGTCTTTTGCATTGTCATGGTTTGACCGTCCCCTTATCCTATTGCACACTCTATAGACAAAAATCGCCAACTGCACTATGGCTATGACAAGTGCAACAAATATGAGAGCCAGCAATATGGAACCAACCAAGCTGAGCTGCACAAGCTGGGGAGACATTTTTATATTTTGTATCCTATGTCAATAGAATGCTTGATATTTCATGAGGTATCATAAAAGATAAATAATAGTATGTCAAATTGCACTGTTTTTATAATATTACACATAAACTTTGTCATGCGCTTGTTAAGAGGAACATGATATGGTTCATCAGTGAGTTGCCCCTCGGTCCTCTGGGTACCAGAAGTAAAGTGTTACACAGCCTAAAGATGTCTTCACTGTTTCATGATGGGTTGCAAACATTACATGTGCTATTCCATATGTCAGTGTTGGGAGACCTGGAAATAGAGATAAGATCAAGATAAATCATCATATTACAGAAGGGATCAAATGATTGTTATATTTGCCATTTAAACCAATATGTTTCTAATGTTATCCAAAAATATCTGCATACGTAATCTCTAGGTGCCAGGATGTAGCGAATCCCACCAAAATGTAAACAAGATACAGTAAAACAGACAAGATTTTCTCGCAAAAGATTTTCAACAAAATTTAATGTATCTAAAAATTCAAAATGACCACCCACAGTGTACTAGACAGTGTAACATAGTATATACATACCTAGGTTAATGATCTTTAAGAATCTGTAAAATCTATCCTCAGATATCAAATCAGTACTGTAAGGTCGCTTAGTGCAGTGGTACTTCACATATGGAAAACAACCAGTTCGTAATACGTGATAATTGGTCCCGTCTACATTCCAGTTAAAGTGAGACAGTCCAAACTGGTCATTTTTGATGGCACTGTATTTTATAACAAATGCAGTCCAAAGAGGTAGATTTCTTTGCTTTAAATAATTCGTGAGAACTTCAGATGATTTTGGTTTGTTTTTCAGCACACTGACGTTTTTTAAATAATTCCAAATTCTCATTCCAAAGGGATGATCAGTTTCATTCCTGGAATACCTGAAATGATAAGTTAACATGGTTAATATATGATTTAAACCTTCTCTATCTTAGCACATTATATATTATTTTACCGGAAGTTTTAAAGTTCATTAAGGAAATCTTCGAAGATTTTAAACGCTACTTCATGAATTTCAATTTCTCAGCTTGACTGAGTCAGTTTCAAAGATATACAGTACTTTTGGGAAATCCCGGGTGATATCATAACATGTGTTTCAAACCGACGCTGCATGGGCTAGCTGTGTTCAATCAAGCTGTAAACGGAGAATAGAGAACTTCATCTCAGACATGTATGGTGGGGTTGGCAAATTAGACAAACCCTTGAACACAGCTAGCCCATGGCAGCATCGGTTTGAACAGAGACTGCAATGGTCTGATTAGGAACCTGTATCAACACTTGACATCTACAGTGTGTCTCAAAAAAATGTTACACTCACAAAAAGTTCAATATCTTTCATGATTTTGACTTTTCCCCTAAAATATACTTAGATACTAAAAGAACAGCCTTTCTCAAATAAATCCACACCATCAGATTCAAAATCCGTCCATGATTGGCTGCACAGGACAGATTTAATAGACGCATGTGAAATCTGATTTGCGCCAACTTCCCAGTGGTTGGACAATGTGGTGATCAATTCTTTTTTGGTGTGAATGCTGTGGACACTGAACAGTGATATCTTGATATGATCAATGATCCAGTTGTTTCTTTCCTGGATAGAAATACAACATTTCATTGTCAAAGGTTCAATTTTGTTACGTATGATGGCAACAGGATGGTGCAAAGGCCTGTGGCAGATCATTTGCTAGAACTCTTTGGAAATCAGAAAGTAGCATTGAATTACCCAATTGATTGGCCCCCAGGGTCATCCCATTTTACACCCTTGATTTTTTGAAGGGCCTCTGAAAGTGCATCACAAACTAATCTAAATGAACTTTTACAAAAATAATTGATGGAATCAGTGTGATATTACAATGCATGTTCGCATAGGCAAGGGTACCTAAGATCCTAAGATTTGCTTTCACATTCAACATGTTGAGGGGACCACATGTTTATATGGATAGACCCAATGACCATATGTAAGACACAAAGAAAAATTACAGAATGACCGAGTTAAGGTGCTATGGAAGTTAAGGTTCAGCTGGAAAGTAACAAATTGCTATACCTGCACATGTTATTTTCTGGTACAGAATTAAGTATGAAGTCATGTGTGTATTTCCTTGCTTTTTTCAGGAAAGTATCATTACACTGTTTACTTTTATAATATCTGGAAACAGGTCAATGGTAGCTCCTGTGTTGTCTGGAAATCTTGAAAGAAAATTTGGAAAAACAGAAAGTGTGAAATATCAGAATTTCCTGGAGTTTCCATTGAACCCCTACCAGATATTCTAAAAGAAGACAATGTAATGATACTTTCCTGAAAAAAGCAAGGAAATTGACACATTTTGGTAAAAAATTGCTGTACCAGCACATGTTATTTTCTGGTACAAAATAAAGTATGAAGACATGTGTCAATTGCCTCGCTTTTTTCAGGAAAGTATCATTTCATTGTCTTCTTTTAGAATATCTGGTAGGAGTTCAATGGGAACTCCAGGAAACTCTGATATTTCACACTTTCTATTTTTCCAAATTTTCTTTCTTCAAAGTTTCCAGACAAAACAGGAGCTACCATTGACCTGTTTCCAGGTTTACTAAAAGTAGACAGTGTGATGGTACTTTCCTGAAAAAAGCAAGGAAATACACACATGCCTTCATACTTAATTTTGTACCAGAAAATAACATGTGCAGGTACAGCAATTTTTTACCAAAATGTTACTTTCCAGCTGAACCTTAATACAGGAAATGACAAAACAGGAAGTGACAATTTTTTTTGAATAAAGATAACAGAGTTCTGGAGTAGGGATAGTCACTGAACAGAATCTTTTGAATTTTTCAGAAAATGTGCCCAATATAATGCTCTAACTAGTACAATCTTTGAAATTTTAGAAAATTGTCTTAAACAAAAATGGCGGTCATAAAAAGGAAAATAGATCGCTTTTCAAATCAGTTTTTTCATTTTTTTTCTTTTTCTATGAATGATATCAAATTACCTTCACTACGCTCCTACTTTTAGCTTTTTTTCAGTCACACTTTCAAAGGGCTAAAAAGGTTATTTCATCATGTTTAGGGTCATTCTGACCATGCACATTGTGATCCTGGTCATGTAAATGATATGTGGAAATAGTTAAATTGACTGGAGGTCAAACCAGAACTCTGTTATCTTTATTCAAAAAATATCTAAAAATGCAAAAAAAATTGTCACTTCCTGTTTTGTCATTTCCTGTTAACTTCCATAGCACCTTAAAGGTCAAGCTTCTGCTCAGAAGAAAGTTAAATGTTCAAGAAACTGTTCCTCTTTTGTCATTTGGTCCATCCAATCACTTAAAAGTTGGCGCAAGTCAGATTTTACTATGGAACACTAAAAGCTGTCATGTGGAGCCAATCAAGGACAGATTTTGAATCTGATGGTGTCAAATTATTGGAGAAAGATTTGTCTTTTGGTATCCAAAGTACATTTTTGGGAAAAGTCAAAATTATGAAAGATATCGAACTTTTTGTAAGTATAACATTTTTTTGAGACACTCTGTATTGGTGGCCAACCATCCTGGAAGAATAATAGCCAGAACATAAGAATTGGCGATCAATGAATGTCAGTTGATAGGTTCCTCCAGTGGTTTGAAACTGACTCAGGCAGGCTGTACAACAGAGTCAGTCAGCTGTCTGTCAGTAAAGCCTCAAAACACTCAAAACACTCAAACAGCTGCAGCAAGATTCCATTATTTTTGCCTTGTATATAGTAGATCTGTAGTCTAGTCTAGGCTGCTGCTTATAGCCTAGGATAATAACAAAAGTATACGATACACCAATAATAACTGATCCGTACGCTAATTGATGTATACTAAGGCTATTTGTCTCTGATAAAATTGTTTGTACACAAACCTCAAACCTGGTATAAGGCAATCCTCAACTGGTTCGGTTGTAATATAGGTCAAAGAAAGTCAGTAATGCGCATGCGCAAATAATTGAATGCAGTTTCTCAAGGTCCTCCTCGGTAGTTTTTCATCACTTCAATTCGATAAATTTCTTCATTTTTCTTATCCCTCTACTGAATTTACTACAAAATCCCCCAAAATGATGGGAAAAAAGTCTGTTCATTATAGCGCATGCGCAAGAATTAGCTAGAAAAAAGAACCCTGCGCAGACTGCCCATACCCGAGCCGTCATCTGATAACTTCCGGAAAATACCGAAGTTGTACTTTCATCTATTTTAGTATTCTATAAGATATTATACCTAAATTTCTTGATTTTTGTTGAGGTTATTAATTTTTTTGAGAAATCTGTACAACAAAATGAATAAAATTAAGCATGAATTTGTTGATTTTATGTTCGGGAAATTCCGTAATTCCACGTCATTTTTGCAATTTGGAAGTTGGAGATTGTGAATCATCTTTATATTTAGAAATTTGGTAGTGTAAGAAGCATAAACTCATACTAGAAGAAAATATCTCAGAAAATATGAATGGTAGAGCGATGTAGGATACCATCAAGGACTACCATTTCAGCCAGTATGAACGAAAAATCACTTCAAGCTGAGATTTCCTAGTTTACAGACAGCTCAGGATTTGTAAATTGTTTTGTTTGTTTACAAATTGACATCCCTAGATCTTGGGATCTATGAGTACCATAAAGAATAAAGTCACGGTGGACTTGGCAGATGAACAGCTGCATATCTACCTTATTGACTGAAAGTGTAAGGCCAAGTGTAGGACTAGGCTAGATTAAAACCCATCCACACCTGACATTGAATCATCTGATTTCTAAAATGGCGAATGCAGAAATCTTGGATTTGTTGTTTGATAAACAAGATGGACTTATTACAGAAGAAGCTACATCAGAATTAGGCTTACAAGGAACAACAATTAATTTGGTAAATTAAAATTTTTTGTTGTATTGCAAACGCTCCATCATCTTTGTACTTTTGTTGTGGACTGACTGTGCTTTCTCATGTTCTTATTTCTCACTTGTTGCGCAGTGTTTTAAATGATATGTTATGTCATACTCCATAACAGCACGGTCTTCAACACCGCTGCTCTGGGTAAAGGTGGCGATCACCTATTAATTCACATGCTCATACTATATTGATTGGGAAATTCAGAGAACTTGATTGGTTCCATGGCATGTATTAGTTGATAAACTTGCATGCGGTGAACTATTATTAACAAAACTCTAACCCAAAATTCATTCCACCGGTATTTTGTTGACAAAATATTGATCGGGGAACATAAAAGAAAACCTATTTCATAATTATAAGCTATCAGAAAATTGAATAAATCTAAAAAGGAATTATTTTCAACAAATTTTGACTATTTTTCTACCCCAGCCACAGTGTCTAATTTGAGACACTGCCATTCATATTGTAATATAAATCTTTCTTCATAAAATAAAAGCAATGATTCTGAAATTTAAGTCTTCCATAATCTTAGAAAGATAGAACTTGAAAATAGCAGATATAATATAAAATATAAATATATGAAGTGAATTTATACAATCTCTCAGTCACTTTCATGCATTGTACTTACAAATACTTCATTTCGTTTCAGGCTGAACTCGACTCATACTCAGATGATATTCTAGCACTATTGAATAATTCAGAAATGATGTCTAGTGAAACAGAGATTGCAACAGAAAATTCAATGGATACTCTAAATGTGCGTCTTGTGCAGTCTCCTTTAAACAGTGACAGTGGTGTCTCATCAGATGGTGCCATATCCCCACCATTTGATGGTGCCACATCCCCACCATTTGATGGTGCCACATCCCCACCATTTAGCACAGACTCATATGGAAGCCCAGAAATGAGCCCCGCCTCAGAACTGTTTAATTCAGACTTAAACTCAAATTTAACATTAACAACTGAATCAAGTAATTTCACAGTTTCTGATTATGGACAGAATCCTTTAAATCTTGAGGATTACAACATTCAAGATCTCCATTTTGACACAATTGACCCTGCAAATCTTATGAATGAAGATGACCTAAGTGAAATGTTGACTAATACTCCAGATGATGTCTCTATTGATGTCGGTAAGTTATAGTAAATCTAGAAAAACTCACCCTATTCATGGGCTTTCAACTAGAATAATTGAAAGCCCATGCCCTAATACAGAAAATGTTTTTGAGGTAAACTGCAAAATCATAGTTAGTTGATTGTGACTAAAATTGTTTAGGGTTAAAAAATGATTTTGGACTGTGAGCAAAACCTTCATTATTGCTATCCAGCACTCAAAAACTAATGAAAATCAAAAAATAACAATCCATAATATTGCTTGATTACAACAGAAAATATCTTTCTTTTGTTTAAAACGTGTTCACACAATTTTGAACATAAATCTCCCTCAATTTTAGTGTCATATTAAAAAAGATTAATAATCTACTAGATTGTCATTAAATGAATTGAAATCTTGACCAGTTTTAATATTTTTCAGGTCATATGGAAACAATCAACACATTTAACACCAGTGATAAAATTCCTGCCACAAAGACCATTAAAGTAGTTCATGTATCAAAAAGTGCAGATTCCCTACCTTTTACAATACAGGACATTGATTATGATATCAAGACGGATGACCATGTAAGTACATGTATACAGACATTCAAGTAATTGAGTTATCCTGTTGCAGTATATGGGTCACTGATATGGGTTATAGTTATTCCTAATAAAAAAATGTACAGTAAAACCTTTCTAATCCGAACACCATTAGGACCAGCTAAAACCGTTCAGATTAGGAGGTGTTCACATTTCAAGGTTTTTGCATTCACAATATTCTGAATTTTGAAGAAATGTGAACAAATTCTCTATAAATAGTATATAGTTTTGACCACATAGCTTTATGGCATTCCAGTAATTCGAAAATTTGAAACATGTGAAAATAAAAACGGTATTTTTGGAATCAGTGGTAAAATATGATATTTTTGACAAATTTTCACTTAACCATAGCATACGGTTTTTTAGCCATGACATACGACGTCGTATGCGATGGTTTATGGATTTTTGCTACTTCAGACTCAAAACGAGGCTAAGTGTCAACATCGCCGGATCGTTTGGAAAATTCGAATTAAATGACTTAATTTCCGACGATTCTGATGATGACTTTAACTATGGAATAAAAAGAACATCCTATGATTTACTCGTGATATGATTTTAATCCACTCATGGTTATTGAGCTACGCTCGCTCGTGCAGATATCATATCCATTCGTGGATAAAAATCATATCACTCATAAATCATAGGATATCCTCTATTTAACTTTCAATTTGAAACATGTAATATTTTATGAAAAGTGTTCAGATTAGACAGGATAATTCTTCAAACGTGATTGTTCACTGTCCAATAGTATAGTTTCCATATAGCTTTTGAAATCTCGCTAAATCTCGTTTTTCGTGAGATTTTAAGAGACTTGCATATTAGACCTCTAATGACTTACATTACCTTCTTTTAAATGGTATATTTGAATTCAGTGGAAGGTTTTCTCCTAAAATAGCTTTGATTTACACAGTTATGTAATTTGAATAATTTTCTATGACAATTTAAAAAAAGTTGGGCCAAATGTCCATAGATGCAATGCTAAAATTCTTTAAAACCGTGGATTATTTGTATGTCAATCAACATTAGCATGTTAAATCACAACATGTTCATAAACAGGGTCATCATGTGGTATATCATTCAAGTTTTATACAGATTCAACAAACACACTTTGATAAATCATGAAATTAAGCCACTTTTCCAAGATTTTAGCATGTAAGTGAATGGAGCTCTAGCCAGAGTTAAAAGCTGAATAAAAGATGGCAGCACGAGATTTCATTGATTTTTCTGCTATTTAGAAACTATCCTATTTGGGAGGTGTTCATATTTCAAGTTGTTTAAACATTGGAGTCAGTGGGAGGGAAATGGGACCGAAGAAAGTGTTCAGATTAGGAACTGTTTGAATTAGCCAGGTGTTTGGATAAACAGGTTCTACTGTATATGGGAAAGATAAAGATGACATGTGTTGTATACAGACATTCAAGTAATTGAGTTATCTTGTTGCAGTATATGGGTTATACTTATTCATAATAAAATAAGGTATAATGGTAATGATAAAGATGTACATGTATTTGACCTTTGTGAACAAATTACTCTCAAAAGAAGTTTCATAAGAGTTCATCTCCATGTTTACCAAAAAATTATTAGTAACTTGTGAATGAAGGATGTTAGCCTACTGAATTGTGCCATTTTTGTCATAACTCAAAAAATGGGCAATTTTTCTTGATGTTTTAATTTTATAACTACATGCTAGCACGAGGCATGATCTTATGACAATTGATTGCTTGCCTCTTTTTTCACTGTGTGCCTTTTATTCCTCCCAGATCGGACTGCCCCTTGTCCTTACAGAAGAGGAGAAACGTATCATGTTGAAAGATGGCATATCACTCCCAACAGATGTCCCATTGACAAAGGAGGAGGAGAGACAGCTTAAAGGCATAAGGAGGAAGATAAGGAACAAAGTAAGTGATAAATGGTTGCTTCTGATGTTGGAGGTAACTGTATTTTCATGTCACCAGCAAGACATTGTTGCATCTTTTTTTTATTAGTAAATTGACATTTGAGACAGGGTTCAGTTTCTGGAACATGAACAATTTGCAATAACTTATCAGATTTGATCTGAACAGAAGTTGGGCAATATCTGTTTTCATGACAACAAATTATGGAATTTGATATGATTGTAGTACTGAAATTTTGAGATAGTGATAACAATGAGAGATAGAGGTACGTCAAAATGACTTTAAACTTAACTGTGAACATATGACTTTTGAATTGAGTGGCTTATATTGATTAGCCTATAAAATCTTAACAAATACATCTACCAGTATTTAAGTTACATCCTGGTCATACCACGTGACAATGACATCCACCCACATGAGCTTTTCATAACTTTTTTGTCTGAAGAAATTCTTACTTGTTTTTTTTTCACACATCCAAAATACATTCCATTTTGCAACTCCACAATAAGTTTCAAATGACTAGCTCACCTAGATGCGCATTTATGAGCGTTACAAAATGTGTAATCTATTCCTTTGCTGGCACAATTGGACACAAAAATGACACCCACCTTTTGCAACATAATTTTTGAAATAAGTTATAATGATATTATCAACATGCACAATTATTTTGTTTTTAATTGAATGAACTTCATTTCCCTGAAAGTACAAGCCAAAATCATCAGTATTTACAAAGGGTAGGTGGCATTTTTTGTGTAAAGTCCATGTGTGTCTGCAATGGAATGGATGATATTTAGAGCAAATGTTGTAATGCTCATAAAATTTGACCCATTTGAGCTACACATCTGAAATTTTCGGAGGTGCTTTTGCATTATGTCTACTTTGAATGTGCTAAATGACTATATGTTAATAGACAAACAAATTATGCAATGTAGGACAAAGATGAGTCATCCTTGTTGAATGAAAAAATGGACAACTTTTCTTTTCGATACCGACTCAACTATTTTCCATTAAACTATGCAAAATAACAAACAACTTTTAATTTCAGGAGTCTGCCAAAAACAGCCGTAAAAAGAAAGTAGAATATGTAGATGGTTTAGAGAAACGAGTGAAGGTTTGCACTCAGCAGAATTCAATATTACAAAAGAAAGTCGGCACATTAGAAAAACAGAATATGTAAGTATCCATGACCTTGATAAATATATCATTAAAGGGAGATTAAATATAGAATATTTTGGGGTATGTAATGATTTCTTCAATCAAAGTGTTGTAGTGGCATCAATCTGTTTGTGGTCAATATTATGCATCCCAAATTTTTGTCTGGCTGTCTGGAGCCATTTGCTGACCATGGCCAAACAGTTTCTCCAAAATGAATGTACATCATCTTCAAATTTTCAGGAATATTGACATTTGACTTAAATTGTACTAGATTTCTACTTCCTAGCCTACCACTTCAAGCAGTTCTCTGACACTTGAAACAGTCCTCTGATTACTTCGAACAGTCCCCATACCACTTCAAGCAATCCTCACTACTCTAAATAGCCCTGACCATGTGAAGCAGTCCACTGACTACTCAAGGTGTCAAACAGTCTCCTAATTTAGTCTCACTTCTGTATATTCAGGTCTCTTTTGAGCCAGTTGAAGAGACTACAGGCTGCCCTAGCTAATGCAGGTCTGAAGCAGAGCAAGACTGGAACATGTATTATGGTGATGGTGTTGTCATTTGCCTTGATAGTAGTCCCAAGCTACAACCCATTTACCTGGAACAACACACCTGACAGTCTCAAGACAATTCCAATGGCAGGTTAGTGGAATAAGTGAAATAACGGGGGCTTATGTCATGCAGATTTTTATCGCCCACTTGGGTGCAATATTGTGATCACTTTTTCATGTTATTGTCTCCACACTGGAATTAAGTGACATTTTAGGGAAATGGTGTACAATTAAGGCAAGATTATTCATAAAAAAAGAAACGCTTCTACCACTTAAGTCACCTTCAAAACATTCCGCTTAAAAACATTCTGTGAAACTGAGGCACACCATCTGTGACATCATTTATATTTTAACTAGCCAACACAACAAAGTGCATATTTTCATTCAGTGAGCTGTAGACACTGGGGCTTTATTTGTTTGATACACATATATATATATACATGTATTGTGATGTAATTTAAATACATTGTGCATAATATTTGAATTTTTGAATTTAAAATTATGAGCACCTATATATGTCTATTAACATTGAAAGACTAGCAATGAGAACAATAATAGCCAATAATAAAATTGAATTATCTGATTTCAGGTCGCTCAAGAAGTCTACTTGCAGAGTCAGATAGAGCAACAGACCTTGGAGACCCATATAGCATCTCACTGCGTCCTGGTCCTCCATGGGAAAACCCCCCTAAATCTCCTGTCATTGAGCTACACATTGTTCCCCACAATGCCCCCACAGACCAGTCAAGCAGTCCCGATGAATATATGGCAGACATGAACTCAAATGTAAATAGTGCTGCTGAACAATCAAATTACAATTACTCAGAACAAAATCACCCTGATCCAGAACAGAGTGTGAATGATGGTGTAGAAAGCATAGACACAAATGTGAACAATAATAATGAACTAGAAAGTGGTGAACTAGAAATCACTGAAGTTGAAAAGGAGGAACCGCCTGATCATGAAGAAATCACAAATGGGAATAAACATATTGATGATTTATGAACAAAAAATGAATCATAATTACTTAAAAAAATTTTAACCAATGGATTTATTTCATAAATACAATAACTTGATCAGTTTTGATGATCAGTTTTTACCACAGACTTCAGAGCACAGTATTTAGCAACGCAAGATTTTTTGTGTTTTAATCCAAACAAAAGGTCTACTCATTGATAAATACAGCATGTTTGTACAGTGTATTGTTATTGTAGATGTAAATAAATAATTCATCGACAACTTCTAAAGAAGCCAACAAAAACTTATGTTTTTCTTTATTTATATTTGAATGAGTTGTAATATAATTTACATGTAGTTTATTGAGAAAATCATATCTGCACTTTTTAACATCCACATTACATGCATTACAGTATGGGTGCATCAATTGCATTTTAAGTGTTTTTCCTCACAAATTTTATCACTTCTCTTGGAGTATAATCAGTAAGAGGGAGGGTCCCAGGGTTGATTATGAGATGTTTCAATGCAAGTAAGGTGTGTGGTCTACGATATCCCTTCTTTCAAATGAAACGTGATTCAGCATCTGATGCTCCACATTTTATCAAATGAATAGATTCATGGAGTATATCATCAAGTATGAAGTTAAATGTGAAATAGTGATTTGAAAACTTGATGTGTTATTATTACAAAGTTCTTTCCAAGGTTATGTCAAAATTCAATTCTTCCATGATCTCTTACCGAAAGGGAAATTTCTCTGGAGTAAATTTTTCACTGAGATAGGATGAAGATTGAACTCACGTTACCCTTACCTGCAAATCACCCCCCCCCCCCCAATGGCAGCCTTCACTACATTTCTGTAACAGTATTGATTTCCTTTTCATATTACCTTCCCATAAAAATACATGTGCTAATATAAGCGAAGCCCTGTTCTAATCAATACTTTATAACTTTCAAATTTCCCGCTAGAATACTTTTAAACATCACGCGAGACTTGAACGAGATTTGAAAAATATTTTCAAAAAATGTTTAGCGACAGTTTAACCTTTATTATGTACATTTGTGGGTGAACAGAATCTAATTGAAGATAGTCATGGTGTATTTAAACATCCATTTTCCTAAAAGAACGTAAGTTACCACCCGACGGGTGTTAAATGAATATTATATTACACTGTTATGCTTATTATATTTTGGCGTGGGTGATAATAGGCATTGCTAACAACAAATTTTATTTTCCCTGTTTCAACTGTCGAGTAAATATAGCTGAATGCGGTCTGTTCAGATCCTTTGATGTGATGATAACGTTATGATATTTTTTCAAGCCCCAGTGTTGAACTATTGATCAACAAAAAGGATCAACAAAATATTAGAAATCTCAGATCTGTACAAAATAAATGAGATGGATATTGAGAATTGAACACAAACAATCTTGTGAAGCAGTAGCACTTCTTTCTCTTGCCGATGAGTTTGTATCTTGTCTACTTCAGTATTAGACTGACGAGAATATGATCTCAGAGAGATATGTTTACACTTAGGGTTCAGTTGTAATTCATTGTTTTTGTAAGCATGAATACAAATTAGAAGTATGATTTGTGACTCTACAATTTAGAAATTTGTTGTAAAAGTGGAATTATCATCTTCAGCAATATACAACTCTTACGCCAACTGACGAAGCTCCAGTTGATATCAACCAATGTGCAAGCAGCTCCCATGTTCGATTAACCCCCAAAGGCCCAACAGTAGACAAAATTAGCTGAAATGTCTGGGAAGAAAGTATTAAAGTATGCCTGTGATTTGGACAAATCTGTTACTGTGACCAACTTTGAGAGACGAGGCTGGACCTGTGTAGGAAATGATGAAGATTGGAATTTTTATTGGTACGTACAATGTGAGCCAGAACATTTTGTGAGATGGCTATTATTTTATTACTCACAACTTTTGACAATTTTTGACAATAAAAAATGATAAAATATACATTGCAAGAAAACCCATTCTTTTGTAAAATAAAATGCAATGCTCTCCATGTATTGATGTTTTTTCATTTTCTGTTTTTAGGGCCACAGTGCAGAGTGTGAGGAATCTATTCAGTGTAGACAACAGTTATCGTATGACAGATGACCAGTAAGCTAAACAAATTTATACACAACATTTAAAGTAATGGTTTGATCAAGAAATAAAATGTTTTTAATTATGGTCCCTCTTGTACACGTAACATATATATATGGACTTTAAGTAGTTGCTTGGTTCTTGGACTGAAAACTCATTTTTATAACTTCAAAACCTTTTCAAAACCTGGTTTTGGTTCATGAAATTCTCCTTGTCAATGTAACTTTGGAACATTTTTACATTGGAGTAAACCTTCATTTGAATTGATATACATGTATTTCTGTTTTAGAGTTGTGAACCATTTTCCAAATCACTATGAGTTAACCAGAAAGGATCTTATGGTGAAGAATATCAAACGTTTCAGACGAGACCTAGAAAAAGAGGGCAACCCATTGGCAGAAAAAGATGAAACTGGTCGCTATATTCATTTAGGTAAGCACTGATTAATTAAATAAATATGACTTTCTTTAAAGTGCAGTGTAGATTTGTGGACTATGAATGTTTGAACAGATCAAACATTAATATATTACACTGTATATCCAACCATTTATTTCTTAAATTGTGGTAGAGTAGGTGCTACTGTAAAGTGCCCTTGAAAAGTTGAAACCATTTTGTGTTTTTCAAGAAACAGATCTGTAACTTAGTGGATGGATGTCATAATTATTTTTTTAGATATCTTTGATAACTCTGTTATATCAAATCATAATTTAATTTTTTTTTGAAATTACATTTCTGATTTCAGATTTTATCCCAGTGACCTTCATGTTACCAGCAGATTACAATCTTTTTGTCGAAGAGTTCCGTAAGAATCCTTCAAGCACTTGGATCATGAAACCATGTGGCAAAGGTTAGTTATCAAGAGGATCATGCAGATATAGAAAGCAGCTTTTCACGAATTGCCACAAATTAATAATCTAGTGTACATGTACAGTGTATTTGGCTCACATTTTTATTTTCACAAATGAAACCACAGAAAGGAAAGACTGCTTATTGTACGGTACAATGCATTTCTATGATTGTGTGTTATAACTCATTCTGATAGCAGCATATTCTTGTTTTATTTCAGCTAGAGGTATTGGGATTTTTCTTATCAACAAGTTGTCCCAGTTGAAAAAGTGGTCTAGAGACAGCAAAACTAACACGTAAGTGCTCACTTCAACTCCTTGCAGTTGCTTCCATGAATGCATATTTTCTGTCACCTACTGGTTGTGGCACGTGATGGTTAGTTCAATATGGTGTAAATTATTGTATAATAAAGCTCATAATAATAATAATAATATGTGATATTTTGGATGACGACCATTTGAAAGACCTATTTGATCCAGCGTAATCCTAGGTATAATGTTTTTATAATGTTTTCCCGGGATCCATATCCCTTTGTGCAGCAGGGAGTGGAAACTCCTCATACAGTAAAACCTGTAAAGTGGAACACCTCTGTAGGTGGAACACCTCCGTAAGTGGAATATTTTTCAAAGTCCAAAATCTATTGACATATTGTTAAAGATCTAATAGCAAAGGTTTTGCAAAAATAAATCAATGTAGTATGAAACAAATGTATGTATTATGAAGAAATAAATATATAATGAAAAAAATAGATATGTGTTTGTAATATTGGTATAAACTTAAGATTAAAAAGTGTCACTATCTCTTTCATTTTTCAACAAATATAGGCTCACGTGACATGTGACGCGGGGCAGTCAATTTTGATCTATCGTAGACCATATCAGTATCAAATTACTGATATTTCAACCTCGTCTTGCGAGGCCATTTTGATTTGAAACATCTTGAATTTGGTGTCAAAATGAAGCTGGTCACGCCCACTTTCAGAGTTATCAATGAATCATTTACTACGACTACTATATTCATTTAGGAGGCGTGTAAAGTTAACCAATCAGAAAGACAATTGTTCCATATATGGCAGTTCATTAACATATTCAGTGTTTACTACTGCTTTTCACGTCATGACAACACGAGTAGTAACCAATCAAGATGCCGTATTTTATCACGTGAGTTCAGAGTGACACGCACGCGACATGTTGTCTGGGGTGATCGCGATGTTGAACAATTTCTTCTCGGAATTTGTCCAGAGAAATCAGCGATTCTAAATTAAGGTAGGATCTGCCATTTTTTCCTGTACAAGTTATAACTTATCTCTATCGAATCCTAAAGTTTTGGAAGAAGATATGAAGCGTAGGTTTAAAAACGAAGCGATTAATTTGACGATCTGATTTTGCAATTTGCAATGGCCAATTTACTGCAAGTCCAGTGCATGTATTTGACAAGAGATAGCGCCAAGTCTGGTATCTAAATGCTTGTTAAGCCACTCAAAAACAAGATCCATATCTTCTAAATTTGATAACTTTGCAGAAAACCTGTTTTCATAATCTGTTTTCCGCGTCTAGATTCAAACTGAGTATGATAATAGGATCGCTGGAATCTTCAGTCAATGGCAACGGGTCTTCATTCCAGAACTCACATTTTTAGTTGATTCTCCGTCATAGTTCTTGTTTAAAGTCCCCATATCTGCTCTCTTACTGCCATACTTGCACACATTTCCCCTCCTTAAATTGTCTTCATTCAAATTACACCCTCTCGCCGATTTATATAGTCATTTCCCAGAACCCGGGAATCAGAATCGCTGATGTTTGCCATATTGAACAGATTATATGTACTGTAATATCTGTACATTGACTGCTACGCGTAATGGTCACGTGACTAGCGCGATACAGGAAAAATGGGGAATTTCGAAACAACAATTTTTGGGCACTTTTATTGCAAATTTCAGGTATTTATAAAGTGTTTGTGGTATAAAATATAATCCACAGACATAAATGAACATCCAAACTACATGTTTCATTAAGTTTTGGAGCCTTTTTTGCTCTTAAATCAACATCTTTAAATGAACCTCTGTAAGTGGAACACCTCTCAAGTGGAAAACTTTTAGAGGTACCAAAGGTGTTCCACTTACACAGGTTTTGCTGTATTAAAATAGTTTTCAATTCTTTCAGGTTTACTGCACCTTCTGCTAAGGACACCTATGTCATCTCTCGCTACATTGACAACCCATTGCTGATTGGTGGAAAGAAATTTGATCTCAGACTATATGTTTTAGTGACGTCATATCGTCCATTGAAATGTTACATGTAAGTCTTGATATTGAAGTGCTAATTCGGTAATTTCTGTTTATTTTTCTCACTACAATAGATTAAACAGATATTGCTAAGTAAAAATAGTATTCCAACAGACTCTCAACTCATTCCGTTTGTTCATTAGTGGCAAAATAAGATTTCCCTGGAAAAAACATGACGTCACGAACAGAACCGGTAATGTATTTTTAACGGCAATGCGTTATGCAACTAACGTGCCAAGTTAAAATTGTTTATGTTAATATATTGTGTTTTGATTGGCCAGAAAGGAGTAACGCTTACCGAAATCACCTCATGGATCAATGCCTTTTGGTTACAAGATTTTAGACAGCTTGAGTTATGTAATACCATCCACTGAGCGTGTTTATTTTTTATTATATTGTGTTCTGACTGGCCAGAAAAAACGTGGCTCCAAAGTAGTCATCTCTGAATCAATTCCTCACTTCATTGAATGCAGTTGCAATCAATTACACTAACACTTTATAAGCACGGTCGGAGATTATGAACTCCAACAACATATTCAAAACCCGTTCTGTTCCATGATAGTGGTATTTACTTCATTTAGAACGTGTATAAACTGTATTTTGATCCCATGAGCATCAAACAGACACTTTAAATCTTCAATTTAAATTATAAATGTTTGGTTGTAAGTATTGACTAAGAATTATCAAATAAGATGTTACAATGTAAATGTTTGTGTTACGCCTAGATACATGCTTGAATATTTGTGCTTAACCTCTTGAATACCAGCCTCTAAAAAGGGTTTGAAACCAGAGCATTTTTCATTTTCTGCTAGTTTTCTTGATATTTACATCTAAACACTAAACACTATGTTTGATATTTGATTTCATAAGAGAGTAAACATAGACCCTTTACATACATTCTAAAACATTAGTTGTGACGATTGGATAAAAAATGCCAAAGTTAGAGCAGTTTTAGTGAAAAATTCTGTGACAGATATATCTGTCGCTCTGGGTTCCAAATGGATTTTATTTGTGACAGATATATCCGTCATTCTGGGTATTCAAGAGGTTAAAAACACAATATGGAAACAAAAAATACTATTCATTTTACTAATTTTACAATACTGTTGTATATAGGTTCACATGGTTTTTTAAAATGGCCTTAGTCTACTCCATATAAGCCTCAACCTGAGTGGTCAAAATTATTATTTAAATTGCTATTTCTACATTTTATGCTTTCCAATGGTGCATTCAAACCAGAGGGCAAAGAATGTCTATACCTGTATTATATCACACAATGCACATGAGGTTTCGTTTTATCATTAATTGCAGGTTTAGGCTTGGATTCTGCAGGTTCTGCACAGTGAAGTACAATGCCAGTACCACAGAACTTGACAATATGTTTGTCCACCTGACTAATGTCTCCATACAGAAACATGGGGTAAGTATTTAGAAATATCTTCAATGTTAAAGGACTTCAAGCAGTATTTGAACAAATCCTGCCATGTAACACACCTTTATACGTAGTTTGAAAAATAATTTTGAGATCATGATATTTTCAGGATGACTATAACCAAGTTCACGGTGGAAAATGGACAGTCCACAATTTGAAAGTTTTCCTTGAGGGCACACGTGGTAAAGAAGTGACTGATAAATTGTTCGATGATATGCATTGGTGCATCGTCAATTCATTGAAAGCTGTGTCAGTAAGTAGAAAAATACTTGAAGCATTTTTTTCCCTGGATGCAAAATTTTCATTTTACCTCATATAAAAAAAATTTACCTCATGCGACTCAGTAAGTAGGATTTTAAGATAAGATGATTAGTTTGAAAGGTGAGCAAGATTAAACATATACAGACCACAAAGATAAGATCTGTGTCACCATGGTTACAGGGTGCATTCTGCATTTATTGTTTCTCAACGAAATCTTCAATAACTCACACAATTTTGAAATAATTTGGTTCATGTATAACAAGTTTCACTTCACAAAAAATCTGTTACAACTGTGCTAAATGATGTCCATTTTATAAGTAAAAGGATGTGTCTGGGTATATGCCCTTTTGGTCCCTCAGTCAAATGTATGTGAAATGTGTTTTTTATGACTGTCCTAGTTATATTTCATAAGTATATTTACTTTTTCACAAGTTTCGATGCATAATTAACCCCCTGCTGAGAGTCAGAATATAAGTATCTTAACGAAAAAAAATAGTCATTATCATAGAAAAAACACCAATGGCAACATGTATGACTTACAAAGAAGAAATAAATTAAGACCCATGAAAAATTTAAAAGAAAATCATATTTTTGAAATATATTTAATGATTAAATTTTTTTTCAAATTTTTGAATTTCCCGCCAGTTTAATTTGAAGGGGGAAAAACAAGATGGCTGCCATTTGATGTAAGAAATATCAGAAAAAAAGTTGCTTCACTTTTAGTTTTTACAATGAGCACAGTTTTCCGGTTTAGGTTTTTTGACTGATTCTGACTCTTCATCACCAGGGTCATGTATAGAGATTATAAAATTGAAACCAAAATGTTGTGCTCAGCATGAATTTGACTGAAATATGTGTAACTTCACCAACACAATTGAGTCTCAAAACTGGATGCTCAGTAACTTTGAGTGACTTTAATCCCTTGATTACCCAGATAAACTCCAATTCACTTATCCAGAAATACCATTCAATGTCTATACAAAGAAAGTAAGCAATGTTTTGGAGGATATGTTTCAAACCGTTTGTATAAATAATTCATTTAATATTTGCCATTGATTTTTTTTCAATTCTGACAAAGTGATATGCACTGTCTTTGATGCCAATATTCTTCATTAATTGTGATACAAATTGATATTTTTGTACTCTCAGAAGAAGGATAAGATACTGAAGTTTAATAATATGTGTGATTGAGTTGGTTTTTCAGACATTACAATTTTCAATATTTTCTAAGTCGATACCCAGACTCATTCCCAGACTCATCCTTTTGCATATAAAATATGTACATATTTTCCAGGGAGTGATCGCTAACGACCGACACTGTTTTGAGGTTTATGGTTATGACATTATCATAGATGATAATCTAAAGCCGTGGTTAATAGAGGTACAATTTACACTGATTTTTCTTGCATCTGTTATTGAATTTCTCTATCATTATCGATGAATGAGATGGTCACATGGGCATTCTGGTTTTGTAGTAAGAGAGTGTGAATATTTATCATTGTTACCAGTTTATCCCAATTAAAGTAGGTAGAAGACTTTTTGACATTCAATCATTAGTAAGGATTAATAACTGGTTTTTCGAAATAGAAAAATTTGAGGAATCAGTTTTGCAGAATAGATTCATATTTTATCTGAATCGGTTCATTACTACCAGTTCAATACTTGTATATTATGGAGCAACAGGCACCATTGCTGTGTAAAAGATTGTTGTAAAATTAAAATTGTGGATTTAATGTGAATGATATTCATTTCCTATTAAACAAGGATAAATCTTTAATACTAACTTGTTCCAAATTTGTCGTAAAATAATTTCACTTTGTGTTTCAGGTAAATGCTTCGCCATCGTTGACATCTACAACATCTAGTGACAGAATCATGAAGTATAAAATGATTAACGACACGATTAATGTAGTGATACCTCCTGGAGAACTACCTGAGTAAGTTGACATAAAAATAAAGAAATTCCAAATTGGTAGGATTTCTTCAGTTTTTGAGTGGTTCTCGAATTTATTTGAAGCCCATTTGGCTTCTAGATTATTCAAATTCATTCAAAATTGAACAAAACAAGCTATGGGAGGTTTCTGTCCTTGTAACAATACAGTATTACCCTCCAAACTTCCTAAGTCTTGATTTCCATAGGATTAAAGGTCAACATTTTATAGGCCTACCAATTGCTCTATTATATTCTTAACAAACAATAGACCATATTATGGCTTTATAGCAGTAGGTGTTATATATCACTGTTGCTATCATTTCAGTGTTAGGTGGAACAAGGTACCAGCCAAAGAATCCCTGGGAAACTATGACCTTCTGTGAGTACAATAGTTTTTGTCTTAATTAATGAATGCAAGGTGCTCTTTTTCAAAGGAACTAAGTTTAGGATCAAGAAAAAGAAAATAAGTAGTAATACTTCAATTTCTATGTAGTACTATCTGTTCTTCTATTTTATAGCACATGCTCAATAGGCATTTTGAATATTTGATCTAGTTAAATTAGATCTGCTCTACTTTATTATTAGAGCTTTATAATCAGATTTAAGATTAAAGAATTTACATATTTTGCTTTAGAAAGAAGGTAAAAAATTGTTCATCATTTGATCAGAGATCATTGTTCTTTTAGGGAGATATTATATTTGGAATGGTTAGTAATATATTGCTAGGTCAAATGTAAATACTGATTACAATTTCGCCACACCTTATAATTCTAATTCTGCCTTAAATTGAATATGTCAAAAGATGACTTTAAAATTTTGATAGATTCTGATCAATATTTCCTCCAGGTATGATGAGGATCTAGCTCAGACTGATATACTAGCACAGGATGTGAAAGGACGTTTAACAACTACTATACCAGGCTCTAGGGCAGGGAAAGATAGACAACGACTGGCCCAAGCCACATGGAAATAGCCTATCAAAAGGAGGATGAGACTAGATTATTGCTGTGCAATATATACCAGTATACATCCAACTAATTCTGAAGAGTCATGTATATTACAAAACATGCATCCGTTGAACTCGAGACTTTATTCGAAAGATTGATAGAACTATTGATAGTCTATGTTAAATATTGTGATATTTGGAACTGAATTTTGTTGGCCTTTCTTGACAGGCAAGGGTCCTGCTTCAAATGACTCAATGCCTCATTAAAGGTGAAGACATGAGAAACTTTGATCAGTTGATCAATTGTCTAATTATTCTTAATATGGTTCAAGTTTATAGCTATATGAACTGAAGAGCAAGTACTGAACATTCCAAACGGTACCCCTCATAATTGTCTAATTCCTGATTTGTAATTTTCTACATCGGTATTAGGGGGTATATAGGGTGTTAGTGCTTGTTATTGTGTACAATTAAAACCATTCATAGACTTTCATTAGTCCAAGGCACAGAGCCTTTTAACATAATATAGATGAAAAAAAAGTCACATGTAGATTAATACACTTTTTTGTTGTATTTGTTTACATTGAATATACCCCTTCAGTAGACTAAAATACTATTGCAATTGATTTTTAAAATGTCACTAATATACAAAGTAAAATCCCAGATGTTGTTCACTTATCAAAAAAATATTTTCTTTAAATAAATATTTTGTAAACCTAACTCATTTTTCTTTAAATGTTTTTTTGACACTTACATTGGTGGCTGCAGGTAGAAAGACTTTAAAAAAGATATCAAATTGAAAATGTCATAATGTCTGATCTCAGAAAGCATTGAAAAAATGTTCCAAAATATTCTCCAGTCCCGTTTCATGTTACAGGCACTAAAGGTCCATGTGCAGTATGGAAAGTGATTTTAGAGAGTCATATCTTTCACCATGAGTATTTTTCTGGGTATAAATACAGTGGTTTTTATTAAAACAATGTTTTCTTTAAAGTGACGTCTCCATGATAGTAAAATATCAATCCCATTCTCTGAAAAATTATGGATTAGGACCCCACCTCGTCACTTTTTTGAAAATGTAAGGCTTATTTTCTAAAAAAGAGGATCTTGTTTTTCTCAATTTAAATGTCTCAAGTTTATTCTACACTATATTAATAATTTCTGAAAAGGGGATGGGGATTGAAATGCGATAAAGTTAAAACCACATTTCCCATAGCTATCCATTGTTTTCAGCATGATTTTGGTCATCGAAAATTGATATCTTCAAAACTAGACTTTCAATACTATTCTACGTTTAAGATGTTTTAGACCCCTTGTTGAATAATCTTTTCATGCAATAAAAATCAGAAAAAGGTCCTCTTTTGAGCAAACGAGTTTAACATTTTGAAAAAATTGTTGACATGGGGTCCTTATTTATAATTTTTCAAATTGTTCGATTGATATTTTTATCATCATGGGGACTTCACTTGAAAGAAAACATATTCACTCTACTATACCGAACTGGTAGAAATGCATAAGACATTGTGTTTGTCTAATTGTATTGTTTAGTATATTTTTGAAGGTACCTTATTAACATCTAAGTTATCCGATAAACCATTAATAAGGAACAGACACATAAAAACTAATTACATAATCACTACTAATAAGCAAAATTGGTTGTTCATGAACACCAAATGCAAGGTATAGTAGAGTGATATTGTTTTAATAAAAACCACTGTATTTATGCACAGAAAATACTCATGGTGAAAGATATGACTGTCTAAAATCACTTGCCATACTGCACATGGACCTTTGAGTGCAGTTAAGGTAGTTGGCATTCTGTCATTTTTACAAGTTGACAACATTTCTAAAACAAAACAGACTTATAAGAAATATGTAGTCCCAGCATATTATCAGGCAATATTGTAACAAGGCACAGACGTGAACAATATCGTACCTAAAACACAGCATTGTGGTCTTGTTGACCAAGAAAGCAAGATGGCCGCAGAAAAGTTAATCAGCTCTAGAACTTATCACTGTGTAACATATGTAATAACATATGTAAAAATTTGAACAGTTTGGCTGGAAACCTGTAGACAAGTCTTGAAAGTAAAGATTTTAGGACGGAAAATCCAAAATGGCCACCTTAAAATTTACCCATAATGCCCAAAAACTAATCAGTTCTGGACGTTGATATGTAGAAACATCCCTGAAAATTTCAGATGAATCCCTCAAATGGTTTGGCTGAAAACCTGTAGACAAGTCTTGAAAGTGAAGATTTTAGGACGGAAAATCCAAAATGGCCACCTTAAAATTTACTCAGAATGCCCAAAAACTAATCAGTTCTTGACGTTGATATGTAGAAACATCCCTGAAAATTTCAGATGAATCCCTCGAATGGTTTGGCTGGAAACCTGTAGACAAGTCTTGAAAGTAAAGATTTTAGGACGGAAAATCCAAAATGGCCACCTTAAAATTTACCCAGAATGCCCAAAAACTAATCAGTTCTTGACGTTGATATGTAGAAACATCCCTGAAAATTTCAGATGAATCCCTCAAAGGGTTTGGCTGAAAACCTGTAGACAAGTCTTGAAAGTGAAGATTTTAGGACGGAAAATCCAGAATGCCCAAAAACTAATCAGTTCTTGACGTTGGTATGTAGAAACATCCATGAAAATTTCAGATGAATCCCTCAAATGGTTTGGCTGGAAACCTGTAGACAAGTCTTGAAAGTAAAGATTTTAGGACGGAAAATCCAAAATGGCCACCTTAAAATTTACCCAGAATGCCCAAAAACTAGTCAGTTCTTGACGTTGATATGTAGAAACATCCCTGAAAATTTCAGATGAATCCCTCTAATGGTTTGGCTGGAAACCTGTAGACAAGCTGAAAAGTGAGACGCCACCCGCCGCCCGTCAAGCTGACTACAATATCGTACCTCTTGTTAGGTATGATAAAAACACAAAAACTGACAATATTTTTAATTTGATAACTCAATTTTTATTGAAAATAATATATATGAATTTCTCATCAACACAACATGTACATGAGAACTATAAACATTAAATGATCCAACAGTTGATGCTACAGCAATGATTGGCTATACATTTTACAACACTAAAACAAGAGTCTTCAAATAATATAATTGCTTCTCTATACCCATTATGATAAACTCAATATTTTCAAACTATGCAAACTGACATACATCGAACTTTAAAAGTTCTAGAAATACAAATAGGCCTCTATTAATTTGCATCCATCATATTATCAAACAAAATTAAATCAAAATATACTAATCATTGTGACGAGGATAACTGTTTTTCATGACCATTTCTTACTCAAAATAATATGCAGCTCTTTGATCATAATAACAACACATACCAATTGTACATACTGAACATGAACACAGGTGAAATATGTCTCTACTTCTTAGTTTTATGTTCATGACTTACTATTTTCTTGACTTACTGTGTTCAGGGCTTAATATTTCCTTGAATTTTGTTAACATAACAATATCTAAATCTTGAAAATGGCTACCAAGTAAATCACCCAGCATTTCCATAGGCTAATGAAATCTTGGCAATTATCTTGACGAAATTTATCGAAATTCAAAATGACTTAGGAGGATGTACATGATTAAGCTCTGTAAGTAGTAAAAATTGTTGTAAGAATTTTGTTTTCTTAAACTTCTGGCTCGCTTTTTAATATGGTTCTCATAGTACATCAGTACAATACTTAATGATATACAGCCAAAAATATAGAAATGAAAAGTTACAGCATTTATTTTAGTACTAACTGAACCACTCCACTTTTTCAAATGTATTGCAAAATAACCTTAAATCAAGCATTATCATGAAATGAAGTCATAACAACTGTTGGACCCTTTTAGAAAATACATGACATAGAATGTTGTACCAAAAACATATAGTACAATTGTATGTGATATTATGTAACTGAAGAAGACCACTATGCCTTTAGTGGAACATTTAAAATAATCGAACTGTACTTGGCTTGTTGAAAACAAGGATCATCTTTTGAAGGACCTTAGCACTTTAGTTTAAACAAAACGAATACAGTGTATTATTTTTCAAAGACAATAAATTAATATACATGGATATACATATTATGATCAGCAGATTATTACACTGGATGAACCAAATAACATCCGATTAATAATTGGTGGGATTAACATATGACGTTCTAGTTCTGTGTTTATATTGGCACAATGTGATGAGATCACATATATATGAGCTTTGTATCAAGGTGCTCTTTGAGTAAGCTTTTGCGACAAACCTTGTACAATGACAAGCTATATAGAAGTCTAATTAATTTGGTTGAACATATATCTGAATTTCAGCATAAGTATCTCTACTTTTCAAGTAAAACTAATACAATGGTGTAACCACAATCTAAAAATTGGTGCAATGTATTAAGTACATACACAATATGGATACTGTGACTAACAGAAAGCCCTAGAATTAATATGGCATGAAAAAGCTTCATGCAACTGCTGGACCACAAGAGTCCATTTGGATTTATAGAATATCAACATTTCTAAAACACATTGCAACTTATCAGCAGTAGCTCCATCGAGATAATTTGACCTCATTACTTTGACAAGCATTTTCAATATTTGAAATTAAATATGAATTACATCAATGCATGGATGTCCTATCCTAATGCCTAGTTGTTAAATTACACAATGCTTTGGAAATCTGACTCTCATGCTCTTGATACTGAAAGAAATTAGTAGATGACCCATAGCTATTAGCAGTAGTGTTTCATTGCTACAATTACTTTATAAATTCAACTTTAGATCCTTGCTTGAAGGATAAAATGTGACCTCTAGTTTATATATGGATTCTTTCACTCATCATATTACAAATGCTATATACAAAACATGTTACAGATACAGTAACATTCAGAAACTGTAAACAATACTAAAATATAAATAAACCTTATTTATTGTGCATGTCATGGTTTTGGCAAGAATCTTATTATTTGATTATAGTTTATTTTTCATGTTTGTATTTCAGTTGGAAATAAAACTACCAAAAACAGCAAATCCAAATAAAGCAGATGGCTCTGAACCCACAACAGCAAAATATGGCAATGTAAATGACCAGTTCAAACAATTTCGGAGATTTTCCAAAATTTTTCTAACAGCAGTATCAATTGTTATGATGACTTACAGTGGTTCATGAATCTATATTGAAGATCAATTCAAATTCAGATTTATAAATTCTTGAATTATAAAAGTGGGTTTGTTTCCTAAACAATCAATACAAAAAGCTATCCTAGAGTTGAGAATCAACACATTTAACCTTCTTTGGAATATATGTCACCTTTTTAAGAAATGAACCAAATGGAATATATGTCACCTCTTATGGAATGAACCAACTGTCACGTCTCTACAGAACAATTGAGTGTGGCACCTCATAATAAGTAGTATGGCAAGCTAATTACTTCAAAACAGAAGCAACAAATTAAGTAGTGGATATTACAAAATAATTTACTGTATAGTAAAACTACATATATGTGAACACCTCAGTCATCAGATCTGGTGGAAGCACAAATGGTTATAGTATCAACATGATGACTGAGATAGTGTTCATATATAATTTATAGTTACTCCCTGATATGACACTCAAAACCTGGCACAATATTGTTAAACCTTTCTCAATACAAAGTTTCTCTGAATTATCGGCTAATTATACTGTATGTACAGGGTGGTCCAAAAATGTCCATGTTGTATACCTTTTTTAATGAATGACGAATTGCCAAAATATTTTTTCAGGAGATACAACAGGTAATTATACAATCCATCACAAAATGGCATATGTAAATCTTAAGCAGTATTAGGATGAGAAGGGTTAACACAAAACAAGGGTGTGAATAAAGATCCCCAGTTTCAATGTATCACTTGATGTTACAATTTTACAGTGCTTTTATTTAAGTGCCCCATATCAGATTGACATGATTTAGACAGACATGAATCACCACGCCCATATCAAATGGACATGATCAGATGGCTGATTTCACTGTAACAATGTTTCTTCAAATATTGTCCTGAGTGTTCATTCAAACCACCTGTGTCTGTTAATCTTCCTTATATACACATGCAAATTTATTTATGCCATTAAAGGAACAAATATTTTTGAAATCAATGCATTATCAAAAAAAAAAGAATATTGCCATGGACATTTTTGGTCCCCCTGTATTCATAGATAGTTGTCCTTATATGGAAGCATATATACAGACATGGCTCCCAGGATTAGATTCAACATTTTTTAATCCTAACTAATAAACTAGTTTGCTTTTCAAGTTTCTCCTGTGTGTGTGTGCAGATATAGTGCGTCTCAAGCCACATGTCGGAAATGCTGTAAAAATATTCAGTTGATAATACTGCCAACTGCCTGCCGTCTCTATATTACACTTTGTACAAATTACTTACATTTTTCAGTTAAATGATTATAAATGTCTGGATTTTTTGATGATTACTAGCTATTGTTGGTCATGTTTCGAGGATATCTATACAATTGTGAATGATGATCTGTTGTTCTTAAATTATATCTATTATGAATGAAAGTACAGTGTATTCATCTTGGATAGGTTGATTAGATGATAAAGTTGGTACTGTTTGTGGGTCAGATTCTCCTGTACGGATGGAAAGGTGCAAGGTGGGTGGCTCCCCTGAGGTAGGCAGCAGAGGGGAGGACTGGTCCAAACCCCTGTCCCATTTGGAGCTCCCCCTGGGCAAATGATGGGTTGGTACTATAGGCAGTAAGCTCCCCTGCATATCCTGCAAGAAATATATATTGCTATCATTTTTTATCATATTTACTTGGAGCAATTTCAATTCAAAATATGGGGCAGAGGCAATGGTGACTCATATTAGGTCAATTGATGTCAGTACTGTAAGAAAATGATTCATTCTATTTCTTTAATTTTGAGCACACAACTGCCATGGTAATCAAGATGAGAATGTGACATCCCACACATTCACTATTTATTTCATACCCTCTAATTTCAGGTAAGAATTTCACCCATTATTTCACCCATTACCATATTTTTAGTGTAACCAGTGCCAGACCCAGTGTGTTTATGGTGTAGACTCATTAATATGAAACAAAACAAGACTTAATAAGAAAATATTTAATTGGTCTAGAAATAGAGAAAAATCGTGGGAACAACGGGTCAAAAGAATTCTTAATGTAAATGATCTTAGGAATATCACTTCTGTTAACTGTACATTGGTACCACAGGTAAAAAAAAAAATGGTGAAATCGCTTCATAGAAAATATGTAGAATCAGAACAATTACACTGGTACAGGGATCTATGGAACGATAAGAACAACTGAGAAAATTATAAAATTACTCAGCTTACCTTACAAAGACCCTATAGAAAGGTTTTTCATTTTTCTTTAAGGTCTTTAAGGCCTCGTACTCTACCTTTAAATATTGAAATAGGATGAAATACTAATCCTAAAACAACATTACAGGAATGGTTATGCAAAATGTGAAATTCTCAAGTTGTTGAGTCAGAGGTTAATTTTTTGGCAGAATGTCCCCTATATACAGATTTAAGAAACAAGATTTTGGAGTATATGTTATCAATTAACAAAGAGTTTTTGAAGTATATGAATACTTTAACTCAATTTATAAATGAGCCCAATGAAATAAAATCCTCACAAGAAAATAAATTGGCACAAACTGGCACAAACCTGCTGGGAGGCCATTTGCTGTAAGGCCCAAGCCTGTGAGGCTGGAGGCTGGCTGGATGGTAGCATTAGTCTCTGCATTGTACTGCACTGCCCTAGGTGCTGCCATGTAGTGGCTGCTGGCTGATTGGCCGCCAAGGCTCACCATAGAAGCTACAATTATAGTCTCATAATCATTCCTTATATCATACTATTCAATAGTGTAACCATTGATACAGATTTTGGATTCCAATGATTGAATGCATGTTCAAGAAATATGAAAGGTAAAACATCTTTAGCTAATATACTACTAAAGCAAGAATGTCAAATACCCACACAGTGAAGGCCTATCTTCAAATAATAGAGAGCTTTCAATATAAGTTATTTGGAATGAGTATATGCAAACCTTAGTCTTGCTCAAAGACTGTATCCACCCCCCTCACCTTCACTCTCTTTACCTGGCAATATACATACCCTAGAGAGAAGGATAAAGGGGGAGGGGGAGTACAGGGTCTTTTAAGCAAGACTATGCAAACCTGTACTTGTACAAGTCAGGTATAGCACTGGGGAGGAACTCTGGAAATGGAGATAGGTGATTTCATCCTTCAAATCAAAACAAAATATTTGGCAAGTATGTTACGTTCATGAGTTCCAGTTTCGAAATATGATTACAACTGAGAAATTAATTCCGCCATTGCTGGGATATTCACAAATCAATACCCTCGATTAGGAAACAAGGACCTTTTTGAACTTTCCTGTTTAATTTGAGAAACCGTCCTCCCCAGTGGTGTTAACGTCATTTAAAAGTTCAAATTGCAGTATAAGTTTGGCGGAAAACTTATATGGAAAGCTCTCTAATGCCACTATAGGCCTTTCAATATTTCAAATGTTTAAATTCACTTGGCATTTAAATCATTGTATCACTATTTTCCCCTGCTAATATTCAAAATAGTTTGATGTACTTAACTACATACATGTACTATATACATCTAAATACATTTTAAACTCAGAACAAAGAACAGTAAACTAATGCAAGAAAATGCAAAAGTTCATATGCTTTAACCAATGTAAAGGCCAAGGGTTTATGTGACTGTGCCCCTCTGCACATATAATTGTGCACATATGACTGTGCCCCGCTGCACATATGATTGTACTCCTCTGATGACAAAAATGAACTTTTACATTTACTTACTACATAACAAATTAACTAGAAAAAGAAGAAGTCTCACAAAACTGCTCATACAAGCATCCAAGTAACATGTTTGGATTTTTTCTAGATACTGCTGAAAACAGAGAATCATTTAACACAGTATAACAAATCCCTGACATAAGTAAGACTTCAGATTGGTCATGCTGATTTCTCGATTCTTTCTAGAATGTCAATGGAACATGGGGATTTCATTACAGTCCTATTCACCTCAGGGTTATAAGAGATTTTCCAGTGTTTTCCTTTCATTGTGAATATTAACCTCATACTGGCAGTATGTAGTTAGTTTTCAAAATCGTTCAGTCATATTCAAAATCTACCTGTTCAAACTGCTGGGCAGGGGGCCATTAACAGAAACTTCATAAAGTTAAGAATTCATAAAGTCCTTTGTTTTCTAACTGTGACGTCATTATATCCATGGTTACAACAAATGATTTACGAATTCGTAACTTTACGAACTTTCTGTGAATAATGACCCCCAGGTAGACAGATAAGGTAAATACTGGGTTTTACTCCAAATTTCTTTTCCCCAGCATGACTGCCTTGATATCTTACAATGAACTGTAATTATTAGAAGCAAGGATTTCAATAAACTTGGTGGAAGTCCTTGTGTCAACAACTCAACATGAACCTAACATAAAGTGTTCAATCAATCATCTCACCCAGGACCCGATGAGTCAAAAGTTGATCACCACGAAGTTGATCAAATCTAGATTGTCGATCTGATGTCGGGCTGCTTGGACTATAGGTGGCACTACCTGAGTGGGGAGCAGTTGCTAAGCAACAACAACATTGAGAAAGACTACACATATAAATATAGTTCAATTTCAAGAACAAGCTACGTTTGCAATTGGAAAATGTCACCAAGTTTCAAAGTACTAGAAAGACAGCAACTCCCCACAGAAGCAGATCCCACCAAACAAACCATATTGAGCAAATCACTCAGCATTTTGAAAATTTACAGAAATAACCAGGTACTCGGTAGTAGTATTATCCTATTGAACTTGACAACCGATACTAAAGCTATCAAAAATGACAAATTTCATGAAAATGGTGGCCATTTTGAACTCAGTGGCCATCTTCAAAATATTTCAAGAACATACACAAACCGCAATTGTTTGGTTCAACAAGATCTAGTGGCCCGTTCCAAACCACACATGAGCTGAAAAAATGGAAGTAGCACTACAAGTACATGGAAATATCACTACAAAATATATAATGTACATGTATAATGTATATGTACATATTAATGAAACTGACCTGCTGATGATGTCACCTGGGTAATACCATCTCCCCCAGGGGTAGGGGTGACACTCTGTGTTGGGGTGGTAGACTGTGGGTAGCTAGGGAAGGTCAAGGCAGGAAGACTTGCCCCTGTTGGACTCAGGGCTGAAATAAACAGGAAAGATTCTGCTTGGTTAGTACTGGAACAAACTACATAACAGAAACCAAGGTAGGGCCAATCTCATTAAACATCTTATAGGAATCAGATGGACTGCCAGTCATCTTTTCTAGAAATGGCCACCCGGACTATATGAATTTCCAAAAGGTAATCTGTTACGCTTGCGTGAACTTTATAAAATATGAGCGAAATTCACTCTTAGTTTTATCTACTAACATATACAAGGCATTAAATTTGACAAAATATCACCTGTGACGTTGCTCACAATAATGAGTTCAATCTTAAGTTAGATTTAAACTTCTGAGGATTTGTAGATGATTTTTTAACACAATGGTCAATTTGGAGCAAGTTGAAAAATATCCTTTTGACATTTTTTGATCTTGAGAAGGTCATTGAAGGTCAAAACTCAAATGTAAAGTCAGATCTGAACTTCTGAGAACTTGTAGATGATTTTGAAAAAAATTGAAGTCAGTCTAAACAGTATTTGTTAAGTTATTGAAATTCGTAAGAATTTGATTTGTTACGGATGCTGACTGCCAACCACCACCTGCTGGATACCAACCACCAACCGCAGTCACAAAAGAACGGAGACCATAACAACAACAAAAATTACACATCTAAAAATGACCGAATGAAACAATATAAAATAATGATAATTTGTTGTTCTTCATGACATTGGTACCATACCTGGATTATTTAATGTTGCTGCATAGTTTAGACCAATGGCATTGCCTGCTGCTGTGGGAGGAATACCATTACTGACATAGCCACTGTAAGGTACCTGGGAGGAACTGATATACCCAGGGAGTGTCCGTGCAGACCCTGGAGATCCTAGCTGTGTTTGTGCAGCTTGGACAGCTTTTGAGAGAAATGAATACAATGAGATGATATAATTCACATTCTTCTATAACAATCTTGTCTGTGTTTTAATTGAATCAACAAGGCATTAACTAATATCATAACTTCCATTAAATGGTTTTAGACTACTAACGATATGTCAGCACTTCTGGTGGTGGTGACATAATATTCAAAAGTCTCTTTACCATAAGACCATTCATTGGGGTGCTATAATGACTACAACAAAACAACTATTTATATTATTATTCTGACATTTAATGATTCTCTAGCTGCAAATATAAATTGAAGGATGTACAGATTTCTGATAATATTATTTCCTTACTTTTTATTATTTATTCAAGATCTACATTCTTAAAATTGATGCCCCATCATAATAATAACGATATAGAATAGATACATGCATTCATATTACACTACATGAATGTTTAAAACTGTTACTTCATACCGTATTCGCCGTAATAAGCACCCAGAGTGCTTTTGAAATTGAAATTCTCATTGTAACCCATTACAAAGAGTGCCCATATATGAGAGAAGTCAAAAATCCCCGGGAATTTCATGTATGGTAATTTTTCTTGCCAAAATGCCTTATTTGCAACTAAAATAACAGCATATTTTTACAATAATGATATGTATCGTTATCTAACTATATTGACAGTGATTGAATAACTCCCCAGCAGAGCCCCTCGAGGTGAAGGAGTTGTTTTCCGCGATTATCTTCAATATTTCCACTATAGACTAAAGTTATACCTTGTTTTTTTCATTTGATGAAAGATCATCATTTTTCGTGTAAAAGTCATGTTAAAGTCGAGAAATCTTAAAAAAAACAAGAAAGTTCACAACCTTGACATGACCTTGGCGATCGCTAAGTTAGTCAAATGTCGAAACAAAACTCTGAGACGTGATCATTTCCTTCATTCATAATGGACTATTTTGAGATAATATTAGCTAAGTATGATGTGGGAAGCACCCACTGAAAGATATTCATCGGGAGGATTCATCGATTTACAAAATGCGTCATGTTTTCTGCATTTTAGTGTACTCTTTTATCGCCCACTAAATTTCTTTGGAAATTTGATTTTTCTGATATATTTGTTAATACTTGGTCATTCCTCGAACTCTGTGAAGCGGGGTGGGTGCTTATTAGGGGTGGGCCCTTAATACGGCGATTACGGTGAGTAAAATAGAATAGGATAGGCTACATTTTCCTCTCAGGAAATCATACAAGCCTTTGAAGGTTTTTATGGAAATTGGGGGAATGAGCATATTGGCATCTGTCTTCAACTGTACAGAGATGAATGTTTGAGGGGGCTGGGTGCTATAAGCACATTGACACTGCAGGCCAAAGGATTTCCCGAGGGGGAGCAACAAGATTTGTGTATGGATGGGTTGTGTCACCAATACACCAGACAAGTGGAATGGCACCCATGCAAGGCGCTGCAAGTTAGACCCTCCCTTTTGGATGGGTCTGGTAATGTAATTTGGTTACCACCATACCTCACTGGTATCTTTTGTATTTTATGTTTTTTACACTTGAAGACAGAGCCAGAAACCCTTCCTTAGAGGAGCCCTATTTTTTTATGTACACCAAAACACAGACATACAATTACACACCACAGCTTTTTATGAGTTGCGTATCACTCAGTCAAACACCCTGAATGTAGTATATATGTATAGAGATGCAGGTTTGAGAGGTTGGTACTATGAGCACAATGGCACTATACAGTACACAATTCAGCTAAGCAAGTAAAACTACAGTGACTGTTAGTAAGCATTAGAACATACCGGATAATGCTGAGAGTTGGTGGGGGGACGCTATCCACACTGCTGTAAAATAAAATGTGAGTTAAGCGTGTTAGTAATCATACTGTGCATATACTAATACGTCAAAGAAATAGCTGCGCAAAATAACTATGTTACAGTCAAACATCAAAGGTTACAAATCATCTGAATTTGTAGAAATATCAACAGAATATCACACCTCAGATGCTAGACTGTCTTATATCTATATGCATAATGGCAAATTGGATTTATTTATGAAGGATATGTAAAATTAAAATCTAACTAGAAAAAAAGGCAACTCCACAAAGTATCAAATCCCATAAAACGGACTGCTTATTTATTATCAGGTATGTCCCATCTTAGATTTTCATACTGCTACGTGTTTTTAATGTTGCCAAATTGAAAGAATATAATACCATATCGTACCTCAAAAATGAAAGTTCTTTTCAAATCATGAAATTTGGTAACATTCCAGGAACCAAACTAGAACATGATATAATATTTGTGATGCACTCTTCAATGCCTTTGATTTGAAAATCCAATAAAGACAAATCTTAGTTGATATTTCAAAAGGAAATTCCAGCATTCAAACAGTTAAAAAAACAAATTGGGCAAAATTTTCCAAACAAACATTCTTAAATCTCTCTTAAAAGATTAAGGGATAGACAGGCCTTGAAACCAACTTCTTTGCATTAAGTGCCAAAATAGCTAACCTCAAGCCATTTAAAGTAGTACTAAAAGGAGCATTAAAAGTACAAATTTGTACTGACAAATCTACTTTTCAAGCACAAAATTAAAAATACAGTATATTTGTGAAGTGAAAATTCTACTTTTAAGCACAAAGAAGGACAAAAATATAAATGAAAATGAGAAATGTATTTCCTTTTTAAGCATAAATAAAGAAAAAATATATAACTGAAAATGTAATTACTTTTTAAGCACATATAATATAAGGACAAAAACATAAATGAAAAATGAATAGTGTACTTCCCTTTTAAGCACAAATAAGAACAAAAATATAACTGAAAAATGTATTTACTTTTTAAAGGCATAAACGAGTATAATTAATAATAATGAAATACATATGTATAGATTTCACATTTCAGTACTAAAGTAAGTGTAAAATGTACTGAAAAATTCCAAGTGTTAATAAATATAGAAAATGTACTGAAATGCAGAATGTAGAATTTTACTGAATATACTTTACCTAGCTCCATTTGGTGGACTTATATAGTGAGTCTGTAATAAGGGACTCTATTGAATACAGGATATTTTTATGCTATTAAAAAGCTGTATTGTCTTTAAATAATGTAATCTTTTTTGACTTATTTGAACTTTGTTAAAGCAGTTATTTAATGACATATGTTATTATTTAGCCATCATAAAGTTTATTTTTCCCCACATTTATAATGACCAGCTTTGACTTCCTGAAGTTGCCATGGTAACAGTTGTGACATCCCAAAAAATCCCTCAAGAATATTCTGAACAACTATATGTAAAACGCTTTGATGATATGCAAAATTTCAACTAAAATATTGGAACCCTCTTCTTTTCTATTCAATTTACCACAATCTCAAAAATTCAGTACATCTTTCAGTGTGCAAATACACTCATACTAAAATAATATGGTATTCAGTTAATTTGTACTTAAAATGCTCCTTTCAGAAAAATGTCCATCTCTTGTGATACAAACTGTATATTGTTTATTCTTTAAATTTCTGGGTAAGAAAGATCTTGACACGTACAAGTGTTTAATTGTTAGCTTCTTCAAAAAATCTAAAATGGCAACTATAAGAATTTACCCAGGATACCAAAAATGAATAAATTTAATGATATTCATTCATCTCATTTCAATTAATCTGTAAAATGAATTCTGGGTACACAACCATCTGGCAAAATGATCACGATAAAACTACAATTCTTTGTATTTTGCAAAACCTAAATGACAGTCACACATATTACTACTAGATGCTTCATCTTCAGTTAAGCCACATTGGGGAAGATATCAAATAACAGCATATATACAGATACAGGTTTAGTATCCATACTAAACCTCTTTAGTACTAAAATGGTAGTTATATAACCTAAAATTTGTTAAGTATTTATATTTGCTCAAAAAACAACTACAACTTTTCGCCTATTACATAAAGTTTTGAGTAAGATCAGTGATACCAATACATATTAAACATTGTGCAACTTTGGACACCAAGCTAATGATTAGTTTTCTACATCTCTATGGCTACAAGATGAATCACACAATGTTAATTTTTGATCACACAAGACCTGAGTGATGAATCTGTAATCGGCCATCAAATGTGGTACACATAAAGAAAGATCTGAATTCAAGACAGAAAGCATTTTACTTTTCTAAAATCGTTCAAGCCAAAGGAAATATTCACACATGTTATTTAGAATCTTTGTCACCAAATAGATTAGTTTCTACAATGGGTCAGGGCTACAAATGTGGTTCAAGTCATGTAAGGTATGTGACTTTTAGATACCAAGCAAATTAGTTTTCTACAATGATTGTGTTAAAAGGGTTCGAACTTCTACCAAAGTGGTCACATTTTTTTACCTCTTTTATACTTTTGTGCACTAAGCTGTAATCAAAGCATTAAATATGGTAAAATAAATATCATATGTTTATATATCGAAGCATCTTAACTAGTCCTTATTTAACTCAATAATTTAATTATCTATTGATCAAAGTAAAACAAAAAATATCAACAAAATCAACAAAATGAACATCGTGACACTTAATATAGTACATGTATATCTGAAACTACAGATCAAGGAACATTACCACACTTTTCCATAGTTAAGTTTCTGTTCACATCAAGTATGTCTCATTCTTAGTGAAAAGCATGACATGCAGCTATATTATGTGTGAGTGGTAACATTGAGTTAACTTTTGTACTGTACCTGGTGGTTGGGCAGCAGGTAGCAACTGTTGCTGGTAACCTGGAACTGTTAATGCTGACTGGTAGGGAGACTGGTATGACAACATGGAGGCCGCTTGGGTTCCTGAGATCATGGATGGAAGAGGGTAGGGAGACAAAACTCCTGCAGATAGTGGCAGACCATTCTTACCATCTCTTGGCTCAGCTCGTTTCACTTCAATCTAAAATTCAGAAATCTTAAGAGTGCATTTGGTGGATCTTTTATTTTCTATCATATAACATGATTTTAAATTATTGTTAGTTGTGAAAGCACCGGAGCCCACCCTCCTCCCCCCACCCAAAAATAATGATCTTTCATGACCAACCGATGGAGGAAATGATGATATTAACACTAGGAAAAAGTCCCAGGGAGTGTAAAATACTGTAAGACATAACTACCCTATAACAGGATCGCATGCGCCAAGCTCACATGCAAATTTTTAAAAAAGTAAGCTACAATTTTTTTATGGAATATTTAATTAGAAAACAGCAACTCCATGGAGTAGCACATCCCACTGAACAAAACTGATTCAATTAAATCAAACCTCAATTTCAAAATTTCTTTTCAACTTTTCTCCCAAACAGAGATTTTAAAATATGATTCAGGTTGAAGAGACATTCAAGTCATAGCACATTCAACGGGAATTCCTTCTAATCAAAGATCTTTTGTCCATAAGGCATCAGCTTATTTTAATTGAAACAAATTTTATAAATGGTATCTGGATGATTTCAGAACACAAGAACAGACAGGAAACAGACTCATAGATGGATGAATGAATTCTCTTTATCCCTACTTAAACTTCGTCCAGTGGGATAATGAGGAACTTTGAGGAACGTCATCGTGAAAAGTTGAGAAATCTTGATAATTTTGATTTGAGATCTTGGCTGTCAAAACGAGTTCTAATAATGTCTTCAAACACTTTTTTGAATTGACAAATAGCATTGAAACTTTCAATCTTTGGTTGATTTGTTATTTTTGATTTACAACATTTGGATATGTAGATGGATTAGGCCAACATCTTGATTTTTTGACTGTAACCATTTTTCATCATATTTTAACAGTAAGTTGCAAAAGTAGATTTAATTGCAGAAGGGGGGCAAATGTGTAAAGTACGTGTAGAGGCTGGGCACTATTTAATATATGTACCATGTAAGTAAGTTCAATTATTTCCGAATACACTTTGGGTATTTTTAGAAAATAGACATAACAAGGAATGATATGAGCCCAAAATATTCTAAAATTGAAACAATCATTGTCACTCTACTGCTGCTTCTTTCTGCTAGATCTTATTCGACCTTTAAGTCTAAACTGGACAGATCCTCAAAGTTCCAAAGCAAATATTCCATAGTCTTTAAAATAAGAATGTAGCTCAGATTTTCAAAAGTTCACCATTTTGAGGACATATGGGACGAAGATTTAGATGATTAAATAATTATCAATGTTAGTGTCCAAGCTTGACAAATCAACAACAGGACAAGGTTGATAACCTTTGTCAGTTAGGTATATCTCTCAACATCTATTCTTTCATATTTCTTTGCCTCCTTTGTAAAATCATCATATATTTTTGACAGAAAGATATACCTAGACTAACTTACCACATTTAACTTTATATAGAGACAATAATGTGCCGAATTCTTAACTATTAACCAGGCTTCAACAAGGAATCATTGGAGACTGGAGAGTTATTTAATTCAGATAGCAAAATGCTCTGAATAAGTGATCAAGGTATGAAATTCAAAAAGCTCCAATGACTATCTTGTATCAGACCCAAACAATATCTAGCTGACCAGTATTAATCTTCAATTTACTATGGCAACGTGCTCAATATTTAAAAAAGCAAATATGACTTTGTTTCCCAAAATATTTTGATATTATAATTATTATAATTTTATATGAAGATTTTTGATTTTTACGCTACTATCAGCCACCCACATTAGTACTAATTTAACTGTAGGAAATATGAAGTTACAAGAAAGTTTACATCTTCAAAAGCATATTAAAGGTACTAATCTATCTTTGCTTTGAGCATTATCAAAATGTTTATAATAATGTATACAGGGTGGGCCAAAAGATGACAGTTTTCGAGAGGCCTGGTAATCTATCTAAACATTGCTTTTATACAATAAATTTTATATACACAACTTTGAGAGGAGGCATACGTTGTAAAACAATAATGAAAGAAGACAGGATTCTAATAATTTATATTCTTTTCCTGAAAGATCAAATGATGCAATATCACACTTGAAGAGTATGTATAAATAATGAAGCTAAAAGAAACACAAAAAATTCAAAAAGTATTTTTTTGAAAAGTAATTATTGAAGAAACTGATCTGTAATTTATATCTTCTTATGAGAATAAGGGATAGAAAGTGTAAATTGCTAGTATCTTTTAAAAAATCATATGCTAATGTTTTCTTAACAATCTTTATTCAATTTTCTGAAGAAAAGATTTGAGATATCTGTCCAAAAATATACAATTTATTAAAGAGCTTCTGAAAATGACTATTATTAATATTTCCATTTCCATGAAATTCTCTTTATAACATACGCCTTCTTTCAAATATATGTATGACAAATTTTATCACATAGCAGCAAAGTTTAGGTAAAATACCAGGTCTCTCATTACTTATATATTGAATTGATACTCTAGAAAGAATACCTCTGATATAAGTTTAAAATAAAATAAACCATATGAAATACTAATATTACTTATCTAGCGTGAAAGAAGCGAACATAAATAATATCGTATAAGATGGCATTTTGGAAGAAAGGTGGTACTGTATCATGGCACATGTGAGTGACTGCTAGTAGCATGGCCATCCAAAACATATCTCACTGTCAAGCCTGATTTTGCTCACACTCTCTCTTTAAAAGTGATTTTTCAGAACAAATTTTTAATCATTAACAGTTAATTAAATAAACAACTTACTGATTGTAAGTCTCTTATATTGAGAGAAAAACATGACCATATCAATTTGATAAAGTGCCAGGTGATACGCATTGTGATTGAGATGATATATTATGATTCAGATGATATACTGTGATTGCTATGATACACTGTGATAGAGATGATATACTGAGATGTTTTGAATGAGATGATACACTGTGATTGAAATGATAAATTTGACATGTGATATGATGTGACTGAGATGATAAGCTGTGATTGAGATGATACATTAGACATGTGATATGTTGTGATCGATATGATAATCTGTGATTGAGATTATACACTATACATGTGATACGCTTTGATTGATATGATAAGCTGCAACTGAGATGATATGCCAGGGCCGTCAGATGGGGGGGTGCGATGGGTGCGACCGCACCCCCCTTTGTCACCCCACAAAATAAATTTGAAAAAAAAAATTTTGTAATTTTTTTTTCATTGACTCATACACTTTGAAAGTACCCAGAAAGTACCAAATAGCATCTTAAAATTGTAAAATTTTCTAGGGGCATCGGCCACCCCTCACACCCCCCACAAAACAATGGAAAAGTTCTAAATTTATTTTAGTGTTTTGTCTCAGACACTTTTGAAGTGCCCAGACATCATCAAATAGCTCCTTGATATAGTTAGTGTTTCTGGGGGACTTGCTCCCCCTCTTGCATCTTGCACTTGCATTGCCCCCCCTCTGGCGCCCCTCCCCCCTCTGGCGCCCCCCCCCCCACCCTTGACCCCCCCCCCAAAAAAAATATTGTAATTTTCTCAAATTCTTTAATTGACTCATACACTTTGAAAGTGCCAAGAAAGCACCAAATAGCGTCGTAAAATTGTAAAATTTTCTAGGGGGAGTGGGCCACCCCTCACACCCCAAACAAAACAATGGAAAAGTTCTGAATTTGTTTTATGTATTGTCTCAGACACTTTTAAATTGCCCAGACATCATCAAATAGCTCCTTGATAAAGTTAATGATTCTGGAAAACTAACACTTACTCGCCCTCTGGCATCCCCACTCCCCAAACACCCCCCCCCCCAAAAAAAAATTGAGATTTTTCAAATTTTTTTATTGACTCATACCCTTTGAAAGTGCCCAGAAAGCACCAAATAGCATCTTAGAATTGTAAAATTTTCTTGGGAAATAGGCACTTTTAGGCACAGACACTTTTAAAGTGCCGAAACTTCAGCACCTTGATATTGTAAATTTTGATATGGGGGACAAACACTTGCTCCCCCTCTGGCACCCCAGCCCCACCTCTCTCTCTGGCACCCCTCCCCCTTTGACACCTCCAAAATTTGAAAAAATTGTGATTGTTTTTCAATGTTTTTATTGACTAATACACTTTAAAAGTGCCCAGAAGCACCAAATATCATCTTTAAATTGTAAAATTTTCTAGGAGAGTTAGCCACCCCTCACATCCCCCACAAAACAAAAGAAAATATTCTGAATTTCGTGTATTATCTCAGACATTTTTTAAGTGCCCAGACATCATCAAATAGCACCTTGATATGGTCAATGTTTCTGGGGGACAACCCCTTGCTCCCCTACTGGCACCCCACCCCACTTCACCCTCTCATCCTCTTTGACACCCCCAAAAGAATTTGAAAAAAATTCACATTTTTCTTATTGACTCATAACGCACAGGCGTACCAGATGATTGCAAATTCGCTCCAAATACAACCAAATTTCAAAATTTTCCTGGGGGAGAACCCCCAAACCCCCTTGAATGCTCGGTTTTTTATTCACTCAACTCTTATTCCTGTGGTGGTGGCGTACTACTTACAAACTTACACTTTGAAAGTGCCCAGAAAGCACCAAATAGCATCTCAAAACTGTAACATTTTCTAGGGGGAGTGGACCACTCCTCATACCCCCACAAAACAATTGGAACGTTTGGAAGTTGCATTTGTTAATTCCAAACCAATATAGGGAGTAACTGACCCCCCCCCCCCTCCCTCTGTCTTACGCGATTTGATTTACGCGGCAAAAAAAGACAATTTTATATTCTCTTTAGTAAGCTAAAAACCGCACCCCCCTTGGAGAAAAGTGTCTTACGGGCCTGTATGCTGTGATTGAGATGTTACACTGTGATTGAGATGATATGCTGTGATTGATATGATACACTGGGGATGTGATACGCTGTGATTGATATAAGCTCAGTGTACAGTTTGACTGGTCATGTCTTTTTAAGCTCAAACTAGAGAATACAGTCTTGGAGATTTAATCTATACTGAAATCAAAAAGACTGAGCACTATAAAGAAAATCAGCTTGACCAGGGTGACATGTTCTGCATGGCTCAGGTGCAAGATAAGAAGTTTAGGAACCTGCTTGCCGTTTATGTTGAAATAATGTTCCTGGCACACCATGTCCACGACGTCTTCCTGCTCGAATGACATGAACCCAAAGCCTGCATGTGGCCAATGGGAAAACAGGTCAAAGGTCAACTTGTATTATATGGTAAACAATATTGAAGCTTAGCAAAGTCTACTCAGCAGTGATGGGTAAGATATAAGAGATTAGGAGAATATAATATAAAAGGTAGCAATGGCATGAAATGGTATTACATATGTGGCTAATACTACCTTGGTCCATGCCAGCTACCTTAAGTGCATAGTTGTGAATGGAAGTGTGCTTGGGTAGTATAGTATATTATATTATAATGCTATCAAGTAATAAGAACCAAAGGGAACCCATGACCTATGTAATCACACTGTTAATTGTAACAGTATGAATTTTGTAAAGAAAAACTATCCCAAATTCTGAGTAAATGTCAAAAGTCGATATGTAACTAGTTATTGTTTATGCCCATCGCAGCTGATAAGCCTCATGTGGTAGTTCTCATATTTCTGATAATATATCAAAAATGAAAAATAGGACTTTTTCATGTTAAAATTGTAATTTTCTCAAAAGTCAGGACTTGAGAAACAGCAAAATCAAAAACTGAAACTCCGAGAGTAATGTTATTTCAAAAGATGTATCTTTTCTTATTTGTATCTTCAATTTTGACAAGCGGGAATGATATTTTGACAATAAGGGCAAAAATTTGGATTCAGCATCAATGTTGAGAAAAAAACTGGTATAACATTCACTAGCAGATTTAGTACTATTGTGAATAGCAAGAAATGATAATTACATAATTGTACAGAATGATGGATTGAAACTTTCACCAAAATTTTTGAAAAGAGAAAAGGATTTTAGCTTGGGGTTATCAAAATAACATATTAGACTCCCCCCCCCCCCAGGTATGTATGTGTTGAGTTTAGAAAGTATTAGAATGATAAGTATGTAGAATGTGTGTACTTCAGAAAATAAGTAGTATTAGTAAGTTAAATATGTGAATATTGAGTAGAATGTGTGTATATTGAGTAGAATGTATGTATATTGAGTAGAATATGTATATATTGAGTAGAATATGTGTAAATTTAAGAAGAATGTGTGTATATTGAAATGTGTATTGAGTAACATGTATGTGTATTAAGTAGAATAAATGTATATTGAGTAAGTTGTATGTTGCATGTCAAAACCGATTTGGCAAATAACAGCCTTACCATGAAAATCCATATATAGAGTAGAATGTGTGTATATTGAGTAAAATATAAGAATATTGAGTAGAATATGTGCATATTGAGTAGAATATGTATTTATTGAGTAAAATGTGAAAGATAATTCAGAGACCAATGGGAACAGAGAACCTATCACACATGTTAGTTTTTGGCAAGTTACAAAATTCTACAAGGCAAAATATCAAAATTCTTAAAGCAAAATAGCAAATCTGTATTTCATGGTTGTTTTGGGTTATTTTCTCAAAATATGAAAATCATATCATTATATTATAATAATAATTAAGCACTTGCATTGCATTGTTTTGGATGTTTATCTAGCTGGAAGAATTCCATGAATGAAAAATATTGCTCCTTATGAAAACATAAGTTAATGCTAAAACCATGAATTTCGCCAAAAACTGAAAAAGAACTGATTTCAAAATTCTGTGTATTTCTAAAAATTAGTTCTGCATTTTGCAAAGAAAATCTAGCATGTGTGATAAAGTAATAAAGGCATAATATATTTTCAAAGGTGTAAAATCAACAGTAGGAAAAATGGAAAATGAAACTGAGGTCGTAAGAAAATGTGTGTGATTGCAAGGATAAAAATCACATGACGTAGATTTATGGCGTTTAGTGCAAATACTGGCACTACATTTTGAAATAGTGCAAATACGTCATATGTTTGTCACCCTGAAATTAATGTGTAATACTGGAGTAAAATTTGCTAAGCTTGAGTAGCCAACTACTTAGTCTAGTGTTCACTACAGTTTCTGCAACACCTAATTGTCAAATACTAGGAAAATACAAAAATCCACACATAAGCATATTAAAATGTAAGCACACACAACAGCTCGGGAAACCAACCATAAACTACAGTCACTACCTTATCATACTACCACATTCTCAGTTAAAGAAATTGTAGGTTGGACGCACAAATGTTTCAATAATGTTTTGAAGGTTTAAAAGATGGCAGCATTGCAGTTGATACTTGGTCTCCCAGTGTTACTTCATTTATCCAGTACAGGTCGAAGAGTAAAATTAAAGAATTTAAAAACAGGTTCAGAACATGAAAATCTTAAAAATCTTACATTATTCTAAAAATATCAACCCACGAACCATTGCTAGGATAAGGGACAAATAAATGAAGTAGATAGTAGAAGATTTACATATGTATATAATTGTTTAAATATTCCTATTACTTTTATTATATATATTATATCAAACTCTATACATGCTCATGCAGCCAGTACTTGGTTTTCTTAACCTAAGCCAAACATTTTGGTTGTACAAAAAGAACATGTAAGCTTTAACTAAGTCCCTACATTGTGATCTTAGAATATAGCTGTGCATCTACATGTAAGGTTCAACACTAAGATGCACAGCAAAAAGGTGCATTTCAGCAGTGCCTTGTTTATACACTTTGATCTCATAGAAGCCTTCACATATACAAAAATATCTAGCAAGTGATTTATCTCTATAGTTTATCACTTGAACAGGTCAAAATAAACACACAGGACCCTTGGATTAAGATAACCATGATTATTTTCACATTCTGGTTAATAAATCATGAAATTATCTATTTTATTCACCTTAAGGTGATTTGCTTAAACCTAGTTAAACAAGAAAGACATCTTCGTTTAAAGTGACTTATACAGATATATTGAAACATTAACAATATATTGAAACATTAACATTATATAGGACATTTAGCTTTTTAAACGAAACCAGAAAAAAATCAATTTTTATACTGTCATCTCACCTTGTAAAATAGTGACTGAGTAAATATCAAAATCAATGAAATAATAAATGTGTCAATTAATTTTGTTTACAACTAGTTTGTATTAAACGCACTACTATAGTATCATACATGTACTGCATGTGATTGATTTTTAGTGCTGATTGTACAGATTGCATGCTTGTTCGAATTTGATATACCGAATTGGATATTTAGGCTTTTTAAGATTTTTTTTTATTATTATTTTGTAATATAATCATTATTAAATATTACATTTACACACTAGGGGGTATATCAGTGCATTATCAAAAATTGGAAAAACCCTAAATATGTTCAATTTATATGAATTGAGCATGTTCAATAGTAACATCTTCCAATCGTTTTGTTCATAAGGGTCTGAACATTGTTTTTTATTACTGTGAACTGAACACTTATGCCATTAGCAAAGGGCTTTTGGGTATTATTTCCAATTAGGACATGTTAATGATAGGGCTGCTATTTGTGTAATATCAATAAAGCAATAGCTAATCTCAATTATAGGAACTGCAGGCAAATATGTTATGATTACTAGATATAAGTATTTCATAATTGGAAGCAAATGGAGGTCTGGAAACCAGATCTCTATCCTGCAAGCCATCTCTCATGATGTCAGTATAGACTTATTTTATTGATCAAACTTATGTCACCACAACGCGTTAAAAGATGCAGTTATCCCACGATTATTATGTTATCAGCAAATGGCATTTCTGATATCATAGAGATCCATAAGACATATTCCTTAACTCGCTTATAAGACAAAAAATATTAGAAACGCATTTAATACAGTTTGATCATAATACTTGTTATGGTTGCGATTAAATTATCAATACAAGTACAGAAAAGTATGGGACCATTTCTTATGATATTATTTCATCCATTTCATCAGTTTACATATTAATACTCATTTCTATACATGTACAAATACGATCTTGTCTGGAAACACAGAAAAGCAGATTTCCCCAAAACAAGGCAGGACTAATAGTGTAAATTACCAGCATGAAGCCCCATAAAGCGGAAATGAGCTTTAACTTCAGATGAATTGCAGTTTTCATTTGTCAGAAAATTGTTGAAGTGAGAAGACAAGGCAAATCTGACTGAAAAATATATACATTAGAGATGAAATGTTATTAGTATATTTAACCTCTTGAATCCCAGACTCTAAAATCGGTTGAAACCAGAGAATTTTTCATTTTTGCCACCTTTTGACATTTTACTATATACGTATACAATTTTAGATGCTCAACTTAGTGAAATTAGTCGGCAGAGATCATTTCTACACATTTTAAAACAATTTTTGTGTAAATTGGTCGAAAATTTTTCAAATAGGAGCAATTTTAGTGAAAAAAATGTGAAGGATTTTCTCGTCACTCTGGGTTTCAAGGTCATTTCTGAGGTGACGAGAAATCTCGTCAATCCAGGTAGTCAAGAAGTTAAAGAATAAAATGAAGAGAGAAGATTTTTAGCTTAATGAGAATATAAACAATGAATCAATAGAAGACTTTAGTGAATTGCCCATTTATCATCATCATCTGGGGCATGAGATGTTGCAATTATTATTATGCCACACGTCTCTAAACCTAACACTATGAGTCTATATTATCTTCAGCAATAAATATTTTTTCCTTGCTGCATTATTCTTCAACAGGCAATTTAACAACAAAAAATATAAGCTTACAAATGGCAACTGTATCACCATGATAATTTGAATACTGATATATCACATGGGCGACAGTGAACAGCTTTGGGAGACATGAAAATGCAGCTAGTGAATATAATTTCCATGGAAGTGCTGCTAAACCCACAGCCATGTAGATCTTTCACATCAGTGTACAATTATTGCTCCCATAATAGGATAACACAAATGTCATGTCGTGGAAAAAGCAAGTATCTACTAATCTTGTATTGTTTTGTCATACAGGGGTATTACATTTACTACATCCCCTGCAAACAACTCATTTTTGCAATGGACAGTTTCCTTTGAATCCGGATAGTAAATGTAAAAAATATTCAATGACGCAAAATCAAAATTCAAGATTGCTACCTAAAGGTTGATCAACTCTAGAATTGGATGCTATCTACAGTATAACA